TTCAGTGAAGGCGCCGTCTCGCCTGCCTTCGTGACAATCACCAGCATCTGGTACCGAAAGAAAGAACACAATGTCCGCACGGCATTATGGATTTCCGTGAATGGTCTGGCACAGGTTCTAGGCTGCTTCCTGATGTATGGCATCGGCAAAAACTCCTCACTTCCAATCGCTCCTTGGCGCGTGCTGTTTATCATCTGTGGCACGATAACTTCTGCTGCAGGCGTGGCGTTCTTTTTCCTTATGCCAAACGGGCCCAAAGATGCATGGTTCTTGAATGCTCGCGAGAGGGAAGTCCTGTCTTTACGCATGGCACAAGACCGGGATGGTGGTGACAAGTCCTCTTTTTCTGTTGCCCAGCTCAAAGAGGCAATAATGGATCCCAAGGCGTGGGTTGTCTTTTGGTTTGGTGTTTTGGTATGCATGCAGTCGCCGGTTTTGACTTTTGCATCTCTTGTGATCAAGTCGATTGGTTATACTAATCTCGAGACTATGCTATACACGGCTCCTTCGGGGGCTGTACAAATTTTCTTGTTGTGGATCGGTGTCGGTCTAGTGCTTATCTTCCCTAATCAGCGAACGCTGGTGGTTCTTGTTCTTATTATCCCGCCTCTAATTGGGACTGTGTTTTTGATGAAGTTGGACGTGACTGCTCAATGGGGTTTAATTGTTGCCTCGTGGCTGGTATGTATTTCTATTGACCGGGCCGGGTTTCTGTTGTTAACTGATTTTTTGCAGTCTTCATGTATCACCGCCTCCATGACAATACTTCTTTCACTGGCGGCATCGAATTTCAAGGGAAATACAAAGCGCGCTGTTGTGAACGGCATGTTTTTCATTGGTTACTGTGCTGCCTGCATTGCCTCGCCTCAACTATGGACTCACAGTCCTCGTTATACGGAAGGTGTGATAACATCCATCGTGACATGGTGTCTGCTTTTCGTGGTGGTGATTTTATTCCGCTTCTTGTGTGTGTGGGATAATAAGCAACGTGATGAACAGGCTGCCAGTTCTAGTGTTGTTAGTGTGGATCAAGAGGTCAAACTGGACCAGAATGGGTTGCCACTGACAGACATCACGGATAAACAAGACCGACAATTCCGATATGTGTGGTAACGCATTGTTTATATTCGTCATGGAAAGGATTTCCAGGGGGTTAGCTAATTTGACTGGTGCGGTTTTGTTGTAATGTATAGCACCGGAAACGTAAAATGCATAACGCGAAATTATTTCAAAGACATCTCAAAAGCGATACTAAAAAGTAACAGTGTTGAATTAAATATAACCTGGATAGCATGATCATAAGCCAAATATACCCGATTGTTAAAGACCCGCGTCCTCGAATACAGAGGCTACAGAAACGGTCGATTATTGTTGTTCAGAATAAATAGGTGTTCAATATGCGTACACAATGTTAATATACCATGGCAAACTATGACTGCTCCTTGATGATATCGGCCGCACGCTCAGCAACCGCATACACGGTACTCTGAAGGTGACCGCAGACCTGGAAAGGCATGACGGAAGCATCCACAACACGAACGTTCGAGGTTCCGTAAACCTTCAGCGACGTATCGACAACACCACCAAGCTCCTTGGGCAGCATGCCAGCCGTGGTAATCGGGTGGAAGTTTGATCGGTCTAGTGAAACAAAATGTTAGCAATGGAATTCCCACCAATCTTCTCCCAGCAAGTCGAATGATACACGTACATTTGCTGTAGATAAAAGTAGACCAGGCCTTGTCATCGGCACCAGCAGCAACAGTAGAAAGGCCGGGAGTGATCTCGGCGCCAGCCATATCAGCAAATGGCTCAGTCTTGAAGATATCACGAATAAACCGCGCGGCCTGTGCCTGGGAGTGGAGATCAAAGTCCAGCATGAAGTACTTGGGATCAATGATAGCCGGCGCCGTGGGGTCTGCGGAAGAAAGGTGAACGCTGCCGCGAGAGAACGGAACGGAACCCCAGTATTCGCTGCTGTATGAGGCTCCAGAGGCCGATAGCAGGATCTCCGCGACAGGAATTTCATCCTTGAAGATCAGATCCCACTGGATCTTGAAGAAACGGTAGATGTCACGGGCTTTGGTGATGTTGCCGTTGGCGGAGGCAACCTGAGCTGCATACGCGGGAAGCTTGCGAAGAAGTTCGGCTCCCAGTGCGGTGGAGTTGGGGAAGAGCTGGTCAGCTGAGGGGTAGGCGACGTAGTCAGCACTCTTGTCGCTGCCGTAGGTCTTCTTTGACTCGAACTTGAGGCCGTTGTTCATTTGGTCCTGCAAGTTTTCGCCGACGGTTGGCAGGTTAACCTTGGTGGCGATTCCGTGCTTGGAAAGAATGCTAGTGGGGGGAGTTTGGGTTAGCTTTCGTCAAAGGTTGAACGGGGGCGGTATTATGCTTACTGTGGGTTTCCGACTCCAGAAAGCTCGAGCAGAACGGGGGATTTCAATGCGCCAGCAGCGAGAATTACTTCACGGGTAGCCTTCACCACGGTCTTCTTGCCGTTTGAAAGAGTGACTTCGACACCATTTGCGGTGGCCTCGTTTCCATCCTTCCAGGCAATCTTATTGGCGTGTGTGTTGAGCCAGACATGGAGGTTGGTTCTGTTCTGGTAAGGATAATAGTATGCACGAGCAGCATCCTCACGGATGTTGAGATCAGCGTCAACCGTCTTGGGATACAGACTGTATCCAACCATGTCTCCGCTATTGGCGTCCCGGTTGTACGGAACAGGAACATCGAGGTTTTGGTAAGTAGCGTTCAACTTCTGAGCAAGACCGTCGTTCAACTGATTTGAAGACCAGCCAACCTTCAAGGGCCCAGTAAAGCCGTGGTAGGCCGGGTCAAAGGCAACACCCGATCCCTCCAAGAATGGGTAATTTGCCGGATCTTGCAATTTCTCGCTCTTTTTGAAGTAAGGGAGGAGAGTCTTCCAGTTCCAGCCCTTATTTCCGATGGTCTCCCACGCGTCGATCTGGGCAGCCTGGGCACGGAGGTAGGCCATGCCGTTGATGGTCGATGTTCCTCCGAGTGCCTTTCCGGCACGCACAATTTGTGAGAATCCACCGGCATATTCTTGGGCTGTCGTTTCGTAGGCCCAGTCAATGTCTGTACCGAACGCTTTACCGTATCCGAGGGTGTCGGTCACGTTTGGGTTGCTATATACAGAACCGCCGGCTTCGATCACGAGGACCGTGGTGTCCTTTTGCTCAGACAGTCGGTTTGCAACAACGAGGCCACTGGTGCCACCTCCAACGACGATGTAATCGTAGGTCGAGTCTGACTTGTGTGAGGCATTGGGGACTGCAGCTGCTAGTGGAAGCAGGGCAAGGCCGAAGAGGCTGCGCATGATTGCTATAATTCCGGGTTTAGGGGAGAAGGTTCAACGAGGAATATAACAGAACTTGTTTCCTAATGATTTTCCTCGTGGCTACATGAACGATTTATACTTCTGGGTCCCAATATGATTTACAAGCATAACGATCCACCTTTGATTCAGGAACATGGTGGAACACTTTGTCACATCAGACTAATTCCTTAACACGCGATCTACTTAGCCGTTGCTCCGTATTCCGTAGCAAATGGAAGAACAGAAGAACCCACTCTCCATCACTATCCACCACTCTCCACCACTCCCTACCACTCTCTACCACTCCCTACCACTCTCTACCATTCTCTACCACTCGCTACCACTCGCTACCACTTGCTATCACTCGCTACCACTACTCCGTGAGTATTTTTTTTATCCCAAAATTGGATAGCCAAGTGTAAGCCCAACAAGTGGCGGCCGAAATTAGAAGTAAATCCTTCTGAGGTTACAATTGTGGATATAACGGACAATCCTGACACCTCAAATCTCCGTTGTTTTTCCGTTATAGCGCCGGTAAGCAAGTTTAAAGTTCTTGCAGTGTGTCTCAATACCTAAGCCCCTACTTTGCTGATACCATAATCACTTCCATCGATCCACTCAATCAGCGGAAGATGACCGCAGCCACAGTCTTACTCATCTTTAGTCAGGAAGAAAGTATCCACCTTGGAAAAGTCGGGATTAATAATAACGGCATGCCGATCTTATTCGTTTCGGAACTCAAGTCATGCCGAATCCCCACATGAAACTTTCGACCTAAGACAAAGATAACCGGTCCCCGGTACTATGTTTCACTCGTTTTTTTTTGGTATTTGGTTTAGTGCACAGTTGATATCATGTCCCGGGGCTATGCAATCCGTGGGCTATGCAATGTGCCAACATCCTATACTCCATATCTAGGTAACCATTGTAACCACTTCTCTAATTGGTTTCCTTTGGGAACTTAAGATTTACACTTTTGATCTGATAAATAAAAGGGTGAAAACTAAGTTGGTCTAGGCCCAAATGTTAGAGAGCAAGTGGCGAGTGGCATCAATTGTGGATACAATGCGGATATTTTCGACCTTAATCACTGGAGTCGCCAAAGTACAACATACTATGTTGTATATCCAACACGGATCAGTCATTCCCGTCACGACGGGTTACGTGAAACATTTGGAGTGGCACCACCAACCCCCGAATTAAGGATAGAAGCCCTTTACAAACTGACACTACCCGACTGAGATGGGGCGAATCATCATGGCGGAGTGTGACCTGCCAAGAGACAAATGACACGCTCTTGACACATACGAAGCTCCGTGGCATGTGCTGATGAGAAGAATGATTTCTACCATAGTTTCATCAGATCATGCATCCGAGATATTGACTCCATTATTTCTAGCGTAAAGAAGCTGCTCTACTAGACCGCATTTTGAGCATTAATTTAGTCAAAAGGGCAAGATCTGCACAACAATTCAACCATGATCTTCAAGATCTTCGATTAGAACATGCTCATGCAGGGCTTTTAGTGCGCTTTCAGTCTTGATCCCTTTAAAGTATCTATCCGCATTACTTGTACGTTGCGCCATAATACAGGAGAGACCACGGCCATTGTTGACTCGTGCCGTTTATAGGAACATTCTAAAACAGACTATCCAGTCTATCAGCATCCGTTCCCTAGAAAGTTAACACCCGGTAGATTCAAAACATCCACCGCATCCTCATCACCCAATCCATTAAGATCCTTGCGCAGCCAAAATGACCGGAACCCCTCCACCAATCTCTGGGTGAAAGGTGCCACCTCGTCAACCTCCATAGGGGCAAAAGCAAGACGGATATACCGATAAGCTTTCTGGGCAGACATAGGTGTCGCAGCGAACATCGATCCAGGACCGACAAGACAAAGGTGAGGCTTCTTGGTCAAATGAATCCAAAGCGCCTGTGCGAGTCGCTCGGGAGAATATTGTGAGCGCAAGGGATGAGTATCAACCCGAGTCTCAACCCACACGAACATGCCACCCATCGGCCAGACAAAGTCATACATCTGCACTCGATCAACGACCTCCCAGGCATCGATGTGCTCTTCACTCGATCCATAGAAGAGATACTTGTTCTCTTCTAGAATCGTGCACATAGCCTGCATGCGCGTCTCATACCCGGCACGTAACCCTTCCAGCCACCGTACCCAACCATCCATGTGCCAGCTCGAAGCGATCTGTTTGGATGATTTCCCAGATATATCATCCTGTTGACCAACGATCATTTCCGCTATTAGTGATTGAACAAATCCGGATGGTTGTTGAGTTGACACTTCTGTTATGCGAGTGAGACGTTCGATGATAGCCGGCTGTGCTGTGATCCAGCCGAGACGACTACCGGGTGCAATGGTCTTGGAGAATGTGTCGAGTCGCACTACTCGGCCCTCTGTGTCGATGGATAGATATGAGGGGACGAGTGAGTCCAGGTAAGCGTAGCCTGAGGACTTGCCCTCTGCGTTGTAGTTCTTGGTGTATAGATTTGGTTCCGAGGATGAGCCACGGTAATGCACCGTCTTCCCATAAGCGGATGGGAACTGCAAGTTCCAGTATGGCTCGTCTTCGATGATAATAACATCGTATTTCTGGCAGAGGGCGTAGATCACCTTTCGGCGTTCGACAGAGAGTGTTCCACCAGTGGGATTTTGGCCGGTTCTCATCATCCTGTCAGTACACATTCACGCCTTTTTTTTCCTCCTGCTTTTTCCGTTTCTTTCCACAGGATAGATACTCACGAAACAGTATACATCAAATGAGGCCGTCTGCCACGCCGGAAATCCCAATTCTCCAACACATCCTGTAATCCCCCTTTCCCGCTAGCAAGCATACCCTGACCATCCATCGCAACACCGGCGACATTCAAACCACGAGGTGACACCGTCTGGATAGCATTCATATAAGCAAACTCCTCACATAGGACGCCCTCCCGCTGCTGAATCCAATCCCGGTCGGGATTCCATATATTCGTAAATGCTTCAATGGCCTTGGCAAAGCCATCGGTCGATCCACAAGTCAACAACACCTCGGGACCGCCCACATAGGGTACATTTGGATGTAGATGGTCTCTTGTGAACGAGCGCAGAAAGGTCCTTAAAGGAGGGTATCCTTCGGCGGTGCCGTATTGGAGAGCGGTTGTTAAGTCGATTTTGCGAGTGACATCTGGCGTGGGGCTTTCCTTAGGGACTGTTACTCGGACGGAGTGTGAATCTTTATCTTTGGATTCGAAGCGCTGGGGTAGAGCGACTTTGGCTTCGAGTGTATCGTAGGGGAAATAGGATGCATGTGGCAAACCTAGGAGAATTAGTATATGCTAGAAGTAAGTGGAATTATCTCTTTTACCTCCAGCGAAATTAGCAATCCCGGGTGTCTGGAAGTATTTATAGAACCCCTTGACGCTGCTGGGTTTCTTGTTCTTGGTCGCATAGGACAAGTGGTGTGACAGGTCCAATGGTGGAGCCGTCATGATTACCGACCTAACGGTTTTGCATAAATAGGGTGGAGGGAAAAAGCAATTATAACATATGTAATGAGAACTGAGGTAAAATGTAAGTCTCTGGATTATTTCGACAATTCGATGTTTTTTTAATCGGAACTCCCCGGTTACCCCCCCCCCCCCCGCACCGTTTGCTTGATAATCAGGGTGTTGGACTCCAGTGTCAGTCTCCACCAGATCTAACCTCTTTCTGATAGCTTGAACTGATTTGGTTGGCTATATAACTTTGTAGATATCTTATCTGGCAGAATTGAGACTCTGACCATTGCCACGCAATATCAAGTGATTGGCGGGAGTCTTTTGGGGTGATTGGTTTCTCATATGACGAGCTCGGAGTATAAAGGGAGAATACGGAAAACAAGTTCAACCTGCGCTTAAAGCCATTTTATCTCGATAGCTCGATGGGTTTTATCCCAATTTCTTAGACTAGGTCGAGGTTGGCTTTGTTCTAACGGCATTCGCTTGCGCCTTACTCCAGCATCTATGGGAAATTATTGAGAGACTGTCCCTTTAGATATTCACCACCTTATTGATGTTAAAGCTAGAATCTAGAATCTAGAATGTAAATGTGATGGGTTTCCATCACGATAAAAATATTTACTTAGACCGAGCGCGTACTCGTATGGACGCGACTGGACGTGTTCATATCTGGTCTATGCTGTAGTTAATTTCATAAAAGTACGATAAAGTGTTGGGTTCATCGCACCTCCGAAGTCATTTTCTCGTCAATAGTCCGCACTAGCCCTATACCGTCAGGTTACGAACAGGTCTTTCAGGTGATTCTATACAAAACCATCGTTTGAATCGCGTGCCTTCTGCATACGTAATTGACAGAGTTGTCGCGGAAGACATATTGCCGAATATCCGAATTGTCGGATATAAGTTTCTCTGGAATATCGACATGGCCCACAAAATGGTGGTAGCTATGAATTTTAACAGGTCAAGCCTTAATCAAGCGGCAACACTATTTCCATCTCTCCTGCAAGACCCAATTCTTTTTTTCTAACGCCATGGGCTGGTGGCCAACCCTAAAAAAAAGCGGGAAATGGATTCAAGAACTACCGGCGACTCAAATCTTCCACTTCATACTCGTCACTCTTTTCCCCAACGCCTAGAGAGGTTGGATATATGATTCTGATTGATTATGGGGGACGACAACATGAATCTAAAGCCGGTCGAGTCGGCGCGGTCACTCGCTTCAACTTTCTCGCCCATCCACGAGGTCTTTTTCGTTGCCATTGTTTGCATGGGTCAATTTATGACACAAACCAATGTCGGAGTATGTCTTTCACCGCTTGATATTGTCGGTGATAGCTTTGGTATCGATGACCCTGGCATTTTGAGCTGGTTCATGGCTGGGTACTCCTTGACTGTTGGCACATTCATCTTGGTGTCTGGCCGGTGCGGCGATCTATTCGGTTATCGTCGAATGTTCATCATCGGATTCTGCTGGATTGCGCTCTGGTCTCTTGTTGCAGGTCTCAGCGTCTATTCTAACTATATCCTCTTTGTCTTCGCACGTGTTTTCCAAGGCATCGGTGGCGCATTGCTGATGCCCAACGCATTGGCTCTTCTCGGAGCCACTTACCAACAAGGAAAGAGAAAGAATATGATTTTTGCCATCTTCGGTGCCGCTGCCCCAAACAGTGCCCTTTTGGGATCTGTCTTCGGTGCGATCTTCTCTCAGTTAGCTTGGTGGCCCTGGACATATTGGACCCAGGCTCTCGTTGCTCTTGGTTGCGCTGGATTAGGCCTGCTCGTGATCCCGTCCATTCACCATGACACTCCCTTTGATAAATCCTTCCTGGGTCTGCTAAAAGCTCTCGATGCGCTCGGTGGAGCCTGCGGTATCGGTGGCCTGGTGCTCGTGAACATTGCATGGAACCAGGCACCTATCGTGGGATGGAGCGAACCCTACGTCTATATTCTTCTGATCATTGGAATTTTGTTAATCGCGGCGTTCTTCTGTGTCGAATTCTGGGTAGCCGAGCAACCCCTCATTCCGTTCCACGCATTCAGTCGCGATGTCTCATTTGTCCTTGGTTGTGTTGCCTGCGGTTGGGGCTCATTCGGAATCTGGATCTACTACTTCTGGCGATTTGAAGAGAACTTCCGTCAGGTGACCCCTCTGCTGGCTTCTGCTCAGTTTGTCCCCGTGGGTCCTGTGGGTATCATCGCATGCGTTGTCACCGGATGGCTGATGGGCCGCATGCGCCCCGGGCTGATCATGGTGTTGTCGATGACTGCCTTCACCTTAGGCAATGTTTTGATAGCAATTGCTCCGGTGCACCAGACCTATTGGGCCCTGACATTCGTTTGCTTGTTAGTTATCCCTTGGGGTATGGATATGTCCTTCCCCGCAGCGACTCTGATGTTGTCAAATGCGGTTGAGCGCAAGCATCAGGGTGTCGCAGCGTCATTGGTAACTACTATCGTCAACTACAGCATCTCGCTGAGTTTGGGACTCGCCGGTACTGTGGAAGTTCACGTCAACAATGGAGGTCACACTCCCGATGATGTTCTGAAAGGATATAGGGGCGCGTTGTATTTGGCTGTTGGTCTTGGTGGGTTAGGGATGTTCCTCAGTGCGATCTACGCATTTAAGGGTTATCGAGATGAGAGACAGTCAGTAAATTCCAATAACGAGGAAGCTTAGGAATAAGTTAGTGTCTAATTGTATGTAATATTTAATTTAGAAAATCAACAAACTAGTCAATCAAGCTTAGTACTTAGCTAGAAACAAGGTCATCAGATAATATTTACCGGCTTTTAGGTCATTTCAACTTATTAGTCTTCTTCCTACGTAGTCATCTATCATCTTCAAGATCACATGGCGACTGCAACCTCTAGGATCATTCAGTGGCTTAAAGGTTCCTTCCCTGGCAATTGATACATCAACCTTCCAATCTGTCCCCAACAACACGTTGAACCTCAGAAAAGACCACCTTTATCCCTCAACTCATCGTCGATAATTAGTTGAAAAGGGACCGACTTGTGACACTTTTGCATTTTTGCGGCATGCCACCGACCAGCACTGTCCACTCAAAATGGTTTGCGAACTCGCCGCTTGGTAAAGAAGTATGGTTGGGTGGAACAAACACCTGTGTACGGAATGCCTAGTTCCGAACTCTGTCTGGATGGACCTCGGCATCGAAGATAAAATCTCAATACGGCCATTGCCTCACTAACAGAATCCTATGGAAGAGGGAAAATGTCGCGGACTTGGCCAACCTTCAATGCAAGTCTGGCGAGTTTTGGAATCTACCAAACTGGGGAAAGGCTTCAACAGAGAAGTATCTGACTGGGTGTGAGGGTTCCTTAATCATATCGAACCACCTTGCCTTTTAACCCGGAAAGCTGATCCTGATTGGATCCTTTTCCAATCTGCGGGATCAACAATTCCACATCAGAGGAGCCCAAGGTTCCGGTCAGGGCAAATCTTAAAAGAGATGTAAGTCCAAACCTGGCTAAAGCTTCAAGCTCAGGGTCTTCTAGTTCGAGTGGTATAAATAGGTGTGGAATCATGATGTCCATTTTGTGGTGCTGTAAATAGTAATTCTATGATTCTCTATGTGCTTCTTGGATATCCTTCTCGATACATAGTTAGTGATAATATACAACTCAGTCAATCCCTTATTCAAACAAATTTTCATACCTAGACGCGAAGGGTCGGATTACTAATGCCGCATTAAGATAGACCTGATCTGGAAAATAGGATGCCTCATTGTCGATATCGTGGAGTCCACTGACTCCATAACTCGATGCCGCACATGAAGTATTCCAGGCCCTTGATGTACATTTCAAGTTCATAGGTCAAGCTTTCCATACTGTTATGTCGAATTTCATCAGTGGATTGCTTAAAAGCGAGCTCCAATTCCCGACAGTAGCTATACATCAAGCGCTTGCAGGCTGTATATGGTAGTCCTGTCTCGTTGGCAAGAATGTAGATGGCGGAGAATGGCTGGGCACCATCGGTTGGGTTCGCCTGGTATACTTTCCATTCTCGCTCCCAGCTATAGATATCATTCATAACACTGACATGCCGAAATGCCGTGCTTTCCAAAGCGGCGGTATTTTTGAGTTCAGGGGAAGTGAGATAGAGCTTGGCACCGAATCTAATGAGAGCTGTGTAGAGTCTACATAGCCGTCAGTACTCAACAACGATTTCTGAAAATAAACAACGACAATACATACGGTCTGCCCATATCTATCTCCCTAAACTTGAGGTATGATCCGAGAGCTTTTATTGTGGCCCTCTCTTGAGATGTCTGTGCCTGCAGCAGTTGACAGAATCCATGGGCAACATCACTTGCCAGAATCTCATCCATACTTCGCATGGCCATAACCGTATCGTGAAGCATCCACTCAAGACAGATACTTCTATCGGGGCTCGCTGTTCCAAGGGCAATTGTCATAACCCTGTCCCGATACGACAGCATTTGTGTAAAACTCATTTTCTCAAGTTGATCTATCTCAAAGGTCAATAATAGATGTCCAAACGGAACCCCCGGCCATGAGAACTCACCATCAATGAGTAAAGATAAGTAAAGCATCTTGCATGTCAAATCAATGCGATCGTCTCGCGTCAATGGAAAAAAGTGACTAAAGGCGCGGGAGAACCCGACACAAAGGAACCCCTTTTTCTCCTTCTCGCTGGCGAAATTCCAATTATTGCCGAAATATGGCTCAACCTGTGCTTGAATTTGTTCCCATCCTAGTGGATGAGTTTTGGATTCTAGTCGGCGTGCTGGAATCTCACAAGGGACATTTCGTGGTGTTGAGTACTGTCTGGCCGATTTTTTTATCGAATAGATATGGGACATAAAGACCGGCCGATTAACAGCCAATCCCACGTCAAATCGGCGTTCATTTGCCAATAGCTTCCAGATGCATGCCCTTTGAAATCTATGCATTGCAGCTTATATCGATTGGATTTCATTTGAGTTTTTGGTTGGCGATTGCGAGTCTCCACCACAGATGCTGCACAAAATTACGCACGGACCATCGAAACGTGATGTCACCCATATCAACCAACCATGGTCCATGTTACTCTTCTTTTTACGCTTATCTCTAATTCTACTCCAAGTTTGCTTCATACATATGTACGCACCATACCAATCGACATTCTCTCTCCATTACTATCTCATCTTGCAAGCTGAACTCAATATTAGAAATCAGTTCTACCCCGCCAATCCGATCGTCGGCGTTTGCGAGAGAAGGCCGAGACCTTCATACTGACATATGGTTCTAGCTTCGGCTTCTATCAGCCATCAAAGCTCTCTTCAGGTAGCCCTCCGGCGCCTCAGTGCAATCAAAGCATATAGTGGAAGTTTTCCCAGCAGTTCTTTGAGTCTATCAACGAAGGCTGCCACAATGAGCGCACCGTCAGAGAACCGACAGCCTGCCCCATGGCGCGATATCCTTGATTCTCATCTCAAACAAACACCTGGATATGAATTCACAATTGCAACAATTGGCTACAATGCTCAGCAGCGTCCTGTACCTCGCCTGCGGACTTGCGGCTGTCGTGGTTTCTTCCCAGAACTCGAGCTCCACCCTAAGGGCCAGGAAGCTATGGATCAGCAGGTGGAAGGTGGTGGCAATCCACCCGTGTTCGAAAGTGACATGCTTTCGTTTACCACTGATGCTCGAATGGATAAGCTTCCTCAACTGGAGTCCTCGGGTCATGCGATTGAAGCGGTGTTCTGGCTAAAGGATCTCATGACTCAGTGGCGCATCAAGGGGACGGCATATGCAATTGGCAACCCAAGTGGAGAGGATTCAGAGGAAGAGAAGACATCTCGAAATGAGATTAGAAAAGCATTGAGGGTGAAGGGGGATAACGACAGCGACATCGCAAAGTGGACATGGGAAAAGGCTGTCACAAAATACTTTGCAAACCACTCCCCTGTCGCAAGAGGTATGTTGTCTCTATCTAGGTTCTTGTGTTTTATTCCTACATTGATCTTATACCAGATTACAAAGCCGGTTGTTTTCCTGTCATCCGGAGCCCTTACTGACTGGGAATCTAGGTTCTTTCCGAAACCCTCACCCTGGACAACCTAGATCCTCAACTCCCAGCCAATTAGATCTCAAACTAGGTCAAAAGGTTCTGGACCTACATGACTCTGTTGCACGGGCAAATTTCCGAGTTGTCGTTATTCGACCGGAGGAGGTTGAGCGTTTAGATCTTACTGATCAAGAGGACGCCAAAAGATGGAACTGGACGTTGATTGACGGAAACGATGTTTCTTGGTGGAATGAGGTTGAATTGTGGCCGTGATTCTACAAATACTGCAAAGAGGTTTATTTTATACACGTTTAGATGAACTTGTATTCCAAAGAATATGCATGAATCGAGCTACCTACGTTGGATGTTTTCATCTAAAGTTATAAGGCTCTGTATCTATACGTATTAATGGGATATCTTGAAAAAAAAAAGCCTAATGTCTTGGTAGTTTCCGTAGGTGCTTATCGGAAGCTGCACCGAGTAAGTAAGATTATCAAATCTGTTTGATTTTCGTGGTTTGCTTGATGTGTGTGAGCTTGTCGTTTTGCTTTCTGGTTGTCGCATGCCTGAAAGAATCTTCACTCTTGTCAACCTGTCGCAACTCGAACACAACGACTAATAACGACTAATACGCGTCGCACGCGCGACAGTTACCTTTCACTTCTCATTTCCTCTGATCTCATTAGTAAAAGTGAGTCCCCTCAAATCTCATTCTCTTACCTGCGTTATCCCAGCACATACCCGACCACCGACACGTTCAAATAGTGTCTGATACCAAGATGCCTAACGACAACCCTGCCTGCGCTGACTGTAAAGCCAAGAAGAAGCGGTGCATTCACCGTAACCAGCCTGTGAAGGTCACCGAGGCTGAAGCTGTCCCAGCCAGCATGTCTTCCCCCTCCGCTCCCCCTCCCCCTCCCCCTCCTGTCCCAACTCCCACCGCGACTCCCGCCCCTGTGGCTCCCCCCGGTCCAGCTACCAGAGGCCGTCGCAAGGCCGCTGAGGCTAAGGCCAAGGCCAAGGTACGTAACATAGACCCTTTAACTTATCTTTGGTGTTGTCACCCAGCTAACGCATGGGTGTAGGAGATGAGTCCCGCTCCCGCGGACTCCAGTGACGAGCTTTCCTCCGTGCCCTCCGAGGCCGAGGAGAAGCCGGTGGTCAACAAACCCACCAAGCGCACTCGCCGCGCCAATACCACCGCCGCCGAGTCCCAGACCGGGGCCCCTGACCTCTCCCCCGATAATCTCCATGCCGCCTCCACCATGTCCATCCACCGCGTCTGGGCGCGCGTGCTTCAGGGCAACCTCCAGGAACTTGAGAGGAGCATGCAGGCCTTCAATGAGGCTCACCGCGAGAGCCTCGCCGCTCCTCAGGCCTTGAACGAGGCCCACCGTGAGACCCTCGCCGCCGCCCAGGCCATCCAGCGCACTGTCGAGGGCTGGATTCAGACCTGGGCGGCCACTGGTCGTTAAGCATTCTCAACGTTCATCGCCGCACCCTTCCAACGCCTCGGTCCTGGTTTCTTTGGTTCTCATGCTTTGGGATGGATATTTGCGGTCGGTTGAGATGTTATCGGAGGGAATTTTAGAGGGAAATTTACTGGTTCTGATCTGAGAGGAAATTCTTCGGTCCCTGATACGGGACGTGCGCGACCAGGTCGGGATAATTCACGTGGCTTGAAGCCACGTGAGCCTGGTCGGCACCCACGGATCTGTTTGTTTTGTTTTCGAGAAACGTTCCTGGTGTCCCTGGACACCTACATTATCCATGGATTTTCGAAGTCGAGTCGTCTTTGTAAACATAAACCCCTATACTACCGAGTAGTAGATTCAACATGTATACTCCATAGTTGGTCGGCCGTAATGATTAGCATAGTCCAATGTGGAATGAGTTATTTGTATGTCACGTGTGAAGCCTAGACTAGAAACTCCAAAGCCGTCTTTAAAAAATATATATATTACTTTAAAATTGTTTTGGAGAGTCGGGGACCTGATATGGGTACAGGGAAGTTCCCAGGAGAAAATGCCAAGAGGAATTCTATGATACCTATGACGGTCGATTTCCTCCGATCAGCCAACCACCGTTGGTTATCAAAATACAGTGGGTCCCGGCCTCCAACCAGGGACACTCCCGGTTCTTCCGCGGGAGGGATCGTCCGGCTCCCAATAGTGTGCCTAGGGACTCCATTTTCTTTTGGTATTTGAGTACGGAGTATGTATTAGAGTATTTGACTTTCACAATACTCGTATTCCCCGTGATCCCCGTGATCCCCGAGTCCCCGGTTTTTGGTCCCCGACCGTTACGTGTCAAACCTGTCTTAGGAAAGGTGTGTGTTGATGTTTACGAAACAGGGTTCTCATCAAATTTAATTGTCTTTTCTATTTGGTCTTGTCTAATTCAACAATCTCTAGTTCTCCAGGAATCTCCCCATATATTTCGGTTGCCGGGAGACTCGACTTTCCGAAGAATGGGTGACTTGAGTACAGCGGGTGGATGGTCAGGATCTTCTCATAATGATCATCACGAACTTTTTTGGAGTCTGATAGAGGAAGCTAAAGTACTAATGGAGTACGGAGTACTCCGTATACTCAGTTCCCTAGGGCAACACTACTCTTAGTCTGCATAAACTGACACTGACACATGCAGCAATCTGCCTCACCGCTTAAATGATAATGGTACAGGCGGTCCAATCACTAATGAAAGATCAGAAGTTGCCGATGCAGTTAGCCCTAGGATATGCAGGACGTGCAGGATTCCTATCAAATACATCAGGGGCCTTTTTCTGTACAACTGTCCCGTATATAGTTATGTACGGTATTCGTACTCCGTAGCAAGATATGACCCACTAAACAAAGTATTTACCATACCAATACCATACTCTTCAATTTCTCGATTTCCAAAGTTCTCTTATTTCTGTTCGAACTTTCCCCTCCTCTCTGCTTCACCGTTACTTGCACTTTTAACTGCAGATCATATATCATTGAGGGGTCAATAATCTCCTTTTTCGCTTTCTCCGTCACCTTTTGTCTTCCCTTCCGATTCTGGTCGAACTCACGATTTACGACGAAACGATCACCCAAACACCTACCCAACTATAAACAGGAGATTCAATAATTTGTTATGGCCATGGCATCAATGGATGCTCTAGGGGCCTTCACCCACATGAAAGACAACCTTCCTGCATGGATCGCTCGCGTTTCAGAGCTTGCTACACACACTCACAAGAAACACAATGAATACTCCGAAGCTTACAGACGCCACGCAAACATCAAGTCCCGCCGACGCAAAAACAGCTCTGTTTGCTCCATCCATACCAATGACCTCGTTCCGATCGCACAAAGGAAGAGTCCCAGCCCAGAACCTCTGACCCTGGAGACACCACAGGATGCGCCCGAGCAAGGCCAACGTTCAGGTCGCAAGCGCACTACAGATGACGCCCCATCAGTCGAGTCCAATGAAGAATACAACATGTTGGTAAGCACACGGCACAATGTCATCATTGAGTATGATGGCCATACACAGCAGACACTCGAGACAATTGTACACGATATCGGGGTGGCCAGGAACAACATCAGACGAGGGCAAATGTCATTGATGCCGCGCACAGGACTGCGCTCGGGCTTGTTGAGCAAAGGCATGATGAATATGCCGAGTGGACTGGGACAGACAGGGCCACTCTCTTGTGTTCGCAGCACCCGGACCACGGCTGGAGTTGTCGGTATTTCTGGGACCAGCGCACTTCGGAAAGACTCCCCTTTTGATTTCGCAGACAAGCAATTGGAACTTGCTCATTCGCTTTGCGAGACAGCAGCTTACCAAGTCCTCCGATCGGGCGACTGTGGCACGGAACTGGACGGCGTGGAGGAGAAATTCAAGATGCTACTCGAGGCGGCTATCAACGAGGTCGACCGCATTATGGCAGAAAAGAAACAACAAGAAGAACACGAGCAAAAACAGCAAGAAGGGACTGCGGAAGAAGGACCTCCCAAACCGCCCCCTACTCCATCCGCGGCGCGACTTGCCATGGTTGCTGCCATTGCTGCGAACAAACCCTCAATAGCCACGGCAGGCACCATTGAAGTCGATGATAACTCATCTCTCTCGGCTGAGTCGATTGATCTCACTGCATTCCGATCCACTCGGATCCGAGTTTAAACCCTGGCACAGCCAACACTTGATCTCATTAGCGATTTAGCGTGTGTTGAAACCCTTCCAGCAAAACCATTACAGCCAGTTGATCCCTTTGATCTGTTGAGACCATTTCTTTCTCTTTGATTGCGATCTGATTTGTAGTTACGGGGGCGCGCACACCAATTACTCCATTCATTCTCATATTTGCGATCCATATTTTACTGTTCTTACTGTCTTTGATCTCATTTTTCAAGATTGTCCTTGTTTGGGTTTGGGGGTACATATCTCCTACCTATCTCTTGCATCAGCTCATGACTCATTCCCCAAGGGAGCACGGCGTTGGAATCGGCGTTTTTATTGTTATTTATGTTTCTTCTGTCCTTGTCCACCGAGTTTTCTGGGCCCCTCTACGTTCCTTGCATCCATTCTCAGTACATATTTCTGGCAGGAATTTGAGTTTTCTTTTCATGGATATTTCAGCTTTGTTGTCAGGTTCGCATATAAGGTCTACAATACAAATAATTGCTCGGAGTACTCCGTACGTTGAAGGCGTGATGGGTCCAACATTCTAACAGATTTGAGTCAAGTTCCGCCAATAATGTGAAATGTACAAATGAATTTGTGTCCTTGTCATTATCCTTGTCATTATCCTTGTCTTCCCTGTAATAATCCTGGACTCAGGGCTCGGCAATGTCCCAATGCATGACCGTTGCCGTCCCCTGCCTCGGTACGGGAAGCCAACGGCATGCATGTCTTTAAATGATCCACCAAGCAAAGTCGCCAGGACGGGGCTGTCCGGAAGCCAGTGATACCCAACCTTCCTAATTAAGTAAACAGTCTGGTAATATAGTAGCGTGGAGACACAAGTGGGGGGGCCTTAGGGGTGAACTCCCATTCTTTGTACAACTACAATTATATGTTGAATACTCCATATAACAGATAACAAAGTGTATCATCCGTGTGCACTGCCGCTCAGATCATCTTTATCGTTCTCCACGGCAGCCACGAGGGCTGGGGCGGCAATTTCCTTAATTTGTTGAAGGATTTACACGTATGCATGCATGGCACATGCTGCGGAGAGTACAAAGTACAATGTACATCATGCGACCCATTAAAGGTGCCTACTTCGTGCTTAGTACAGAAAAGTCTTGTTTTTCTGCGTGCGAATGCATACTTTGTATGGGGTACACATATTTCTATATGCATTGAGAGGAAATTGAAAAACATATATACATGATATTATTATGCATGGTCTAGACACATTCTCTTTCGATGGATGTGGCAGCTGAAATGATAATAATAATAATAACATACGGAGTAGATGATAATAATATATGGTGGCATCCACCTGGCATGCAAGTACAGGGATCTTGCTTCTCGAATATATGTACGTAACTGAATCATGAATACAATCTATCTGTATTAGTATTATATTCCTTCTTTCTCGTTCTTCCAGCTTCTAACTCTAATGTCCCCTTGATGGTCTCACCTTGAGCATAGGCTCTATATTGGAAGATCCCAATTCAATCTAAAAACATGGGATATATCAAGATGCTTAGCATCAAAGCTGACACTCTTAATTCTGATATCACTACAGTATAGGTATAGTAATTTAGTATGTATTCTGTATCGAACCCCCACCCGTCTCTATGCCGATCATCTCGCTGTCAGCTTTACCTTCCCTTTTTAGGTAGCGTGGATCATTTTTCCAGTGGTTTTTTTTTTCCTTTTTTTTTACGGGATAAAAGTACGATGTAAGAGGGAAGTCAGATTTGAGTCTTTCTACAGACAAAATTGTTTTTTGATGGTTTGACTGTGCTTTATCCCTATACAAACGGAGTACAGAAATGCGTCCTACCCCTTAATAGGAGATTCCATGATACATTTACAGATGTATCAGGCATCAACCAAAAAAAAACACAAACACACACACACACACACACACACACACACACATTACAACCCAAAATTTGTATTTTAAATTGATAATATCGACCCCACTCCCACTAGCCAGAATTGACAGGTGTCAGAGAACATCGCAAGCCAGGCACGCCACCACGGTATCCTACCGCAATTAATCCTGGGCAACAAGGGGGCTATGACGCTTGGCGGCCCTTTCTCTGTTACTTAGTACTAAATTCACAACAAGGATGTGAACAAGGTGTATAGGCTATAGTAACCTCCTTCCCTCCTTGGCAAGAGGGTCGCAGGATTCTAGTAGCTTGCTAGCAGGGAAGGTTCTGCTAGTTTCTATTATTTCAATTATTTCAGGGGAGATGTTGGTACTTCTGGATGTGATGTCTAAATTGCGGCAGGATCAAATTTCGTTTGTAAGTATACTCCGTATGTGGTGTGATGATACACAGCATACACTTTGTGCGGGTACTTGATTGTCGAAAGGTAAAAGCCACCTGGGCACCTCAAAAGAAGCTTACTTGCAGGGGAATGGGGCGATTTGGGTTAAATACGAGTAACAGAGAACTAGCTGTATTAATCACCTCGGCCTTGACAAAAGCACCTACATGTCACATGTTCACAGGTAATGTTGTAAAGTACGAGATCTCATTGAGTGTATCCGCAATAGGGATGTCTACAATGTACTCTATGGCATAATAAAGTCGAGGATGCCTCAGTAATAGAGATCCAGATTACTAGTTGACTGGTATTTCTCAATCCAAGGACTAGACTGCTTATTTTGCAATACTCGAGAAGTCATGTGTGGTATACAAAGTAAAATATTGAATATATATTATGTACCCGAGAAACGAGAAAAATGAAGAACCTCACTATACTACAAATACTTCTTTACAAGGTCAGGAGATTCGATATTCAAGTTCTGTAGTCTCCCAGTGAGCTATAATGTGAAAATCAGATGGCATAATAAGGACTCCATTCAATATATATATATTACTGAGTGACCATGATCAGAAGAGTTACTGACTTCCTGGGATTTGATATCCATCCATGTCATTGATCCGAATTCGTTGGGACTTTGCAATGATAGTACCAGGACAACTGTGCAAAATCCAAAATCTATTGCCCAACAGCAAAAAGATATTTATTCTTTTAAAAAAGTAGCAATCACTTTTCATGTTCAAAACATATATAGATAAAAAATATAAATGATATTGCATTGACGGGGAATCGAACCCCGGCCACTACTTATCAACCACTTCAGATGAAATGATATGGAAGAGTAGTATTCTACCACTGAACTACCAAAGCTTCTTATTAATCATGCCATCTTGTAACGTACTCTGACTTCCTAGAATTTGAATCACTTTTATAAAGGTGTGGATTGGATTCGAATACGTTAGACAACCCGAGGAGTATTAAGGCAAGTATACCCTGAACCCATCTAACCTAACTGTGACCAGTTAGCAGTGCGTAATACGCCACTAAAAAGGGTTAGAGAATTAGATAAATAGGAAGTCGATAAAATCTTAGATATAAGAACCTACTACTATAAGTTATAATACCGAGTATAGTAGCTTAGATATAATCTCGATCTATAGTAGTCACCTATTAGAAAATTTAAATATATACCGAAGAGGTTCTAGGAATTCTACGAATAGTACCTTTTAAAACCTAGCCCTCCTATACGACTCTAAGACTAGCTTAATACTAATAAAGAAGGACGAACCCTAGAAGATCATACTAACGATAACAAGCTAGCATTTAGGGACTAAATATATTCTTAGTCGGGGGTTATATAACGAATGTTTCTTTGAGAATATTTCCGGACTCAACAGGTGCTGTGGTGAAGCTATAGTGGGTGAGATAGAAAAAGACTTGAAGACCGGCAAGCTCGAGAGGCCACACGTTATCGTACGCATCATATGCGTGTCATTCTTCTTCAAACAAGATGACCAGTAAGCCTGCGATAAGTAGGTGGGCACCAACCGCCTCTGGAAACAATTCTCGAAGGCTGTCGAGATCAGCTGGTGTGAGGAATCGCCTCGGGTTGATATATCGATCAAAGTGCTGGTTGTATTTTTCAGGCGATCGGGGGGTGAGTGGACCATAAGATGTCTCTATGGTATAATCTCCGGGGTAGTAGTGGATAGGTCGACCGCCAGCAAACACACTTTGGGACGCGGCGAGAGGAGAGCTGACAAGCCAAACAGGCTCTCCGAACACAGACTCCGAGACACACACATCCTCCTGTGAAGATAGACTTGGACGGTGGGTTCTGATAAACTGCTCATTTTCTTTGTTGATATGAGTTACTGATTCCGCGCGAAAAGCGTCTGCTAGGGAGCTATCTCCAGTGAAGGAGACTGATAGAAGAAACTTGGTCAGCGCTGGAAAAACGAACCTCGCAACAGGAGAGGTGTCGACATACCATCTACAGTTCGGAATGAAGTTGGCTTATTTGCAGCACTATGGGGAGGAATGTCTTGGTCCCTGGCTGGGATGGCAGGGTATGCAAACCCCGCTGTCTTGCGACGTTTTGCATGTGGACGAATGATATCTGACTTGGTTGTGGATCGAAAACGTTTCTGCAGCGGGATCAACCGGTCGCCCCTCCCCACTCGATATCGGGGCCTTGAAGGATGGAATTTTCGTGTGCGGAGCTGATGCTATTGTGATTCTGTCGGTGTTCGAGATCAAATTGTGAAACAAGCCTTGTCGGCCGGAAGATGTCATCAACCCATAGTGTGTGGGAAAGAAGGAAAGTGAAGTGAGAGGATGAGGAGAAAGAGATGGAGAGGAGAAAGACCCTTTTATAGCATTTGGATGATGACAGGAATACGTGGACGCACGAAGTAACGTAGAACTGCCCCAGGTGTCTCTACCTAGGTAGCTATCCTTCCCTTTCCTATCATTTTACTGTCGATCAAATACGGGCCCATGGCCATCAAAATCCTGATTGAAAGCCAGGCTAGGGTTCCAACGCATAAGTATTAATTGTTCCCTCCACTGCGCAACCGACGTCGTAATGTGCATCACGTAGCACCAATTTCCATCCTGTCATTTCCATATCCGGGTCCACCGCTATCCACAGGGCGTGCACTTGTTAAATTACCAGTGGATGGAGTAGAGGCAGTGACGAAATAACCGGAGAGCTGTTGAACTGATGAATTCAGGAATCAGGATACGTGCGTGGAGAATTCAATTGCTGGTTGAGACCAGTGCGGAGGGAATCGTTGATTCCTCTGTGGAAAGCGGAGATTTTCGTGATGTCAGGCTAACCTTGTACTTTGACTTCGTAGAGCACACGTTCGAACGTCGCGGTTTACGTTGGGAGAGTATCTGAAGGTTCCTGCTGATCGAGGGTTCATTTTCAGTCTGCTGCGTAATTGCTCAGGCTATCGTGCATTCAGTGAGCTGTCGAGGGTCCGTCTTCGTCTCCTGCGTATTGGTCGGACTGTCTAACCCGTTGGAGCCGATCGAGGGTCGAATTGAAGTCATGTATGCCGGAATCGCGCGCGGGAGCCACTAAAAGAAAAAACCATTGTCGGGCAGGACCCGACTGGAGAGGTGGAGGTAAACGTAGTAAAGTTGAGCTGCATCCCGAGGCAGCATTGGTTCTTGTATTCGCAGACCCTAATGGTAAAGGCTCCACTGAATCGAAGGCCTCCGGTGATAGAGCTGGCTAGGTCGGCGTTTTTCACTAGGCAGACACATCATGGATGCTTTGACCAACATTATGACACGTAGTTAGGATAAGTAGGTACTGGGACACCGACCATCGACCGCTGGGGAGAGTGGGGGAAGCAGTCTCTGGCGGTTCATTGTAGACAAGGCGATATGTTCCTGCAGTTCATTGCGCTTGTTCCTCCTGCGATCCGCGCTATTTCAAATTCAACGTCAAGTTGTGGGAATCAGTCACCCGACCCTAGTGGGATTCCCTTCTAAATCCAGAATATGTGAATTTCATCACTACTCTAGTAGAAAAACTGGTCGCAGCGGGCTGTGCTCCACGGGACATCTTGGTCCTATCATTCTACGATGAGGAATGCTGCGCTCTATCTTCTTTACTCCATGGTGAGATAGGCCTGAAGGATATTGACATTAAAAGTGTTGATGCCGCCCAAAGGAGTGAAAGCCCCTTTTCGGGATTCAATTAACGTTGTGAAATTTGAATTTATTTGAATTCAGTATCATTCATGTCTTATTAAACATAAGACGCACCTAAACGGATATCATCACTCATAAACCCCTGCTCCTTCTATTTAACCCATTGAAAATGCCCAACATAGCCCGGCCCTGAAAGATAGACAGTACGAAATAAAGAAAAAGAACATATTCAAGAGACAGAAAGCACAATCCCATCTCACATCTCCTCGTAGGCACAATCAGGATGCATGACGAAAAGAACTTTGCCGTCATTTTGCTGGGCGTCATCATTAGTTCCATCTGTGAGGCCAGACCCGGAGATACGCAGCAGGAGTTTGTCCTACAGAATAACTTTGTTAGTGGCATGTACTTGATGCAAATTTACAGAAATTGCCGTAGCAAAGGAAGAACGACTAACCTTGACCATGCGTTTCAAGACTTTGCCTGCCAAATCGCGCTCGCGCTCGTAATCATCTTCGGTGTTGAGTTCACCCTCAATTTGCTCCAAGTACCAGAGTACAAGATCCTCTTGCTCGACACCTTCGCCTGAGTTCACCTCGTCCTCGTGTACGCGTCGGACGATCTGGTTCAGGATCTTGGCGTACTTGTCGTAAGTGATCTTGGTCTTCTGGCGTTCCGGCTGGGCAGGGGCTTGAGCAGGTTCTGCGATATCACGCATGGGGCTGTCACCCTCGTTGTCGCCATCGGCCATCTCCTGGTCTTCATCGGCGCCGTTGGCGTGAGTAGGGACATCATCTTCAATCTCAACATCATCTTTCTCAACAGTGACGATACTCTGGCGGAGAAGATCGTATGCCTCGATGACGAACTTGGGAGTGATCTCCTCGACACAGTTGGCCTTGGCAACAGCCTCGGACAAACGGATCAATGACTCGAGCTGACGAACGGTGATACGGTATGAAGAGCGGCCCACACCTCCCTGGGCGTCATTGGAGCGTAGCTCCTTGTATTTCTCGACCAACAGTGTCTTCGCTTCGTCAGTGAAGACGGGGCGGAATGTGCGTGCAAACCGGATGTAGCGCTGCAGTTGTTCTGTGCTCAGCTCGGGCTCAACAGCCTCGTCGCGGTTCATGTGCACATTGACAATGTGCTCAGCCAAGCTGCGGTCAACAGACTCCTTTGGGTCATCGCGGATAACAAAGAACACATCGAAACGACTCATAATGGGAGCGCTGAAGTTCAAGTTGTTCCGAAGGGTTTGCTTCGGGTCATAGCGACCATTAACGGGGTTGGCGGCAGCGAGGATCGATGCGCGGGCATTCAGAGTAGTATGGATACCAGCCTTGGCAATAGAGATTGTCTGCTGTTCCATGGCTTCGTGAATAGCGACCTGATCGGCGATATCCATTTTATCAAACTCGTCAATGGCACAAATACCACCACCGTTCTACAAGTAAAATGTCAGCGTTGAACCCAAACTTAATCAGAACTGCATTTGGGACATACCGCAAGCATCAGGGCACCGGCTTCAATGGTGAACTCGCCTGTCTCGGGATCCTTGACCACTGAAGCGGTCAAACCAGCTGCCGAGGAGGCTTTACCACTGGTGTATACTGCACGAGGGTGCAATGAGCAAACATATCTAAGGAACCAAGTCAGTAACCAATGGCTATGTGTAAGGAGTTGGCAAGACTTACTTCAAGAACTGACTCTTACTGGTCGATGGATCGCCAACAATACAGATGTTGATATCACCGCGAAGTTTCAGGCTCTCAATTGAGGTCGACTTGCCAACACCACCAATCAACTGCAAAAGCAGACCCTTCTTGATTTGACGATGACCCCAGATCATGGGGGCAATCGAGTCCACAAGTCGGGAGTAAATATATTCGGAGTGCACCAGTCGCTTGAGATCCTGGACTTCAGCCGGGGTAAGACTTTGCAAGAAAGCTTCTTGGGCTGATTCATCCCCAATATCAGCCTCCTGGTTCTGGTTCAAGGAAGCCAGGATATTATTTGACTGGCCACTCAGCTGCTGCTCCGGCTTCTGGCCAGGAGTCGTTGTGTCTGGAGTAACCATGCAAGAAAGGAAGGCCAATCGGTAAGTCAGATCACGCACGCCCAGAGACTTCAATCCAGAGACTCCGCTACCACCGACCTCGTTACCCCGGAAGGAATTGTTATCGCGGACGGCCTCAGGACGCACACCCGGAAGACCCAATTGACTGACATCTGGAACGACAATCAAGGTACCTGTGAAGACGCAGCGTTCACCGGCCTTGGCGCGATCAACCATCTCACCACGCAAGATGACATCCATTGTGCGTGGCATACTACCCGTCGGAATTTCGTGCGACGATTCCTGGAGCTTGACTTTTTGCCAATCGACAAATGTACTCTTTCCGATATCCAGGCGCCATCCCACGCGGTTACCGCAGGTGTTATTGGGACACTCCGTTGGCTCAGTATACTTGAAAGTTTGTTCAACATTCGGGACGACAGTCTTGCAACCTTCACAGATAAAAGTACCCAGCGACAATTCTGGTCTAACTTCTGAAGTTCTTGTGACAGTTCCAGAGACGGAAAGCAATTTTCCGATCTGATTTGTCCGAAGTTGTCGGAGTCTGGAAACCAAAGGCAGGTTGTAAAATGCAAGAGCAAACAATTTGTCAGTTTGCTGGTGGCGAGTCTTCTCGCGGATCTGACGCTCAAGGTCGGGGTTATCTGAAACGCCCGCATATGCCGAGGCGACTGAGGTACTAGCTCGCGAAGAGGCGCTGGCAGTCATTCGGTGGGAGACGAAGTATTCAGGCTCGTACTTGGCGATAAGATTGTGAAGTCCCTTGGTGAGGAAGGGTTGGAATCGATAGTATTGGCCGGCAATGGCATCTGCCAAGACAGGGTTAAGGATGTGTGTGAAATCAACGTAGAGAGTTGATAGCTCGAATTTTTTCATCCCCTTGATCTGAGCAATATAATACTTGTCACTAAGAAACTCCCCCGATGAGGGCGGCGCGGAGGATGAGGGTTCATCGATGTATGACTCGAGCAGCTCTTCAAATGCCTGCTGGACTTTCTCTGCCGCCTCATCGACCACCGGCGGGGGGCCAGGGGCATATGGATTTCGCATACGGCTGACTGCCGAACTTCCCGCTCCGACAACTTGGTCATCTGGGAAGGCATTCATATCACTCATCGGCCCATTGCTCTCTGAGCGTCGGGAGCTGGGCAGATTGTCGGATCGGAGGTTTTGATCACGAGAAGGCGCAGAGCCCAGCTCGGACTGGATCACGGCGTCGAAAAGGGAAGACATGGTAAAGAGCTAATCGGCTGAAAATGGCCAATGTAAAAAAGGGTATTAAGCTCTCACGTCTTGAAGGGGGGAAAAATGTGGAGAGATGATATCGTCGATTCAGTTTGCTATCTTAGTTTTTCGTGGGTCTCTTTCGCAGGTCTCCTTGGGCAACTAACGCGCGACGCGAACGCGTCCTCGGAAGAACAGTTGATCCAATACCGACGCGTTAAGTGGTTTCCTTATGTAATTATACACGCTAACCCATATAGGCAGTCGGTCCTCCTCATCTTCACTGCAAATAACATTGAGTCTTCTGCTTAGCGCCCCACTATCGTTCATGTAAGGCGCACAAATGCTAGCTCCCGGGGTATCCGAAGTCATAGCCTAACCTCTGGTCTTCAAACCCTGAAGCATATTCATCTTACACTTACCAATGAAATTAAAGGGGAATAGGGTAGTATGGTCTGCAGCTATGGTCAATTTGGCTCGTTTGACCCCGAATTATTTGTCAATCCTAATAATATAAGGGTTGCAAATCAACACCCCTTTCATTCAATAAGTGACAAATAGGGATATAAGACCGTGAGCCCCTCAACCAGAAGCCCACTTTAAATGATATATTCCAAATCCCGGATACTACGGAGTACTTCACAGTTCGGCGTACTCCGTAATATATATTTGAAATGGAATACGATATACTCCAAATATGAATCTGAGATTATTTCCAAGTATAGAGTAGGACAGTGAACAGGTCAATAAACAGTTTATGCTTGTTTCTGATATGTATATGTGCTTATGTGCTTATGTACTTATGGGTCACCTTGCAAGGTTGGAAATTACATTGGGTAAATGGTTGATGCTTGGCGCTTATATAAGAGCTCCTCCACTCCCCGGGGTGGTGCCCGCACTGGAGCATCTGAAACCATCCCATTATTCCCTCCCGGGGAATTATATTCCCATCGCGTTGTATTATCTCGTGAGTTAGAACTATTCTGTGCTAGCGTACTTCCCTCAGCACCCTTTCTTCTGTGCATATTCTCCGTGACCTTCTGACACTGTCATGATATAGGACTTGTGTGTCTTGCGATGGTTTCTTCCAAATCCAGAGTCCTTGGCTGGAGGAATCTTGGTAACTATTGGTTGGTTATGCAGTCTTGATTGCTTTATTGTGCCGACGAAGGAAATATACTTTTTTGCAGCTCGACATGCCTGAGAACGAACGACGGTTAGTATCGACACTGACCAGGCCCAGCGCTGTCCCGCCGTTGGGCCCGTCTGACACGGATGCATTGGGTAAGCCCCGGCCCGCCTTTACGGGCCAACCTCTCAACTTGCTTGCACAAGTCAGCTAAATCTTCTCAACCAGCACCCTCTGCATCTGGGCGTGGCCAGAAAACCGCCAAACCTGGAAGGCGACGACGCGCCGCTGAATCGACAAACGCACCCAAGAACCAACACTTTTACTTTGTTGATCAGAACTCGTCATCTAAAGAAAAGCGCGCTCATGTTATGCGCCACCATGTACAGGAAAAAAGGAAACAACGCAAAATGTCACGCGGGACACTTCCCACAGAGCATACCCCAGATTATACCTCATATCCGGCGAAGAAAGAGGCAGGCACTGTCGAACAGACGCGACTGGAGTCGCCTTCGACAGCTGCGCAACCCCTCCCAAACGGGGAAACTTCGGTATGGGGATCACTTTCCTTTAGTCAAGTACCTAGGCCACAGCCAAGGCTAGCCTAATCTAGGCGTCGGCTTAGCTGCAAAGACGATGGATCGGAATACTAATCTCGTGGTGTGATACAGCTACAAATCAGATTCTCGAATCTGAAATCACAACCTCATACATCCATGCTACAACACATTGGCTCGCCAATCACGGTACTCGATGCTTCGCGAAGGGATCCGTTTGCCAGTCTCCCAATCGAATATGACACCCTAGATATTGAATTGGCTGACTATTGGAGGAACAAGTTGACATACTGGTCCGGGCAAAACCTTCACGTGAAAAACCAGATTTTCCGCACTGCTATGGGGAGCGTTCTTTCATTCAAGGCAGTAGTCCTGTCATACTGCGCGCGGTGGAAAGCACAACTGTACGGCGTGTCGGACAGCACCGAAATTCAGCGCCATGTTGGTCAAGCTGCGAAAATGATCGATGACGCTACCTCAGGCTTGACGCTTGTCAGGGTGGATGATCTTGCAATGGCCTTGGGGGGAATGGCCTTGCACGAAGGGCGCTTCGGGAGCAAGCAACTGGCCCACACGTATGTTGATCGGGCGGTCCAGATCATGCGACCGAGAACAGGAACCAACAGGCCGGTGGAAGTATTTATCCACTACATCCGATACCTTATGATGCCAGAATACCCCCAGATCAGTTTGACCGAGCAGCAATGGCTGCTCACTTTTCTGCGCGGAGCTGAAGACCTCATGCGACAACATAGCTCCCCCGAATACATACTCCAAGCACCACACAGACTCAAGACTTTCGAGATGGAAAGTCCTCTATTCTCCCTGCTGTCTAGTGGACCGCGGCCCTCTCAAGTGCCGCATGAGTCGCGCGTATATGTGGTCCGCGATGCGCAAACCCAAGAGGTCAGCCGTACGGCGGCGCTCATTTACATCACGGCTGCATTGTGGGATTTCCAGGAGTCCCCAAACAAGACTGACCGATTCCTTCGCTTTTTATGTACGGCGGTGAAACAGCACCATCTCGACCGAGATCCAGCTTGCGAAACCCTTTTGTGGGTGTTGCTGGAGGAAGGACATGATTCCGATCTACAAGATCCCGAACGTGGATGGTCCACTGGCGAGCTGCTCCAGGCACACAAACGGCTACGGCCGGAGCTCCAGTTTCAGTTTAATGAGATTCTCATGAGTTTCTTATCTTTTCAGAGACCTATTCGTGGGGTCACTACATTTGAAGAGGACCTTCGACATAGTCCAAATATTTCTCAATGATAAATTCTCGGATTTAACTCAACGCAGCTACTCTGTACGGAATACTATGGTATCAACACACAACTCAGGTACGAGTGGAATGTCTTGGCAGTCCTGGACCCGAGTACCAGGATAAGTCTAAGCGTCATTGAGTTCACCCCAGTGGATACTAAGGGGGAACCTTGGAAGCTCGAGGGCTGGTTGCCCCTTCCAGATTTTCACACAATTTGATATTCTATGCATATATCATATAGGAAAAAAAAAATTCAAAAAAAATCTATGATTCTTTAGACGTTGCCACACCACTTGGCAAAGAAAGATCGGGTCTCCATGAGTTCCAAGCGCATGCGTAACGCCGAATTATCTCCACTGCAAGACTAACCCGACGCTAACCAAATACGTATGTATCACCCGTAGGCGTGTCGCGTTGCCCACTATCCACCGCGGATTGTGAGATCGATCGTCATACAATTTGCTAGTTGTAACTCTAACGTTACAATGTAGATACATCATTACAGAAGATCAATTCATCGCCCACGATTCACAATAGAGTCCAGAATGTTACGTATTAATTTTTTTTGTTCTCATTGAGGTGCAACAAATGCAGCTCCTGTTGTCTGGGGGGCAGCTAAGGTTTCAAGTTGTGAGAATGTCGTACTCGTCCTAGGGCTCGGTAACTTTACCTACGGAGTACAGCACTGATGGACTCGCGAAACGAAGGGGGTTTCATGCAAATCTTAGCCCCGCTGAACACACAGATCCGGGTCAATAGTGTAGCCCACTAGCCTTAGCGCTCTGTGTGGCGACAAATCCCGATCTACGGGAGTTATTGGATCCAGCTCAGGTACTCCGTGTTTGGTATGAAATTATCATTTGATGATCACCTCATGACTTACTCCGTAGTGGGAATCGGTATGCAATGACACGACAGACCGCAATGATGTTGATAGTCCACTAATAAAGCAGAAGATAAAAAAAAGCAATAGCAATTGCAATAGCAATAAAAAGTATCGACACAAAAGACAACTTCCTGTCTTCTTGGACTCGGATATTGATCTGTGGAGACACAATTTACATACCCCTGGATTCTCCAAGGCCCGATAGATAGATTCCCTGGGACTTTTCCAATTTCGAATATGTGCGACAGAGGATTCTGCACCTACGAAGTATTCCAAGAAGTTTGTTTTGTCTCACAGCATCCCTTGCACGGTCAGTAGAATTAATCAACATCCTGGTCAACTGAGCGTCATGATCGTCGGGTAAAGTAGCTACGGTAGCTCATTTCGGTTGTACAACGTAGATGTGGCTGGGGTTGTGTGGCGGACATCTCCGTGTTGAAGGCTGGAAAAGTTGGATCGAATCTGAAAATCCATTTTTCTATTTTTTTTTTTTAAAAAAAATAATCCGTTTTATATGATTGAATAAGAGAATGGGGCCACCCGTGGATGGATCATTGATTGCGACGAACATGGATGGATCTTTGGTCGCATCTCAACCACAGTGAACAAAAGTCTGGATTGCCCACTTGCCACCCATGGATTGACCAACGCTAGATTGTGATATTAAGTTCAACTGCAGGAAACAAAAAATAGAAAAACAAAAAATCAGAAAATGAAATCCCTAAATAGGAGAATATCCCAAATAATACGAAAACATAATCTAAGGTCCTCCAATTACGTAGACAGATCGAAGATCCTAGCCCCTCTCCTCCCTGTTGTCTATGGGCTCCATGGGTCCTTACTAAACTTTAAGCTTCTCTCTTTTTTTTTCACCTTATCTTCTATTTTCCTCTCACACCTGGGGAGATTTAACCCCCCTCCCCCCCTCTCTTCCTCCCCGATACCCTTCCTCTCGATCCTTCACGTGAAGATCGAATCGCGTTTTTGGATATTTTGAATATACCATTGCGAATACCTTCAGAATGGCCAACCATGCCGTTCACTGGCTGGTTGCCAGGGACTCGGTAAGCCCTGTCGCGCAGCTAGGTAGTGGGCTCTTTACTAATGATACTAGAGCGATAACCCGCAGGACAGCACGCCGTCGCTGTCTGGCCTGCTCACCACCCTAATCCCCGCCCTCATCTCCTTCGTTGTGATGGTGGTTCTCTTCATCATCTTGCGTAAGAGCAATCGCAGGATGTACATGCCCCGAACCTTCATCGGATACCTCCGTCCCTGGCAGCGCTCCCCCGAATCTCCGACCGGAACCTGGGACTGGATCAAGGCCATGTACAAGCTACCCGACACCTATGTCCTGCAGCATCACTCGATGGACGCCTACCTCATGCTTCGGTTCCTGAAACTGTGCTCCGTCATGTTGTTTGTCGGCTGCTGTATCACTTTCCCCATTTTGTGGCCTGTCAATGCCACTGGTGGTGGTGGAAAGGTCGAACTCAACATGCTGAGCATTTCCAATATTCACGACACTCAATACGGTCGTTACTACGCGCATTGCTTCCTCGCCTGGATCTTTATCGGCTTCATCTTCTTCATGATCACCCGCGAGCACCTCTTCTATATTAACCTGCGTCAGGCGTACCTTTTCTCGCCCGCCTACGCTAACCGCCTCTCGTCTCGCACCGTTTTGTTCACGACCGTTACCCAGGACCTCTTGAACAAGGACAAGCTTCGCACTATGTTCGGCCGCGACAAGGTCAAGAATGTCTGGATCGCAACTGATACCAAGGAGCTCGAGGAGAAGGTCAAGGAGCGTGACAGTGCTGCTATGAAGCTCGAGGGTGCGGAGACCAAGCTCATTGTGCTTGCCAACAAGGCCCGCGCTAAGGCCATGAAGAAGCAGGGCTCGGCTGAGAACCCCGAGACCGAAATTGGTGATGGCCAGTTTGATGATGAATCTGGCTCCGTTGCTGCTCGCTGGGTGGAGGCCAAGAAACGCCCCACGCACCGTCTCAAAATGCTCATTGGCAAGAAGGTCGACACTATCAACTGGGCCCGTTCCGAAATCGAGCGTCTCTCTCCCGAAATCGAGGAATTGCAGGCTAAGCACCGCGCTGGAGAAACAAAGCTGGTCTCCTCCGTCTTTGTCGAGTTCTACTGTCAGGCTGATGCCCAAGCTTCTTTCCAGTCTGTGGCCCACAACCTCCCCCTGCACATGAGCCCTCGCTACATTGGTCTAGACCCTACTCAGGTTATCTGGTCCAACCTCCGCATCAAGTGGTGGGAACGCCTCGGTCGCTCCGCTGCCACCCTGGCCTTTGTTTGTGCCATGATCATCTTCTGGGCCATTCCCACTGCCGTTGTTGGTGCTATTTCCAACATTGACTCATTGACCAAGATTGTTCCTTTCCTGAAGTTCATCGACAGTGTTCCGTCGTGGATTAAGGGTGTTATTACCGGTCTTCTGCCCACTGTCTTGATGGCTGTCCTCATGGCGCTGGTCCCTATCATCCTTCGCCTGATGGCCAAGTTGGGCGGTGCTCCTAGTCTCGCTGCCGTTGAACTGACCGTCCAGAACTGGTACTTCGCTTTCCAAGTTGTTCAGGTCTTCCTGGTGGTTACCGTTGCCTCATCGGCTACCAGTGTCGTCAGTGATATCATTGACAACCCCTCCTCGGCTGCCTCGCTGCTCGCCCAGAAGATCCCTACCGCATCTAACTTCTACGTCGCCTACATCATTCTGCAGGGATTGTCCTTCAGCGCCGGTGCTCTTCTACAGATTGCTGGTCTCATCGTCGGCAAGATCCTGGGCAAGTTGCTCGATAGCACCCCTCGCAAGATTTACACTCGTTGGTCAAGCTTGGCTGGTCTCGGATGGGGCACTGTTTACCCTGCTTTCACATTGTTGACCGTCGTCGGTATGTTAAAAACCCCTAATTGATGTATTTGCTTACCATACTAATTTCCGTTCTAGCAATTGTCTACTCTTGCATTGCGCCGCTTGTCATGGGCTTCGGTACCATTGGTCTCTACCTGTTCTATTTCGCCTTCCGGTACAACCTGTTGTACGTGTCGAACGCAACCATCGACACCCAGGGTCGATCCTACACCCGTGCTCTGCAGCAGCTCACTGTCGGCTGCTATCTGTCCATGGTTTGTCTGATTGGACTGTTCGCTATCGGCTCCGGTGCCAACAGAATGGCTCTCGGTCCCCTTATTCTGATGATCATCTTCTTGATCTTTATCATCCTGTTCCACCTCTCGATGAACACCGCCATGGAGCCCCTTCTTAACTACTTGCCCAAGAACCTCGAGGCAGAGGAGGAGAGTCTGCTCGCTGCGGAGAAGGCCAACGTCAGTACCTTGAACGAGAAGTCGAAGGATGAGGACTTGAACGGCGCCAGCGGCTCCATCTCGGCACCCCGCGACAGCGGCGTCGCCAACGTGGACAACGGCCTCGGCAGCGTCGACTCCGCGGAGAAGGGTCTCACCGATACTTCGTCCCCAGCGCCCAAGCCGAACGTGTTCACCAAGTTCCTGCGTCCGGACCTGTACCACAACTACCACCAGCTGCGCAAGCTGGTTCCCAGCTCCTCGGAGATCCCCACTTACTCCGCCGAGGTCGAGCGTGACGCCTACTGCCACCCCGCCATTACCTCGCAGCCTCCTCTTCTCTGGATCCCCCGCGACGCCATTGGAGTCAGCTCCCAGGAAGTCGCGCACACCTCGCGTGTCATCCCCATCACGGACGAGGATGCCTATCTCGACGAGAACTGCAAGATCCAATGGAACGAGGAGAAGGGCGAGCCCCCCATCTACGAGGAGAAGGTTAACTATTAAACGCTTTCTCTCCTTGGTCGATCTTGATGTAGTTCTCGTTCGAGTGTCTAGTCAATGATCTGTCTCACCGGCCGACGAATGCACCCTGTTTATATACCTTGTGTACAGACATGTCATCGCCGACCTGGTTTCTTCTGTGATACCCAGCTGGCTAGTCCACTTGACTGGCTGGCTCTAACTCGGGCATTTTTTTTATATTTGTCCATCTAAGATTGGTTCTGGGGCTTACACAACTCCTGGGCCTTTCGCTTTCCTTTCTATAATCTTTAAAGTAATCAATCGGTGCTTGTTCACGTCTCATGTCAATGTTATGTTGTGAGGATTTTGGCCATAAAATTGGACATCTTGGACCATGCTTGACGATTCTTGATTTCGAGTATTTATTGCAGGATGTATTATATTCACCCGGCCACCTTTGGTTAGGGCTCTGAATGATATGGATGATTGTTCCTCTTTTATTTATGCCTAATGAGTGTGTACATGCCTGCCCAGGAAACCCATCTGGGCAGTGCAATAAGAATAAAATCCCTTTCGTAGCTGAAGCTGAAACAAGCCACTGCTCAAATCCATCGTTCTGCTCCTTTCCTCTTCTTCAATGTCTTTTTTTCGCTCTTTTTCTTTTCTTCTTTGCCTAGTAGCCAGCCTCCTAATCTTCTTCCGAAGAATTTGTCTCGAGGATCCCTGATTCGGCAACCCGAACCCAGCTGTGGGCATGCTTGTTTCCCTTGTTATTGAAAATGGAGAATCCACCGTTTGGCTTTTCACGGATTTCCCCAGAGAGACCGAGGATCTCCTTGAGCGCGTCTGCACTGAATACTTGACGGATATTCCGGGTCTTCCTTTTTTGCAACTCGACCATATAGTCGTCAATGGATCCCTTGGCCACGACTTGGACGGATTCCACAACGCGCGGCTGTCCGATGCGGTACAGTCGACAGTACGCCTAGCAAATCCATTGTTAGCTTGCTAATGGCCTTTCAACCGTTCTGAGGTCTGAGTCCTGGCTCCCTTACCTGGTCTTGGATTGCTTCATTCCACCAAGGATCCACAAGGATGCACTTGTTGGCCATAGTCAAATTGAGACCCACGCCACCAGTCCTCAGGGAAGAAATCATGATCTTGATGTCCTTCTGCTTGCCGAATTGCTCGATTTGTTTATCACGCGAGATGGGAGACACCCTTCCTGTAATCTGTATGGACGTTGTTAGTTATGTGACTCGTTTCTTTTTCTTAACCTTGACGTACAACTGCGTATTTCCAGCCCTCTTCCTCACACATGAACTGAAGAAGTCGGACGGTCTTCAGGAACTGAACGAAGATCACGACCTTAACGTCCTCATCCTCTTTCACCCAGTTTGTGACGAGTTCCCGAACCGCTGTGGTTTTCGCAGATGGCATGCTATCGCCAACCCGCGAAATCCAATCCTCCTCATCCTCACTGGGCTCATCCCACTCATCATCTGATGGATCTTTGTGTAGGAACCTTTGTTTGAAAACCTTTGGAGGTCGTTTGTCAAAAATCTTCTTGCCCTTTGGCTTCGGCTTTGACCGCTTTCTTTTCTTTGGCGAGCCCTTCTTTGGCGAGTTCTTTGGTGAATCATCGGAATACCCGGCTTCCTCGATGGGGTTCTTGCAAGAGCTGCAGACTCGGGTGATGGTATCGAGTTTTCCGTTTTGGTCAGGAAGCCCGTCGAAGCAGCCTTTACAGTAAAGGTGATAGCAAGACGTAATAACAAAGCTCCGGTCTTCCTTCACGATCACATTGCAACGAGGGCATAGTTTGTATGTAAGCTCTTCATGTACTCCCTTGTCTTGACGGACTTGCACCATGTGGTCGTAATATATTTTGCGAAGTTCGGAAAAGTTTCCTGGAAGCCTTGGTCGGGAAGCAACCTTGTCCCCCAGAGCGAGAATCAAGTCGATAATGATTCCAGATGCGTTTTCGGCCACACCTTCTTCTTGTGCTATGTCTTTGAGCCCTTTGATCACACTTTTGTTGAGAATGGCTTCGAGAGATTTTTGAACGAGGAGCGGGTGGCTCACAAACATTCTCAGCATTGTTATAACGGCGAAGATGCATCTGCTTTGTCTTTGTTTTGTATTAGCCGTGCCTGGTAGGCTGTGTTAGCGCATTGCCTCATCACTAGTATTGCCAAGCTTACCCTCGATCATCGCAATACCGAGATCCTGGATTTCCCTATAAAGGAGCCTTTCAGCTGCGCAAAGCTCGACCTCCACGACTCGGCTGTTGATTCCTGGAAGCGTGACGATGGGCTTGCCAAGCATCCGCGTACTGTATGTGCTGCGGTGTAGCACGATTTCCAGGATGTTGTCCAACCCCTAAGTGAAAGGTTAGTTTCCGATTTCGAAGTAAAGGCTCCAGGAGACTTACATTGGAATACTTCTTCAAGAAAGTCTCATACTCCATTCTTCCCGATGTAAAGATGAAATGGAGGTATGGGTACAATTCTTCCGCGCCGCTGGAACATATAGTTAGTACACATGATTCCAGTCATTTCAAACCCACAGTAGCTAGTGCTTACTTGTGCAAAGGTGTTCCGCTTATGGCCCATTTGAATTTGCCTTTCAAGGCTCGGATAGCGATAGAGGTTGCGGAATCTTTGTTCTTGATTGCATGAGCTTCTACAAAGTCGGATTAGTATCAACGTGGATCCTTTAGCAACGCCATGGTACATACCATCAAGGACGATCCGGTGCCACCCAATCTTATGGAAAGGTCCAGCTCTGAGTTTGTATTCTTCCTCCCTCCAGGCCTCAAGCTCTTCAGGAGACTTGATCGTCACTGGCGGCTTCAACTTCGGATGTGAACTGCAGACTTGCTCATATGTGGTAATCCTATAAAGTCAGTCATTGGGCATGAAACAGACAGTAACCGGCTTCAAATGTTGTCTTACACGATACGCTTTGCTTGCATCGTGTCCACAACAATGCCCTGGCTTGCTTGTGAACCGGCGCAATACTCGAAAATGTTGCTGCTTATCTTTGGCACGCAATGGGCATGAATTTGATTGATCCTAGAACAGCCAAGTTAAGGAAAACAGCCTTGATTCATGCGTCTAGGAGTGAGACATACCATTGTGCAACCAAGCTTCTCGGCACAACGAGCAGGGTAGGAGCGTTTGACCGACGTGGGATCTTTTCGTGCGCGATGGTTGCTTGTGAAAGAGGTAAGCTCTCCGATACCATAGCCCTATATTCTTCGTTCTTACTGAGAACTGTAAGTGTTTTCCCGAGGCCCATCTCGTCGCAGAGCAAGCCTCCATTTGGCTCTTCCTTTGAGCTTTCGCGGTCGTGCTATTCAGGTTAGCTAAACATCGTGTCATAACACCTAGAATACTAAGCTTACCATCCACGCAGCAGCCTTGAGCTTTGTCAATAGTTAGTCACATATCATAAATTCGGTTTGATAGAGATTCGAACCTGATGGTGTTTCAGCAAGGTGGTAAGTCCGCCGACCTGCCAATTCATATCCACAATTTTCGCCGAAGGGTCGAACGTCTTAGAGCACTCAATTAGTTCATTGACATCCTTTCTGGCCTGCGGTTGGTCCTCAATTGAGAGCTTCAAAACCTCCTCCGCGAGCGCTTTTGACTTATCCTTCTTCTGGGAAACAGGGATTTGGTGCATATTGTTTGCATTCACATTGGCATTTGCAGAGCTCAGTATGTCGCTACTCATTAAGCTCTTGAGTCTCTCATTCAAGGTCAACGAAATACTCGCCTTCCTTCGTCGCTCTTTCGAGGGCCCTTTTTTTGTTGGCTTGGTCGACGATTCATTGGGATCAAACTCGGAACCATCATCAGAAGACGGCACTGCTTCTTCAGAGTCAGATTTATCATCCGAGGAAGATTTATAATCTTCTTCGGAAGCTTGCTCGTCATTGAAACCTCCTTTCGAGTCTATTTGATCCAGTGATTCTTGTTTGGGCTTGTTGGGCAAATCATTTGCTTCAGGGTCCTCATTGTTGCGCACTTTCTTCGAACTGGGGAGAACTGCGTGGAGTTCCTGATTTGGCTTGACACTTGTGATGCTGACTTCCAGTTTTGGAAATTTGGCGGGACTGGTTGCCTGGTCCTCTGACTCAGTTTTCACCTGCATACCGTTGACAGGAATTGAAGCCTTCTTTGGGGCTTCGTTTGGAACCTCCTCAATTGGGTTTGTGGTGTGTTCAATGGATTGGTCCATTTCGACTTGCATCTGCGTATTGAAATTGTAGGATGACACTAGGGACTGTGCCGGAATATAGAACAGTGAGATAAAGATGGGCACAGTCTTTGTGGCTTTGGTGTGCTTGGGTACAAAGAAGTGTAATGTAGGAAACAGAAGGTTGAGTGAGTTCAGTGAACAATGTTTGATAAAGAACTTGTAGGTGATCGAACTCGAAATGGGGGATGAGGAGATAGAACTCGGTGAATTGTCTCAGAAGAACTTGGAGGTGTGTGAGCTGGAAATGGGGGATGAGACAAAGGAGCTCGTTGAATCGTGTCAAGAGATAAAGAAAGGACTCCAGTGTAACAATGCAGAGCACGAAAATGTTGTTGGAGGTTGATGTGAAGAAGATCTTTAGAACAGGGGCGAAAAGAGCTTAGTTGGGTGGACTGAAGCAGAGGATGGTGAGAGAATGATGGTCGGAGACCACAGAGTCGAAGATCAGTGAGTCAAAGATCGCAGAGTTGGAGAATCAAGGAGAACATATAGGTTGATGTTAAGAAATAGAGTGAAGGAAGGAATAAGAGACACGGATGGGGAACTGAGTAGAGGGATATCCAGGAAGTGAACGGTGAAGACTGTGACCATGGCAGAAATGAAACAGATTTGAAGGAACAAAGAAGGGGAATAGAGACAAGTTGAGAATGCCCAGGTGTAGGAAGACTATAAGAAGAAAGATAATTCGAGAAAGACGAGAAGAGATACTTCGAGAGCAAAATATATGATGTCTCGGTGAGATGTTCGGATTTGGTCAAGTAGGGTTGATGCAGATCACGTTGAAGATCAAGCAGAGATGTTAAGAGATACAATGTTGGAAAACGATGCTTGGTCTCATTTTGCCAACTATTTCTGAAGGATTGAGTGGGAGCTTTTTGAGAGATGAAAATGCGGGCTGGAAGGTAAATGGACTTTAGTCGAGATTGTTAACTGGAAAGAGAATATTGAGTTACTTTATGGGTTGAAATGCAAGAACCATCCAACACATCATCTTCGATATCTTTTTTAGTTGGACCCCCAAAGCAATATTTGATGAGACTACTACCGTGAAAGAAGAGGAAGAAACCCTGATATTCAACCTATGGGAAAGCAGGCCATTTATACCTTGAATCTGGCAAACAAGCGCTCAGTCTACAAGCAAACAAGGGGGAGATGGGATCATCTCAACAATATTTCAACGAGTTTGTTCGATGTTTTTATCGATGTCTTTCTTGGTACTCTCCTTAATGCCCTGGGAATGCCGCTTTTTATATGCGCTCTCAGGTCTAAAACGATATCAACAATATACGTAGCTATTAGATACGTCATAGTTATAGTAAATGCACTCATTCAAGATAAAGGCTATGTAAGCGGTCGACTAGTCTCTTCATGGAAGCATCATATGTGTATTGTTTCAAGTCGAAAATACACGAAAGGAATAAGTATCAAAAACTAGATAAATTAGGCTAGGCATCTTATGACCATATGGATTAAAGTGCGAGCAATGAAGATAGTGATGATAACCCTAATGCATGGGCTGTCACGATGGGCCTCTAAGATAGAATCCGGGGCTCGAGCTTCATCAATATATTAAGAATGATATTTAGGCCCTTTCTCCATTCGGTACGTACGTCGTTTCCTTCATGCCATACATATATTTTCTCCCCCTTTCATAACCTCAATACTACACAATTAGCCAAAATTCTCATTCTATTATTACCAGACCCAAGGTAGCTCCAATCTGTTTACTTCGTCTCTCTAGTTTTGTCTCAACCCTTGGCTGGTGGTTCTGAAAGGCTTTCCCTCCCTTCACACCATATGTCTTTCATATTTCCTCCTTCACATTCCCGTTGTTACACTATCCTCTCATCACTTGACCAAACCAGGGCCTTTGCCTGATTGCTTCGTCTATCTAACTCCATCTCGAGTCCTGGGAATGGTTCTTATAGACGTCCTTCGTGTCCTTCGCGTTACACATCCTTCCCCTATCCTCCGCATTCTCGTTGCGATAGTATTCTCTATAGCAACAACTAACCCGAGCTAGTCATCATCTCCCTAAGTGCCAAGCCCTAGAAGTGCCGTTTATAAAAGACCTCTACTTAATACCTAACATCCATCCTCTCTCTTCCTTCACATCCCTACTTGCTATATTGTCCTCTACATTACTACCTACCCTAAACCAGAGACTTAATCCGTTTGTGAAAATGGCCAAATGACCTTTTTCTCGCCATATATTTTCTTTGCACCTTAACCCTATACATCTGTCTTATCATACCCCTATTACTACACAATTAGCCAATGCCCTCAAACAGTTTCTGTTATTTCCAAACCCTAGGCAATCCCCATCTGATTACTTTGTTTCTGTGCTGGTATAAAAGGGTTCTGCTTCCTTCCTCCCTGCCATTCATCCTCTCTCCTCCACATCCCTACTTGCTGCTCTGTCCTCTACGATACGGCTTATACTTTTTAGTTCATACTACCCTGCATCATTACATGATCAACATGCAGTCCTTCGAAAGAGAGAAGGAAACCCGCAAGAACAGGGTCTCTGAGATGCCTCATTCCCAGTTCAACCTGAATGATCGCCACCTCACTTTCAGCCCCAACGAGGGGACCCAATACATGTCTCAAAACACAATCTACCCAGCGGCGCAGAGTTCAGGCAATGGCCAATATACCTTCGGTGGATTAAACCGGCCGCGGATCAAGAAAGAGTTTCCCGATGAGAATGACCAGCGAAGCAAAACCTGGGACAGGTACAATCCATTGACCATCAAACAAGAACCAAACATCAAACAGGAACCAGGAATCAAAATGGAACCACAGGAGGTCAACAATACCCAGCAAGTTGAAGGCCGTCTCGTCATTGACCTCACAGAAGATGACGACAATTCATCAATTCAAAAACGTCCGATGCCGCGTGCTGAAATATGGACTGCCATCCAAAAGCGCCAGAAGACGGCTATGACGCCGATTGAAATCATTGACCACCCGGTCGAAAGCTTGTTCGTACAGGATGATGATTCCCGACGATCTATCTCTCCCAACACCAGTAATCCGTTTCTTGAGCTAGGTGAAGATCATGTTTCTGAGTAAGTGTTAAGGGAACCTCTTCATGGGAATGGTAATCTGATGGACCTAGATTCAATGAACACCAGAAACAATTTCAAAGCCTGCAATCCCCTTCCATCGAACAGCAGATTGAGTTCGAAAAGCGAAGAGAAAAAGAGCTCCAACGAAGGAGAAAGGTTAAGAATGACAAGCTTTGCAATTTGACTGCACAGGCAGAATTGGAAGAGGGGTCCGAGGGTGATATTTCTTCTCGTCCTGCCGTGGAAGAACAGCCTCAACCCAAAGACGCTCAGCCCAAAAAGCAAACTCAGTCAGAGCTGAAAATTCCTGCTAGAGTAAAGCGAGCGGTTACACGAGTCTCAAAAGCGGGGACTCAAAAGGCCAAAGAAATTGGCCTTGCCCAGTTGCTTTTAAAGGAAGGGCATCGAAAGCGTGCTAAGGCTAACGAACCTGAACCTGAACCTGAACCTGAACCTGAACCTGAAACGGAGCAAGCACCTGAAGCAAAAGGAAACCGGAAAAAATCCCGACGTCCACACATGTTATTGTCAAATGAAGAAATCCGAAGCATTTTCCAAAGCGATGGTGGTCCCAAAAAAGGAAAGGACCCGTTACCCCGCGGGTTTGTCTCCACGGAGAAAAACAAGCAGAAGGCCTTCAGAGAGATGATCGCTAGTATCCCAGTTGCAGAACAGGCTGAAGCACGTGAAGACCTATCCATCCTGGATGAAGCGGCGCAGACTTTTAATCCATCAGCACGGCCAGACGGTCAAGGGAAATGGAAGGTTAGAGGGCTGCTAACATGCCTCATGGTGAACCAAGTTTGTGTCCATTTCTATATTGACTTTAATTAAATAAATGACTGACATTTAGAGCAGGTATTGGCTGGCTCTTGGATGGTGAGTTCGGATTTCTTCCTTCGAACCTCAAATTTACTGATTGGCACAGATCAAACGCGAGACTTCTTCGAGCAAGCCGAACGGTGGTTTACTCTGTGATGTGATGGGCTTTGGCAAGACCCTGTCGGCACTGGGTAAGAGAAATTGAGCTAAGAGACTGTGGCAAAACACAGAACTAAGCATTTCTAGCGTGCATTGTGAATCAAAAAGTGCCAACTGAGCCAGAAGGTCCGACACTGATTGTCGCCCCGAGAAATTTGATAGAGACCTGGTACGGCCTCTCCTTCAGCTATGCTAAGCATCATCTCTTAACACTAAACCATACAGGATGTTGCAGATTAGGCAACATTGTGACCGTGTGGCAGCCGGGACCGTCATTGCACATTGTTCTGGTGCACGCGTGAAGACCAATAACCTCGTCCACTATCTGAAACAATGCAGCATTGTGTAAGTGCTGGTTCCGACTAGAGACACACTAAGCCCTTACTAACAATAGCTAGGTTGACAACGTACTCAGATATATCTTCTTCCTATCCTGGTCTAAAGCTGCCCCCTGAACTGAAGAATGAAGCCGCCACCGAAAAGTGGTGGAATCGGGAATATGATGAGAAAGCCGGCGTCTTTCATCAAATCCACTGGCACAGGATCATTGTCGATGGTAAGTGAATCACGATTCGAAATGGAAACCAAAGGAAGCTTGCACTAAGTAAAGTCTACAGAAGCACACATCATCAGGAACAGGATGACCAGAACATCGATTGCAGTTCGTTCTTTAAGTGGGAATTTCAAATGGGCTTTAACCGGTACACCTCTGCACAAGTGAGTACAGGCCGTGTTTAAAATGGAGAACCCGGGCTGACGTTCCAACATAGCTCCGTTGATGAACTTTATGCTTTATTTACATTCATCGATGTCCCCAACAGCTACCCCTACGATGTGTTCACGCATAACTTTTGCAATGTAGGTTTTGCTTCTGTTCGGAGAATTTCATATTTAACAATATTTTGCCAATCTAGGGGACGCACCATGCTAAAAATCGGTTGATCAATACGCTTCGCGCCATCATCCATCGCAAGACACACGACAGCCGTCATATGGGAAGGCCCTTCATCGAGCTCAAAAGATTCGATCTGAAGGAGGTCAAGATTGAGTTCTACCCTGCCGAGAAACAGATCTACAACGCAATCGCGGAGAAGTTTCTCGAGAAAGTCAATGGTGAGCTTAGAAGCCCTCCGAAAGTATAGTCGATTAAATTCACTACTAAGATGGCTATAGCTACTCAAATGAAAAAGCAGAGAAAATGTGTTTTGACGATGATCCTAAAGCTACAGATGTTCGCTAGTCATCCACTTACCGCAGAAGATTACCTCAAACGAGTGTGTAATTTCAACAGCACACTGGTTACACAGCTAAAAGGTTGGGTTAAGGATGAAACAAGCCCAGGAAATCCGTCTCCATCAAGCAAAATTGCGAAGTGTTGTCTTGCAGGGAAATACCAAACCGGAATGCCTACAGCTCCTTTGAGGTCTCGAACAGAAAGTGAAAATCTTCGACTACGGCCGCCCGGAAATTGCGCAAAGCTTGTTTCAAAGTTCGAGGATAAAATCAGAGAGCTTGTTAGGCACGAAGCATACTATGAGAGTGATCATCGCACATGGTTTTGTCCTGGCTGTGACGGGCTCCCAACAAGGGCTATTATCACGGACTGTCAACACCTTTACTGCGAAGATTGCTTCGACGCACTCCCCGATGAAGGAGGAAATACTGATGGTGTCGCTCGATCGTGCTGTGAGTGCAGAATCCCTATTAAAAAGGCTGCATTCTACGGAATCTACGATGACTTCCACACACCTCCACTGGAGGCTGCCGAGTCTTCTTCTCTTGGATCAGCGGGCCAGCAAAAGCGACCAGCCACGCCAGGGACAAGAACAGCAAGTGAAGGTCAATCCAAGAGACGCCAGGCTAGTAAAAGCCGTGGTTCCACTTTCTCAGAATGGTTATTGGCCGATGGAAACCTAATCACATTTGACGACGAAAGCAACGACAGCGAAGATGAGCACCAAGATGGAGCGGAAGACAAAAACCCCGACGAGGATGATGTTCCCTGTGAAGAAGAGTTTGACCAAGAACAAGACTGGATAGCAGAATTCGGGAGATCCATGCCAGGCGCCAAATTTGCTGTAATCATGTCTCAAGCCAAAAAGTGGTTCGAAGAAGACAGCACCGCAAAGATCGTGATCTTTACGCAGTATGTCAACAGCACCAGGCTTTTGAAGTACTTGTGTGAGGACAACAACTGGAAATGCTCCCAAGTAAGTTTTTCGAAAGTAACGAATTAACGGAGGGCATACCTAACATGGCTTCACCAGATTACGGGTCGAATGGCCAACAGATCACGAGAAATTCATCTAGACAATTTCCGGGATGACGATGAAACCAAGATTATGATTGCGTCGATTAAGACAGGTGGTCTAGGTCTTGATTTCTCTGTGGCGAACAAGTGCATCCTGGTTGACCTATGGTGGAATGAGCCTGTCCAAGACCAAGTAAGTCGTGAACGAAAATTGAAGCTCCGGGGGTTAGCTAACTTGTGAAATAATAGGCGTTCTTTCGTCTTTGGCGGATTGGTCAACAGCGAGATGTCGAATGCATCATTTTAATGGTCAAGTCGTCCATTGACGATTGGATGGACAGGACCCAGAAGCGCAAAGCCAAGGAGATCAGCGAAGTCATGAGTCAAAATGTGCTCATGGACCGAAGCACCCTCAGAGAACTGCTGGAGATGTTCGGTGAAGTCATTGATGACCCAAAGAAGGGATTCAGGGTCTTAACGCACAAAGATGCGGCCCAAAGTGCGTCAAATCCAGCGCGCACTCGCGCACCCAAACCTACGCCCAAAGTTGCTGCCAGAGCCATTGCCACAGAAAGGGCCATTTGCTCTGCGCCTAATAAATGGAGTTAGCTTGCTGGGTTCATTACAGCAGAAGGATGGACCAGGAGATGGACAGCGAGAACGAAAGGAAAGGAAATTACTAGTCCTGATGCATACAAAAGGACAACCAAAAAAGGATGAAAAACAAAAACACACCAAAAACAGGAACGATATGGACTATGGCATTGTGCGTCGCGGGAGGGATTTGAGATGAACTGCTTATGGCTGAAATAGGCCTTTATTTTTAGTGGAGGAAGTCCTTTGTAGGACACTCAGTGCATTTACATAGCAGAAGCGACGCCAAATTTTAGCTGGTCAACATGAATTTTGCCCAATATCCCAGTAGGCCTAATCAAGCTATACAAATAGGGTACGAGAAGTGCTGGCTTTGTTTATTATATTGGCATCATATATGGAAAGGTCGTTTTATAGAAATTACGGATTAGTATGCGGTTGATTATTTTAAATAGACATTCATAGCTATCTAAAAAGAAGTCTTAAAAGGCACCTCGAAAGACATCTCAAAAGACATCTAGCACTACGAGAATGTTTACGCAGAATGTACTTTTTGTTTGGAAAAATAGCAGCAAAGATTCACGGGCTATCAATAAACTAATCATACATGCCGTGAATCTTAAAAACATATTCGAAGTAAGAACACAAATTTGAGTGGAGATTGTCAGACCATAACAGTGTCAGATCGCGAACAATCTCAGACCACGAAGCTGTATGTTCCCAGATTACTGACCCCGGTCCTGCTCCGGCTGGTGCTGCAGGGGCTCCTCGATTTCCTCGGGGATGACAGAGCGATGACCCTCGTTTAGCTCGGGAGTGGCAGGGCGACTAGCCTCGGGCTGCTGGAAATCAAGGACGCGGCGAACATTGTCAAAGTTGGCCGGATCCTGGAACGGGGCATTCTCACGAAAAGCAGGCTGACGATCAGAGCGGAGTCTAGTTCGTCCTCGTCGGATGCTCTCTTCAATTTGCTCAACCTCCTGAACCCGGGTGTCAGTCACAGTGTCATTACGCAGCCGACCATTATTCTCCTCGGGAACTCGTGGCGCATCAACCCAGATGGTTCGAAGGACCTCTCGACCGCGGCGCATGTGACGCTCGTGGATTGGGTTGGTGGTAGGTCGGACGAAATCAGACATTTCACGATTGAGGGGCAGACCGAAGGCATCAAGAAGGCCGATAGAAGCTTCACGTCCAGCGAGGTTGGGTCGAGTGTCTTCCTCTTCTTCATCAGAGTTAGCATAGTCGGAGCTAGTGAGGAAGATGTTCTCTTTATCCTCTTCGATACCGTGGAAGCCCTTCTGCAAAGGGCTGACGTTGGGGGTCTCCTGGTCCTTGGGGTCTTCGTAAATGGTGAAGTCCAAATTCGAAGGACGATGAGATTCCCAAACACGTGAGTTGGGGGTGGTAATGGGTGGGAGGTCAGGTAGCTCCAGGGGATCCAGGGGAGCCATTGCACCGCGAGGAGTCTGACGCTTGTCATCAACTTCCTCACTTCCTAGATTCGGAACGATGAGTTGCTCGTCCAATTGTTTAAGAATAGAAAGACGGTGGGATCAAAGGGGGAAAACTTACCAAGCCGAGGCAGAGGAGACTCGTCAACAGTAGACCAGGAGTCCGAGTCAATGGCGTCGGTAGCTGGACTTGCCTGCTCGCGTTCTGGGGTAGTGTCACGCTTGCGCTTCACCCCAGTAGAGCTGGATGCAGCGGCAAGGTCTTTGTCAGAGTAGTTTTCCGCTGAGGGTGGCACGGGGGGAAGGGCAAGTTTGATCTCGATGTGAGCGACCTAAGTGATGGACATGCGAGAGCGTCAAACGTTAGCTTGTTGAGACACAAATGGACAACACGCGCGAAGGGGGAAAGCGCCGAGACGTCTACTTACCCTGTCTTCGTCCAGTCTAAGGTTTACCTCCACGTTGGCAGGGTTCATCTTGTAACACTACTCAGCGATTCAATTAGTATACAATGTCCTCCGCGAGCGACGCGAGTCTTTACATCGCGGATGTCTCAAGCTAACCAATTTTTTTGGCTTGGAAAAGGAATATAAGAGATCATACCTTTGGGGAAGACATGTTGCAATATCGCTGATTTGAAGGATCGAGTAGTGGCCCTCGCCGATTGGCTGAAGCGCCTTGCCTGTGTTTCGAGGATGTTAGCATGAGATCAACACGGGGGATATATTTGGCTGTTTGAATTACAATATGAGACAACCTGAAGCTGTATCAGTATCAATATCTGTCCTCGATACTCGATGGCCTAACCCTGCACTGTTTTGTGTACAAGGTATTCTCGGCGACGGCACTGTGTCGGGTAACAACAGTGATGAGATTGGACACGAATGGGATTTATACCCACTCATTGCTTATGCCCAGGAAGGAAGAAATATTTTTACTTCGCTTAGTCGTCGTCCATCCAGGCCGCGCGTAGTCGTCGGAGTCGAACTAACTGAGTTTACTGGACATAATCTCACGATGTTGGGATTTCTAGATGATTTCACACTGCCTGGGCTCTAGGGTATCAGGGCATTTAAACATGAAAAAAAGAACGTTTTATCTACCTTCTCATCATTAACAGAGTCAACACTGTCGTCAGTCTTCATATGTGGTCTGGAATTGGAGGTGGTCATTGTATACTTCATTTTTATAGATCGATGGGGCAAGAGTTGTCACGTGCGGTCAACTCAGCTGAATCAGCTCACAGTATACAAGCTAATTCTAACCGTAGCTTTCCCCGGAATATACGATATATTCATTAGAAGATGCACTGAAATCATCAGTACGATTATTGTAGTTTTATGTGCTCTAATTCACAGTAAGCGGCGATCTGGTCATACAGTCACACCACAAATACAGGTTCCATCACCCAACACCACCTAAATCCCCAAGGGGTCTAAGCAGATCACAAAGAAGAGCCGCAGACACATCGGATACAGGCATGGCCAACGATAGGCCAAAATAATACAAAGAGAGCGAGACCGAGACAGAAAAGATCCCAGCCGATACGTAACTGGAAAAGGAACAAACTGCAACGACTGTAGCAAATAAATGAATTATGTACTACGGCATAGAAGGGAGCAATATGCTATCTTGTTCAGAACGGAGGAAGAGTAGTACAAATGTTTTGCGGTATTGCTCCTAAGCAGGGAGGGGTAGGATCTTGTTTGATTGATGTGGCAGCCGTAAGATAAAAATCGTTCAAGGCTTGCCTTGAGATCGTGCCGAGACATATTACCAATCGACCCTTCATACATTTAAACATGAAACATTTTACAAGGATCTCAGCCTCGAACAAATGGTGGATAGATTGTGGCTGGTCAGCTATCTATGGAAACAAAGTATGGGTCTACTGGCAACCAGCGAAGAACAGTTACCCAATAAAGTCATAGTTAAAAGACCATCCATCCACCACCCTATCGACACATATTGTCAACCCCGGGTTATAGTCGTCACGACTATACTCATCAGATTCACCACCAGAAGACACAGCACAGACACATCGCCCTCGAGAGATTTCAAGAACACCAAGAAAAATATGAAAGGGAGAGGAAAAGTAAAGGCCCGGTAATAGATGCAGCAAAATCACACCAGAGAAGCCAAAGCCAACGCAGCAAAGGCTTAAACGCGGAGTAGGGGGCAGTTATTGGTCACGGACATCACTTTGCCGGAATGGCATGAGCAAATACATCGAGGAACGGAAAAAAGACAAGAAAATGGGTATTTTGTTCTCTCAAAGGGAAGGGTGACGTTGCCGTGGGATCTGGGTGGATGGAAAATGAAAAACTAAGATCACGTGCCCTTGTACATCGGCTTCACCAAGCTAGCGTAGATAATCATAAATGGTCATTGGGCAGTGGTAAATGATGCATAAATGTAAGGAGGCGTTAGATATAATTTCCCAATATTTTCCGTTTATCTGAACTGGCCAGGACCGACCATGCCACCACGGACGTCACCGCCGTTGGACTGGCCGAACATCTCCAGAAGGTGTCTGGACGAGGGAGGAGGGCCCTGTGGGCCGGGGTTGCCAGGCCCAAAGGGACCCTGGCCACCGGGACCAAGTCCCATCATGGCCTCAGGGTTTGGCGGCATAGGTGGGAAACCTGGGGGAGGGCCATTCATGTAACCCGGAGGTGGCATCATACCTGGAGGCAGACCGCGAGGGAAGCCTTGGCGCTCATTCATTGGAGGCGCGCTACCGGGCATAGGAAGCATGCCAGGGGGGAAGTTGGGGTTCATTCCGCGGCCTGGATTGGATATTCCAGGAGGGCCCATGGGGCTTGGTACATTACCCTGCTGCGGGACAGGCTGGCCAGTCCATCCAGGAGGTGGCAGATGCTCGAGACCTGGGGGTCGCTGAAGCGGCATAGGAGGCTGATTCGGGCCCTGAGGAGGCCGCGACCCACCCGGAGTAATAGGTCCACCTGGGGTCATGGGGCCTTGATTACCCTGAGGGAACGGCATGTCGTCAAAGAATCCCATAGGCGGACCATTTGCAGGTCGCCGACGGAGGTGCTCGCTATCTGGTCGCTGCATGTTGGCAATGGCCGGGTCATCGAGGAAAGTAGGCGTCTTTTGAGCGGAAAGTCCTTGAGCAGAAAGCCCTGGCGGAGGACGTGGCATGCCTTCTGGCATCAGACCTGGGGGAGGGGCAATACCCGGGTTGGAAGACTGCTGGGGTAGATGACCCGCAGACGGTGGACCGACTCGGACTTGCTGCATCAAACGAAGCAAGTGCGCCCTCTCGAGCGCCTGGGGATCCTTGGGGCCAACTTGGGCCATTGGATTCTCGGGGCCAGCGCCCATATAATCGGATCGGTGGGGGTGTTCCCTGGAAGGAGATGACAGAGATAGGGCGGCATGCTGCTGCTCGGCATGCATCATGGAGATATTCCGTTGCTGCTGGGGCAAACCCATTTCGTGCGGCGTAGAATTCTCTGAACGTTGTCCACCGAGCATCTGTAGAATGCGCTGGAAGCCTTCTTGGTCCGCACTGTGCGATGGGAAAGGCATACTCTCAGGCGCCGGCTGAGGCGGCTGTTGATAATGCTGGGGCTGGGGCGGGGCACTGAAATAAGGCATCGGCTCGGGCTCTCTGGCAGGGCTCTCTGGCGTGGGGCTAAAGAGACCTGCAAAACGAGATGATTTTCCGGGCTTTCCGGGAAAGGGAGAGGGTTCCTTTTTGGCGACTGGATCGGCAGCGATAGGAGTACTGACTTCTGGGGTCTGAGGCTGAGCCTTCGAATCACCTAATAGTCCGAAGAATCGTTCCATCGACTCGTCGGACATGAACTGAGCACCGGAATTGCTGAAGATCTCACCATCAGTACGGCGGGTCTCCGGCTTTTGCTCTTCAACGTGTGCTTCTCTCTTCTCCTCAGCAAGTGCCGGGGGTGGCGCGGATGATCCAGATCCAGCCTTCATACGCTCTTTCCACCGCTCAAAGTCCTCCTGAGTGTGTGCTCGTCGTGGTTCGTCTCGGTCATTGGCATCCAGCCATTCAGGTTCTTGTTCAAATTTGGCGCCACGGTTCCACTCACGTTCGGTGCCGTGTCGGGTCTGGTTTTGGCGCCATTCTCGATTGCGCAACGGTGCTTTATCGTCATCGGCATCAGCGCCCTCTGGGGCCTGTTCCTCACGGAACCAGCTTCCTTCATATTTAGATCGTGGGGGTTGTCCTTCTTTCCGAGTGGGGAATCTGCCATCTTTGTCACGGGGCACCCGTTCAGCATTGGGATCGCGAGGTCCTTCTTTGTTTTCCCATCGGTCAAACTCGCCGTTTCGTCTAGGCTTGCGCTCCTGCTCATCCGGGCCGAATGTGCGACGTGGGCGCCCGGCATTCCAGTCTTCTCTCTCCCCACGCCGGGCAGCCAGTGGCCCTGGCTTGGCCTCCCGTCGATCTAACTCTTTATCTGGGGCATCACGGTCCTTGAAAAACTTGTCTCTGAAGTTGAATCGGTCGTTCTTCGTTTCATCCGAATCGGTTGGCCGCACCGCTGGTCGGTCTGTCTGATCAAACGAGCCTTTGCCGCCAATGCGAGATGAAGCAAAGGCGGTTTTCGGGGGGCCGAGTACAATGTCCTCTAAGAGCAGGAAGAATCTATATTAGCAAGTGCCTCTATTGCGGATCGATCAGGATGCCAGATGACCGATAGAAAGGGAGATAATAATACCAGAGTTGGACCCCCGAGAGATATGTTTGGCTTCAAAAAAGCTAGGTCTTCTGTTTGTGCCAGTCTCGGATGGATTGTTGGCATCACGGGTGCCATGGGCTTTGCGTTGTGTGGTTGTTGGGTCAGGTTGAGGCCTAGAGGTTGCGGTCAGTCTTGACGTTGACAGTGCGGGACAGCCGAAGAATTGCGATCATTGGAGCCAACATACATCCACTCTTCAATTGGAGGCAGACCAGGGGGCTTTGCGACAAGGGGCGAGCCGCGGAGCCATATCAGCTCATCGATCTCGTACCGTCGCGCCATGGCGGCTCGGTCTGTGAGGTTGTGTGTGTGTGATCTTCTTTACGGCGATGACCGGTTCATTGGTTGAAGGGGTAACAAAACCGGATAGGGGAATAAGGGATTCAAAGAGGATATGCGGAGGTATGGAATATTTCAAGCAAAGTATGGTGAATAGGTAGCAGGCACGTTGGGTGGTTATGGGAAAAGAGGTTGGATGAGGAGAAGCACACAAGCCACCGTGTGGCGATGGCGGTGACCAGAGTTTCGGGAGCCAACTTTACACTCGCCAGTTGGTGCGCAAATATGAAAGTGATGTATCATCTATCTAAGGGCAAATGCTGAACACTAAATGCGATCTAGAATAGAGTCACTGCTATACAATTAGATCGCATTTTATCTTTATATCTAAGAACAATTCTAAGTGGTAGTGCTGAACACTAATGCGACCTAGAACAGTGCCAGTGCTATACAATTGGATTGCATCTTATTTTTGTATTTAAGGTCAGATATAAGAGTCTATATTGAACAGCAAACGCGATCTACGATGGGGTAGATCCTATACAATCAAGTCACGTTTTATCTTTATATACAAGAACAAATCCAGTGGTCCATATTGAATGGCAAATGCAATCTACAGTAGTGCGAGTGCTATACAATCCAGTCGCGTTTTATCCCCATGTCTCAGAAATCTATACATCCTTCAGTATTATTAGGTCAAACACTACAGCCTGGTGCCAACCACAAATATTCATATCGCCCCTCATTTTTATGTTCGCTAAACAAAACCTATAAGACAAACTAATTGTATATGCCTATGACTTAACATATTCATGTAGAAAAACAAGTAAAGGAAATAGAAGAGTCTGTAAGATGAAATGGAACAATTTTTCCTATATCTCCCTCCTCGTCTTCTCTCATCTCATCTCACGGTATTGGAATTCATTTTTATAGTGATAGAGGAATGATATAAAAGAAACAAAAAGTCAAATTTCCTAAGACATGTGGATGATTGTTTGTTGAAAACAACTAGCCGAACACAATGCTTTCCAGATGTTGAGTCACAAAACCACGACATATCAAAAGAAGATACACTAGCCCATCGAAAAGCATCACCTTCTGTTGCGCGAAAATATGTTTCAAGGTAAAAGACATGGTTATTTCACACACAAGCTAGATCTTAGACCACCGCAAGAGCACAGCGGCGATGATGACGGGCAGTACACTGATTAGCTCCCCCAATCCCGCAAACTGGGGCGGAATTCTGGCATTCACAAAGGCCCCAGCCGCAAGGAGCACGGCGAATGTGTTGTACACAAAGCTCCAAACGAAGTTAAATTTGATGCGTCTCACAGAGACCTTGCTAGCATCCATTATGGTGAGAAGGCCAGACAGATCTGGACGCATAAGCACGACATCAGCTGCAGACTGGGCAACGTCACTACCTTCGTTCATATGAACGCCGATGGTTGCCTGGGCGAGCGCGACGGCGTCATTGGTGCCATCCCCGCAAAAGATGACAATTGGCACCTTACCATCCGAACAATTGCTTAGCAGATTTTTGATGTATACCTGCTTATCCGCCGGAGAGCTACGAGCGTGAACATTGCCCTCGGGGATTTGTAACTTTGTGGCCACGTTTTGCACAGCGCCATCGTCATCGCCCGATACCACATGAACTGACACGCCGCGTCTCTGTAGGGTATTGACCACGTGGGTTGCATCAGCTCGGAGAGAATCCTCGAGACCGAATACTGCAAGTAGTGCGCCGTCGATGGCAAAGCAGAACGCAGTATAGCCTTGCGAGAGAACCGGCTGCACCAGGGGGTGCGTGGAAAGCTCTAGCCAGCGAGAATTCCCAGCTTGCAGCGTTTGACTGCCTAGTTTCGCTTCCACACCTCGGCCGGTCAAGCTTTTGACGTCGGGGACAGCTGTAGCAACAATTCCCTTGTGACTAAGATGATTACCGACAGCAACCGAAACCGGGTGCTTACTGTCGCCGATCAGGCCCAAAAGGAGTGACAGACTTGATTCTCCGTTTCCAAGGTAGTGCTCAATGGCTACGCGGAGCTTTCCTTGGGTCAGGGTTCCTGTCTTGTCAAGGACCACGTGCGAGGCCTTGTGGGCGACTTCGATGGAATGCGCAGACTTGAATATCACCCCCCGCTCCGCCGCGATACCGCTGCAGATTACAACCACCATCGGCACGGCAAGACCAATGGCGCAAGGACAGGAGACGATAAGCACGGTCATGGCGTAGGTGACAGCCTGAATGGTTGCTTCGGAGCCAGTCTTGCCTTGCATCGCTATGCCAACAGCAACCCAGACTACAAATGTGATGATAGTCAAGCCCACAATGACTGGAACAAAGTAGGATGCCACTTTGTCGGCAAGTTCTTGGATCTTTGGCTTAGAAAGCTTGGCTTCATCGACCATGGCGGCGATGGTGTTGATGGCGTTGTCACCCGGGAGGCGAGTTAGCTTGACCATTAGACTTCCCGACCCGTTGATTGTCCCTGCAATGACACGCGATTTGGGATTTTTTTCAACGGGTCGAGACTCTCCAGTGAGCATCGACTCGTTTACTTCAGATGAACCAGATGTGACAGTTCCGTCGGTTGGGATTCTCACATCAGGAAGAACTTTAAATGTGTCTCCATATTGCAGTAGCCTAACGTCGATTTCCTTGGGCTCTGAAGAGTTTGATTTGTCCACGAGAAGGGCAGTTTGGGCCTGAAGGGATCGAACAGAGATTGACTCCACCGCTTTTTGGCGGGCAAGGGTGGCGATATATCGCCCGAACATGATCAATGTAACTAGAAGGGTGCTTGTCTCGAAGAACTGGCCAGTCGAAAGAGGTTTACCAGCGATGAGAAAGCCGAAAGACACCACAGAGAATATGTATGCCGCACTGGTACTCAGCACAATAAGAAGATCCATCTCAATGACTCGCGAAAAGAGAAGAGCCTTCAAAGCTTTAGGGTAAAAAGGCCCTGCTATCACAACCTGAATAACAGTAGCCAAAGCTAGTGAGGCAGAGCTGTAGGCGATTTCTCTCTGGGGATGGGGGCCCATGCCATGACTAACACTGGAATGGTGAGGACTGCAGATAAGAGAGTCATGAAGCCGGAATGGCGGACATGCTTGCTTCCAGCTGCGAGTGCTGGATCAGCACAGATGGGGGCAAGCTTTGCAGTGTCGCCCCAGTATTTTTCAATAAGATCTCGTGCCCCAATCACTTCCGGGTCAAAAGAAACACGAACAGTACAATCCTCGACGAGCGATATGTCACTCACGCCTTCTGGCCAAGCCTGGTTGACGATCGAATATGGATCTCCAGAGACGATAATATCCATAGTTGACCCATTACTGGTGATGGCCTCGCATTTGAATTCTGTGGTCCGCTCCAAGTGTTTCATAATAAAGTCCATAGTTGAGAGATTGAGGTCCAAGTCGAATTCAGCTCGAGAGAGAACCAGACTTGTCCTCAAGTTCTTTACACCTGTCACCGTTGCGAGGGTTCTGTTGAGTTTCGTCTCGCAGCCAGTGCAAGTCATACCAGATATCGAAAGAACCACGTGCTCGACGCCTATGGCCTGACCCTCTAGATCGGGGGTAATGCTAACATTCCCACTCTTCTTGTCTTTAGGCTTTTTCGGGGTGCAGCAAATATCAGCGCAGGAACCATCCGCTGACTTGACTTTTATTTCATTGGGTTTGGGGGCACAGGGATCGGTGAAGTTGACGCTGGATGTGGTAATATTAGATTTGCAGCAAGATTTGGAACAGGAACCTTTGCTGGCACTGTTTTCAATACCACATGCAACGTTGTACTTTCCGCCATGCTCGGTACTTCGACGCGGCGATCGACTTGTAGACGTGCCATTTGTGTGGCGAGATTCAACCAAGTCGCGCGAAAGAGACTGTTTCAGTGGTCTTTCAGAGCACCGCCCCTTTACCAGCGAAGTGCGCTTTCGAGGCTCGCAGCATGATTCTTTGCCCAGGGCAAGAAGAGCACGGCAGATACACCCGAGTGCTGTAAGCCTAGCGGCATATTGCTCTCTAACCGTGCGATGGTGACGGTCACAAGCTCTGCGGTTGAGCTTTGCACCCTCTACCGGTTTAGATGTCGAGGGAAAAGCTGCATTGGATCCAAAGTCAGTAGAGTAATATGAAGATAAACTATTTCATTTCAACATACAGTATCCATCTGCTTCCATGAAATGGGTGCTTGGCTCCATGCTACACTCACGTAGAGCCAGGCGGTCGAGGCAGGTCTCATTACAGCAGGGCGAAGACTTGCCCTCGCAGCACTCGGCCACGATAGGTTCAACTGAAGTAGCAGGTTCGTTTGAGGCGTTGGACCAGGAGGCACTGCGGTCTAACTTCCCAGCTTTGGTGGTAGGATTTCCTGTACAACAAGATTCCTTAAAAGCAGAAGCACCACAAGAAGGGACATCCTTTTTACCAATAGCCTCGGTAGACTGGTCGTTGCAGCAGCCTCCCTCGCAAGCCCTTGGTCGAGCCTTACCCTTGCAAAAATCAGTGGGCTCCTTGCACCCAGTCTCTGCAATTTCAGCGGAGGAAGCTGCATTGTTATTGTTGTTACTCGTTTTGTTGGTTTGGACAGCATGTTCTTCGCAAGAGCTCTCTTGACCAGACTTCTTCATGGGCTCACCGCCATAACAAGCCGCAGAAGAAGTATCGGGTTCTTCCACCTCAACCTCGTGAGTCGCATCTGTTTGAGAGGGTGTGCCTCCGCAGCAAGAGTGTCCCATAATGCTGGTTAGTTCTACGTGGGGTGAAGAGGGGATGGGGACCCGTCGGGCCCACTGTGTTTTGCCTGCGGGGCGGTGAGTTTGGCTTGTTTGCAGGGATCATCAACGCCAAGCCTCTACCTCCTAAATCCCTCGTCTGAATTGGTTTCGCCTTTAATGTGATTATAGATACAATTATAGGCCCTAGGTGTCAAATCTGGCAGGCCGCAGGTGCAACCAGCAGTTCCTTGTGAAAAATGGACATCACATCTTTCTACTATTGCACTGGCTGTCAATCTCTTTTACTGGGGAGTCTCATTGGGTGCTGAAACTAACAACCTGTCAAGCCCCAAGTCACAAGGATACCCTATTTTCATGGATCCACGACTGCACCCCATAGTGGGGCGCTCCCCATGGTCCCCAGTGTGGGATCGCACACATTGGGACAATATGTCGGTGGAGGTTGTATAAAGATGTGGGACAGGGGTTGGGCCTCAAAGATGGAGTGGACTTTTCTATTCATTCAATCTACTACTATGTTATTCCCCCTTCTTTCTAGCATCAGGTCGCCTTTTTGATCGGAGAATTGAAGCTGAACATTCATATATTCTGCCTTCTTTTCCATTTTACTGACAGTCGTGTAATCGTCGACATCAATTTCATGTAATCCATGATAAAAAAGGGCCAAAACGGACGACTTCCACAGCGATGTGCTGCCCTTCTTGTTTGCAAGAATGGTCAAGACGAAAAACAACATCCCAGAAACCACTAGCAAAGCTGGCAGGATTAACCAGGCCCACTGTACTTTCACAAACACTTCGATAGCATATGCTGTACCATTTACACCTTCGCCGCTAGCATGTAATGCCATCTTATTCAAAGAGCTGGCAACGTTAGACATGATGACTTCAAGACCGGCAATTCCAATGCGCTCTGTATTAGGATCAGGAAGTTTAAACGAGGCAGGATAGCTGTGAACGTCCCACATGTGATAGACAAAAGCTGAAGATCCCACAAAAAAGCCCACATTTAGTGGTATTCCTGGCCGAATCCCACAGAATGCAAATTCAACGGGACTTAATTGGAGCAAATCATTGTGTGCAGAATGTTCCCCAAAAGTGATATTTGATGGGCTAGATGTTGGCCTCCAGCAGAGAGTTTGATTTCCCGCAAAGTCCCCCTTTCTCCAGAACAATTGACCATAGTCGATGGTTGAGATATTGGTCATAGGAACACCGTTGTTAACTGAAACATCATGTTCGTTCAGGCAGAATGCAAGGCTACACTCGGTCACATTATCGATTGTAATTCCCTTGATTGGATCTGAGTCGAAGTGACTTGGATCATACCCAACTTTAGCGTACGCGAACACCACCAAAGGATTGGCTACCCCGGCAAAGGTCAGATTGTCCACATGTTGGTATACTTCAATGTCGGCGTTCTGATCGAAAGCAGAATACATATGCCAGGTGATGTTTTCTGGTATTCCCACACGACCAGCACTCGAGTTCTTGTATGCGATTCCGAATTTGACGAGAAAATTGGTCGACATCCCTTGTGAAGGGGTAAGGTGACATGATGCATTATAATTGTAGGACTCCGATTCGCTATCGTAATTATTCCAAAAGCCATCGTTTCGGGGGTCCTTGTGACAATCCAACGACACAGATGTTGTGATATCAGTGCATTGATTGCACACTTCAATAGACCGGTACCGAGGCCAGGTACAGTTCACGGACGAGCAGGTTGGATGGAACGTGTTGTCATCAGACCAGACTCCTGATACCCAGGCTAAATTCCACTGTACTTCGTTTACTTCTGGAAGAAAATACTTCAACCTCTTAGTTACTGCGACCCCGGTGCCATCATGAATAGCCGCCGACCGAGTAGGATAGCTCAAGATCTGCTGAACAAATGGATCGAATGAAAGTAAGAGAATCATGATCACTGCGCCAAACGATACGAGTGACCGTCCTTTGTGTTGGAATAGAATCATGATCGACCCAAGGGGTCCCCGACTAGCATTGTCAAAAGCCTGCATGTGAAGGAGCTGCTTCGGCTTTATACGAAACCAGATCCATTTCAATTGGCTCACGGCCTCTCCTATCACAAACATCAAAGAGGCTTTGCAACCCGTTGCCAGTATTGAGATAATCGCGTTCAAGGATAGGCCGTATGGAAACTCGGGTCGAGGCTGTTGGTCATAGGCAAATAAAATACCGCATATTGCAGTAAGACAGGCAATGCTAAATAGCGTAGCTAGTATCTCTAGCAACCATGTGTCCAGATAACGAGAATTCCAGTCTTGATTTGTTTTCTTTGCTGTTTTTGAGAGGGTATCATATAAAGCCATTGGTAAAGTTTCCTAGGTTTGGTGACTGATGGTATAGCTAATTTGACGGAGGTTGTTAGAGAGCCTGCAGTAATAAGGGATACTTTTGGCACTTCAAGGTTCTCCGCAATATAAAAACGTAGCCTAAGCGAAGCTGCCACTTGACCAATGTGGGCTGCTGCATAACAATGATATTCATTAGTATGTTGACTAGCATGGATATCACGTAGATCGGTAACCTTTTAGGTATACTGAGCTTTCTAGCCTGTTGCCAAGCGTTTCAGGCGGAATACATACATCCAATAACGTTAATTACAACTCAGCGAAGAGCTCCAGCGCGGCCGGTCGCGCACCCCCAGGGCAATCCTCACCCTAGTGGAGGCATTGGGGTGTCTAACGGACGGTCTCTTTGATCATAATAGCGCTCCTCGTCCCCGCACCTATGATGACCATGTTGCTTTGTTGCTCTTGTTCTACTGTGTATTGGGACTTCATCTTCGGCCGTCCACCATGTTCTACTCTTCGTAATACCTTTACTTATTCGCTCATATTACTGTTACTGAAAAAAAAAATGAAAAATGAAAAATGATTTTGCGCTCCATTTTAGCCATATGGGCTTTATTCATACTGAGGGAAGCCAGAAACGGTTCGAAAAAGGAAAATTAAAAGCATTTCTCATCTGAGCCCTATATTCTTATGCAGTGTCCACGATGCATTATTCCGCGTACAAAATTGTGGGAGCAGCTGGAGAGAATTGGGATCAGATTCACAGAGATAGACTATGACAAGATCATATCTAACCCGCAGGCCATCCACTACGCGGTCAACTTCATGCACCGAACAGATCTCTTCCAGCAGACTCAACACGTTGGGATCGAGGAGGACAACGACGACGAACCCACAGGCCTCGCGGCAATGGATCTAGGTGTGGAAGACGATGGGTATTAGCCAATGAGGATAGATGATGCTGTGGAACGAGAAACTCAGCCAGAGTCGACGAACATGCCAATCAACAACTGGCCATGCCAACGTCACCATCAATTGAAACTGAGGCAGGGGAGGGTACAGAGAAAGAGAGAGAGAGAGAGAAAAGTGGGGGTTAAAAGGAGGAGGGTACACTCCACAACTATCATTATATGTTAATTTCTTATGTATGGGATTACGGGTTTGAGGGTTTTTATGGGTTACAGGAATGGGCTGATTCCGCACTCTCTACGATCAGCATCTGTATACTCTGGGAGTGATCCCACTCAGCGTTTGGCTTCGAGTTCTTGCTTCAGTTGGATGAAGCGCCTGCATAGTCATACGGAACTAGTTAGACTGCAACAGGTTAATTGAACTTTGATTGATTGATTGATCATCTGAGCCCTGGAAAAGATAAGGGGAATTCTGGCTGACCTAGAGGTTGGCGTTAAGCCAGGCTGATTTGAATGAGCCAGAAAATAAACCCCTTGAGGTAGTTGACTAACTAGTTAGTTAATACTACTTCTCTTACTAATAGAGTCGATGGAGCGGTAACTATCGTATTAATGAATTTCTCTGAAGCGAAGTATGCAACCTTCCCTCGACACCACTCCCGTACTTCTAGTAGAAAATTAAAAGCAATCCCCCGTCTTAGAGTGCAATCTCAACGAGTGCTACATAACAATACAGACAACACATGCTGAAGAAAAAGTTTCAGGATCAAAGACACCATCACTACTCGACTCTTTTGCGTTTCGACGGGCGTACTAGTCGTCTACTAGTCATCATCTCGGCCTTCAGAGCTAAGGGCTTCCTCATCTCGAGTAGAAATCTTGAGGTTGGCAGAGACTTGTGTGGAGTCTGATGTATTCTTAATTGAGACCTGCCAGGAAGCCTTTCGGAAGAACATGCTTCTCGATAATATGTGTCTACTAGAAGTTAAATGATCCCAGCAATAACGTAAACAAAAACAAATTTGTATTTTCAAGAGTCCTGAGCTTTGCCGCAGCGCTTACTGTGGGTCTTGCGTTAATTATGGAAGAATGTTTCAGTGTAAAGTTGACAAAAGTGCTCCAAGACGAAATAGGGGCCCTAAAAAGAAGCTTACCACAGGAGCCAGCAGGCAGAACGGTATAATAATGTTCTCAAAAATCTCCAAGCCGATGTCTACAGACTCCAGGAGCAGACCTTGTGCCAGAGCCAGGAATTATCAGATTGTCTTATAAGCAAAACCATGTCCTTTGGTAGTCTACCGGCTAAGAATTGAGACGATGAGTATTGGTTAAAGGAATAATCACAAATAAATGAGCAGCCGGTTCAACTCTCGGGGTTATGAAAACCTCGAGTCTCTCGGGAATTGAGATGGGGAAGGAATTCGATGTCTCAGCCTCATTTCTTGGTTGGAGTGGTTCCGCATTTGACGACTGGGAGAAATTGGTCAAGTTTTCTTAGGAAGCTAGCTATGTAAAAAGTAGATTCGGCTGTAGTTCAAATGGGTGAGCATACTCACGGATACCTTCTTTGGGACCTGAATATAACGAGGTATGCTCTAAACCCAGAATCTGCACAGTAAGAAAGAGAGATCCCCGAAATGACATGTATTCCCCACAACGTACACCAGGACCCATATTTTCCTTATCTGACTGACAGGATCTGCGGGTGACAGTTTAATTTTCTTCACGGGGAAGTTCTGGGGCTTGGCAAATTGTACCTAGTATGCAAGAGCGGCGTTGGGATCCGGCGACCTTACAATACGATTATGCTTCAATTCCATGGCTTTTCCTAGCTAACGCTTTGTAAAATAGCCGCTCTTACCTAGGTATGGTGTAGCTATCAATAACGAAACATGTATGATGGATTGAATCGACAACCATTCCTAATTCTGAGTTATTTGCAATAAAGGAGTTCGTTCTAACTAGGTAGGGATATTCGCAAGTTATCGTGCACTAGTTCTCCATCTATGTGGCTACCTTACTAAAATTAATTTGGAGACTGCGGAATACGACAAGGTTGAAATGTCTCGGATTTTAAATCAACTTCCTCGGCTCAAAACCAAGCTGCTCCACCCGGGCGAGGACCATCACGACATCGTAATTTGGCTCACCCCCTATCCTCATTTCCTCTTGGTTTTTTAATTTTCCCGCCTTATTATCTGCTTTATAATAACATAGATAACCTTGGAATACCCTAATTTCACATAATCGCGGGATAATTCCGTCTACAAATCAACCGTAAATACATGTATAATATATATATTGTCCATGAGTGCCCTTATTAGCCATCACAACACACATTCACCCAGTCTCCTGGACATTTGGCCTCAACCCCGCGATGAAGATTGCTGGACAACCATTTATTCTTGGCCTTTTGGGCCTGGTCAACCTTGCTCGTTGCAACGTGCTGCCCAATTGGAATTCCTATCCCAGCCATGATCCTGCTATTGAGAATCGCACTTTGGACGAAATCTACGCGGCTGCTAAAAAGGAGACGGGTGATTTAATTGTTCTTTGGGGAGGTGATGGTAATGATTTCACCAGTCTTAAATTGCGGACGAACTCTTACTCACGCGGTTGAAAAGCTGTAAGCCAGGGTGATTCGACCATTGAAGCATGGCAGGCAAGATTCCCCGAAATTAAGCTCAATCTGACTGTCGATGTTTCAAAATATCATGACAGCCGAGTCAATCGTCAGTTCCAGCGCAATGGAACCGATGGGGCAGACATTGCGGTGTTGCAGACGCTCCACGATTTCGGCCGCTGGAAGAGGGAGGGACGGCTGCTGCCTTACAAGCCGTTGAAATGGGAGGACATTTATACCGCTGTCAAGGATCCTCACGGTGCCTTTGTGGGAGCATTTATATGTGAGCAACATGATGATTTCCCACTTCATAAATCGTTTTCCAAGCCAACTAATTTTATTCTTCGCCAATTAGATCAATTCGGAGATCTTATTTACAACACCGGTCTCTTGAATGAGTCTAATGTTCCATCCTCCTATGGAGACTTTGTCCGCCCGGAGTGGAAAAGCAAACTGACATTGACGTACCCCAATGACGACGACGCTATCACTTACCTTTTCTCTGTCATCATCGACAAATATGGTTGGGAATGGTTTGAATCACTCATCGAGCAGGACGTTCAGTGGGTTCGGGGAACTGGCGAGCCTGCTAACTATGTTGCCGAGACCAATTCAACTCGCTCGTTGTCTTTCACCACCAATTTGAACGGCGCGAACAACCTGGCTAGCAAAACTCCCCAAGAGGCTGCTTTGCTATGGCCACAGACTGGTGCTATTTTTGCGTCTACCCCTCGCCCTGAAAGTGCTAAATTGTTTATGAGCTGGTTGCTTAGCGACGAACGCCAGCAGGGTAGTGGGAGCTACTTAGTACGGAAAGACCTGTCTCCTAAGCTTGCAAGCGTGTGGGACGATAAATTCACGGCTCTCACTCAATTCGCAACTTTCATGGAAAACCGTGAGTTGGTCGAATGGTGGAGATTCCAGTTTGAGACTTCTATCGGGAGCGCACAGGGACCTAGCCCAGTGCATTCGTACTATGGTAGTCGCTAGACTGGGCATCATTCAATGTGCCCTGGCCTTCCACTATGTGATCAGAAGTGAATACTGCTGGTGGTAAGCTCCAGATGTGTTTGTCAGATTGATATACAGATTCATACTATACGCCGTCACTTTGAATGTATATTAGATGTGATCATTTAATAGTTCGAGAATGATATTTTAGTTTACACAATATTCAGCGACAATAAACCAAGCAATGTTCTTCAAAGGAGAGTTTCAGCTAGTGAAAGAGCTAAGTCTGGTGTTGGATGATTATTGATTTCTGCTTTTCCTTGCACCTTGATATTTAACAGACAACGATTTGAACTTTAACTACGTGCACTATGCCAACAATGCTACTTATACTAGCAGAGTATACTAGATGATCAGGTTTAATCAATGCATAGTAATCTCTATCTACTATAGAAGCAAACTCTACAATGAAAGATGTGAAACGTTACCTTGACGGGAGGTTCAAACGCCCGGAACCGTGCGAACCGGCTTCGGAAATTAGACTGGAAACCCCAGGAAAAGAGAACGTTTGATTCATTGGCTCATTAGTGGAGGAAGAGAACCCAAACATCATAGAGGAGACCGGGGAGTTTAGTGGTTATTCCAAGACGGTGGCTTCGTAACGTGGGTGTTGCCTTATTCACTGTTTCTAAATAAACCGTCAAAGTGTATCTATCTCAATTCATTTTGAAAGGTTTCAATGCGATCCAAAATTCTTTTTTTCTTTTTTTAAATAAATAAATAATAATAACGCGGTGTAAATCTAGGCTACACAAGGATCGGCAGTCCCTACAGTGATTGATTGTACTAGAGCCAAAGTTTGGCTGAGTGCCCTACATAGTACCTTTCTTTGATCATTCAGCGCTCAACATAATGCTTACCATGCATACCCTCATAACAGAGAGCCAAAGTTCACCAAAAATAGATATATCTTCTAATATCCAGCTTAAGTTATGCCGATATTGGAGGGCTTGTCGAAAGCGGATTACCGGCATGATATGGATCCCTCGGATTCATATAGCCACGATTAAATGACATACGTCGAATTTCTCTGCCAATTTATTCACACTGATCAAATAGTGTTGTGAAGGAACCCCTCACGTCTGCAGGCATCGCTCGGTATGGCTTCAGTTTGCTCTCGGCCATCAAGCTAGAAACGGTGGCCTTAGAGTAATTTCCAACATCCCAGGCATCGTCACCAATTATTTTGGCCTGCTCTTCAGTTGACCAAATCTTTCGACAATTTAGTCCCAGTGCAAATGGATTGATTGTTTCAACCGCCTCGTTCAAAGCCTGAATAATGTGCTCTTCACTTTCACTTCTGCTCAGCGGAGCCACCCCGAGCCTTTGTGTGAGGGCTTCGACGATTTTGGTACCAGACGGTCTCAGTTCACACAATGCTAGATCTTGGTTTTTCAATTGACTGATTGGGGTGGAAGCGAAGATACTTGCGTAAGCTGCTCCCACGTAAGATCGAGTGCTAGTCATTTGTCAGAGAAATCTAATAAAAGAAATATATATTTTCGGCTTGGGAGAGGCCTACCAAAGATTCAGAGGCTCTGACGCACTGTTGCCGATGAATTGAATTTTATTGCTTTCGTACTCAACGCCCAGTGCTCTGTAAGATCCAGTTCCGCCGTCAGAAAATTGAAAATTCACTTTTAGACGATCAGGCATGGTACTTACGGCGTGTCTAGGGCGAATTCTGCGAATTTTTCAGGAAGAATAACTGTGGTAGGGATTGCGGCTTGACAAGCTGCTTTCTCGACCTCGACCTTGTTCATGTTTACCGGAATTTGGTTACCCTGGTCATCATACCTTGCGGTTAGGTCAGAGGGAACAAATAGCTGCACTTGTGTTATCGGGATTGCCTCAACAAAGTGATGCTGAAGGGTCACGCCACCATGTCCAACAAGACAGCTGGGTAGAGAGGCGTGTGTAAGCAGGTGGTTCTGGGCATACTTCTTTTTTTTTCATAATCCACTAACTCACATGATGATATCGATATTCCTAAGGGTTTGAACCAATGATACTTGATCAGTCAGTTTGACTTCGGCGATTTCAACGTTGGCTGGTAAGCTTGAAATGTCGGAGTCAGGGCGATGGGGACCCGAATAGCAGCATCTGAGCTAGCGAGAGCTTGAATGACCTCGGAACTAGCCCATCCTCGATGATCATAAACTGCAATGCGATTGGATGTCATCTCGAAATAACCTTGTTCAGAAATAACCTTGTTCACGATGATCGAAGTAAGTCAATGGAAGTTGATATCTCGAGATATCCACAATTTCCGCCGATATTGGGTGCACCTGCCGGGTTTAAATATCGTCAACGCAGTGCTACAATACAAACTCATGAATCTACTCAAACAATTCTATAGTTGTTTATCAGGCGCAACGCAACTCCTCGAGTGGAGCCTATTTCCCGTTCCCGATTTGTCTGCTGTGTGTTCAAACATGCCAATAGGTAATTTCTGCGAATCTAGTAAACCTAGCAATCGATAACCGTGTGGCTTTTAACTGGGTGCTTTCTTGTAAAGTTGAAATTTTGACGGGCCTGAAATATTACATGTTATGTACAACACACATTCCGTGTATGTTGGTGCACCCCACTAGATGCAAAGAAATCCTCAATTATCAACTTCACATCCATTTTAGTACTATACCACAATGTCAGATCAAATCAAAGAATATGTAAGCCATCTGGGTACTGGACCGTAATGGCGTCCGGAAATAGATTGCCTGGTTGACAGGTCAACATACTTTTAGTGCACACCCCGACACCGCTTTCATTCATCTTACCGGTTGCTTCTCCTATTGGTGGCAAATTGGTTGGACTTGCCTCGGGACCCACACAACAGGCTGTCTGGGTGAGGCTGTTAGCCGGTTCCAAAAATGATTGGTTGCATCAACTCTGTCCCCACCTGTGCCCTGTGCCTTCTCACAACTATACATGTCATTCGACGAAAAGTGGTGACTGACTGACGGCTGCACTGGACGCGAGGCAATCTTTTTTTTCTATAAGAAGCTTGCAGCCTTGCCTTTCAGAGGTAGTCCATAATTCCTAAAAAACAATCATTCTAGGCTCTTTCCCATGATGGAGGTAAACATGGAGGAAGCGCAGCAATCGGTTTGCGACGACTGCCAAGAAGCTCTCGTGGTCAGCACGGAGGAGAATGCGGAACCTATCCATCTACACCAGCATGACCCACATCTCTTCCTGGCTAATTGCTCTGACGGCCTCTACTGGCAGGCCTCTGGGATGTATGAGACCCAGTCGATTCCGAATGGAAATCATGGTATGTATTCACAGAACTGGAAAATCCTGGTGAATTTTGACTGTCTAAGTACTCACCAAATTTCAGCTGAGGTCAATTCGAGTCAGAGCATTGAGTTCAACCACAACCTAAATTTTCAAAATTTGGCTTTACCATCAATCCAGCAGCCAGTGATTGCTGGCCCTGACCCGAATTTTGGTGATGGATATTCGTTTGTCCCTGCAGTGGATTGTACTCAGCCGGAGTATCTCCTCGGATACGAAGAGAATATTTTTGATCATCTCGTTTCGAATGATTATCGATTTACAAGCACCTCAAGCCTATTCGGTGCCCCAAATTTGGACAATCAGTATGCGCAACATGATGCATATTCGACATTAGGTGATTCCGTCTACCCACAAACACTTGAGTCAGAGGTCTATGCTCCTACTCTGGCACAAAGCCAGTGTTCCCTTTCTTCACCCCACATCACAACCCAGGGATATGATACACAGGGTGCTAGCTTGTTTCGGGGCTCAGGAAGCTGTCAACTCCCATATATGACAAACAGCGATGGTATTGCGGCTATGTGGGATATTGGTAGGTGGCCAAATGAGGGCAACATCGCCATGCCTTGGAGCGCGCCCTCTACAGTAGCCAATGATGGCGACTTGACTCTCAGTTCCGAAATTGGCCCGTGGCCAATGTTCACGTATTCAGAGTCCGTCCCGGTACAAGCAGAGCTATGGAATAATCAGGCTTCTGTTTCAAATTCCGTGGCTCTTGATACCTGGGAGAAAGCACCACAAACAGATCCTTTTTGCTCCCATATGCCGGAAACACTTGTTGAGACAGAGAGGCCTACAGCACCTATAGAGGTGGAGGAAAGACCACACACTGGTAGCCGACCAAGAAACTCCCTAGGTCTATCCCGTCCTGTGTCATTACCGCCAGTTCGCAGGGGAGGAAGAAAGGGTCCACTCACAGCACAGGAGAAAGTGATACGCAAAGAGGTTAGAAAAAGAGGGAGCTGCATAAGATGCCGGAAGATGAAGGAAAAGGTTAAAACCTGACCCAAATACACGAAATCAGACGTAAATACTGAGTCAAACTAACGTCTGATTAGTGCTATGCATTTATCCCTTACAGCAAATGCCTTCAGACCTCAAACGAGATAATTTGGAGCACCCCTTGTACTCAGTTCCATTTCTTGGATATACTTGAGACCGGATCATATTTTCAAAGTTTGTATTCCCTCATATATTTTCCCGGGTGAGCCTCATCCAATTATCATGCAATAACTGAATTTGGGTCTTTTATTCCTAGAGGTTTTTGTTTCCCGAAACAAATTGATAACCAAATTGGATCAGAAAGGCATATTTTTGCAGTTGCTGGTTGTGTTCTCGATTGGACAAAACGAAGATTTGGGGAAGATCATGACAGGTCTCCCAGCTCCGCTGAGAACCGAGGGAGTGATTATTTGGAAAGTTGCACTCGAAATCCTACTTGACCTTCTTACCAACGATGACTACCAACGCAAAGGAATGTCTTTTGCCGAGCGAGTATCTGCAACCGCGTGTCTTCGCTCAAAAGACGCATCTCTTCTGCCTCCGATTTTGTTTTCCAACCCTGAACACCTTGGCACATCTTGTTTAGACTGCATAGTAGGTTCAGCATTTGAAAGCAACATGTTCCATGCTGATACAATTGTAGCAAGCACCTTTGGCCTTCTGCCTGACAGAATTCAACTACAGTGGCAAACCAAACTATGGTGTTAATGAGGATATCATTACACAGTCTCTCGAGGCTACTTTGGAAACCATTGCGTATCTGAGCCGCCGTCAATTTGAGCTTACCACCTTTCAAAGATTACAGTGCTCCGCAAATCAGTTATTTGCACGCACGAAAAAGCATTCACAGAGGCAAAATTACAGCACAGCAAAAGCACTATTTCAGCTGTTAATGTCTGGCTTATTTGATAATTGCAAAATGGAGTCTACTAATTCTGTGAGAAAATCACCGGCTTGTACAAGGAACATATCTAATGATCGTTGATCTTAGGAAAGCAATGAGAGTGGGACTTTACTGGCGAGGGCGGCATACACGGAGCAGAAAAGAAGAATTCGCTGCGATCTCCTTCGTTACTTTGAAACAATTCTCAGCAAACTTCCTTCTTGGAACTACTTTTTTGAGGATACAATTGGCTATGGGGATTCAGACGGCGCGGACTTCATGCGAGGATTGTGCTCAGATGTGGACAGCTTTGACGCAAAAGCAATTGCTTACGGCTCAGTGGTTCAGGATCGTGTTACCCAATGGTTGAAATGGGAAGATACCTTCGATGACTTTGAACTCTATGACAAGTCTGAGTTACAAGAGGATGCAGAACTTGATCTAGCATGGTTTCAATCCTTCCATCGGGATGTCTTGCGGGGAACACCTTACAAATCTGATGTCAACGCCATCGAAACGGATCTGGATGAAAACTATAAGCCATTACTGAATTCACTGATCAAAACTTTCCAAGGGATTATTCCCGAGATGGCCGCACTCTTCGAAGAACTTATGGTGGACCTGGGAAGGCTTCGAGAAGCTTTGTCGGTGAATCTGAAACATTTCGAGGACTGTACTGCTTCCGAAGAAAAAGAAGCGGCTCTTCAGAACTTGAAGGACAGAGTTGTTGAGTGCTATGGGTGGATGAAAGAATTTGACAACATGTATGAAAGGATACGGATGGACTACGGACCTTCCGGTGATCATTCTTAATATCCAGAAGGCCCTCGATGACACAGGCGAGCGTGGTTCCATGTTATTGACACACTTTCTCTTCTTGGAGTCATTGGAGGAGCTACAACCGTCATTTTATTGCTATTAACCTTTTCCAAATTTGATTAGTCTTCTACCAATCAATTCCGACCGACGTTTTGAGATTTAAGGTTTTTGAGAAGGATTTATATAGCCCATATTTAGGTATCGTGACATAAAACGTCAGTATAATACTTGACAAGACCCCAGCTAATATCTGGTGGCAAGAAAGCTTATGGGTAATTCCTGATCGGCATATGCATTTTGATCATGAACTTAGGGTAACACAGCGATAATTTTAAAATACTATATTACGTGACTTATGGAGCTATGATTTGATAATTACTCTCGCTATATTCGAACCCTGCCTGGTTAATAGGCTATTGGCACTAGTTACCTACTCGTCTGACAATTAGCTAGTCACAGAGTTAGGGTTGCAGATGGGATCTACAATACCACCAGGCTAAGAGATCAACCTTACCCGAAATATGTTCTTTTCTCCGACTAAAAAGGGTTCTGCTTCGTTATCATTCTCATCTCATCTTTTCACGACATCCTTAGTTAAAAAATGTACTAGACCAAACTCTAGTACGTAATTCACATAATATACGTGTTCTCTAGTAACCGGTGAAGCTAAAATCAATGTACCTCAGGTGAATGGGTTGAAGGGACTGAAGAGTACGGCGGCGAGAGGGGATTCCCTAATGAATAGGAAAAATGGGTGAACAAAAAAACATACAACAGTGAGGATTCGCTGGTGGTCACCCACCCAACTACTAACTCACCGGCGTGTGGCTTAAGTACGGCTGAGCGGACGGGAAGCCCTGTTTTCCACACCCTATGGTCGTATGTATCTTATTATTTATAAAGACAAATTATAAAGTGCAATGGACTGGGTGATGAATAGATATCGAATGAACTATTCGGAATCCATTAGGCGTGGTGAGTTGGTTCGTCTGGGGCCACATCATTGGGACTATGTTGACAGTATTGAGTTAATTGAATATCTTCTTATCACAGGGGGACGAGGCATCATACGTGAAGAAACCAAGGTCTAATTGCATGCCCAAGACGGTCTTAATGAACGGCATGGAGTGACCAGGGGCCGAATCTCTTTACAACCCCTCAAGCAACGAGCTAGGATGTTTGAATCTATAGATGGTTTGGTAGAGTTTAGACCGAGGAGATTTCAAATCCTGCTAGCCGAGCGGTATCGCGCTTGAATGCTAGCATGAGGCCCTCCGTGCCGCAACCCTAGAATGGGGGACTAGCAAAGCATATTTAGATGATTGGGTCTGTCCAATTCCGAGTTGTATTTGGCAACACATTGCCAAAGATGACTTGACTGATAGATAAAGCATTATTGTCATCTACATAATTGCAGCCTCTGTAGTGATGCTTTTGAACGACCAGCCAAGCATCAAAAAGTCCTATTTAACCAATTAATAGACCTGGCTAGTCGGATCTGAGACCCTTTGGCATCGGAAAAGTCAGAAAAGCGAGCGTTCAGAATATCATCGAGCAAAACGTTACACAGCACGATCTATCCAGTACTTGTTGAGTCAGTGGTCCAGGTTGTCGTTCTCTATTAAAGGAAAAACGATTGTCTCCTCCTTGATGTCGAGACAAGGAACCACCCCCTCGATTATGTCCGTGGGATAATTTGCTCCCTACGGAGTATCGTGGGAAGCAGAAGTGTGACGAATGCGAAAACTTGGGAGCAGGAAGTACCGGCTCTCAGGTGAGTATTGCATGATCTGTCTTAATTTAGTGATGATGTGTGAAATGAGAAATTCAACAGTCAATTCAGAAAGGTTTAGGCGGGAAAAGTGGAAGACGAGACACGTACGGCAAGAAAATCAGCAAGATTTAACGTGGCTAAGACGTCGGGGGCGTGGTGGGTTGTCAAATGAATGAGGTACGTACTTGATGGAAATCCCAAGTGAGGACGCCGTGAAAGTGTATTGAAATGAAAGGTATTTTTAGTTTTATTATCAAAGACTAGAGAATTCTGTGAAAGACTTGAAAAAAAGTTGAGATAATCTCGTCTTGGATATGGTCTTCGGGGCAAATCAAATGGTTAAGCGATCTCAACGATATCATGGCCTTCGGTATGCAACGTAGCTTCATTATCAAGTACCCTCTTCTAGTTCTCTTCAAACAGCCACAATATAATTCATATCGATTGCTCAACTAGTTCTGCCTATACAAACTCATGACGGCAGTGACACAGCTTTTACCATGGGCTCCTTAAGCGTGAAATTTGAACATAGTGCTTCACATAGCCCTTGAATATTTGCTGTTCCTCGTTCAGTATGGCATTTTGGGCTCTATTGGTAACCTCCCTTCCCGAGTGATACACCCATAATCTATGGCAGTTCGGCTGATTCTTGCCCAGATTTGCTAACTTGTTAATAACTACTCCTTTCAACATAAAAGAAGTTCATTCGCTAACGTATTCCATATGCGAGCTGCGCAGCCCGATATATATATTTCTCAGTTCGAGCTACGTAATTTTCAATATAACAATAATGCCGCTTTTCAATTTCCTTAAAACTCGTATTTCTTGCTTACAAGGCCTATCAATGGCTATCGGCAAATAAACATATAATAGAAAGGCGTTTGTTATTGAAATATAAGTGTAGCATATGTCGCATTTACTATGGTGTTCCGGACTGCGCAGCTCGCTTGTATACGTTACCTATTTATTACATAGTTAATTACACTTTATAAACTGTCTTTATAAATAATAAGATACATACGACCATAGGGTGTGGAAAACAGGGCTTCCCGTCCGCTCAGCCGTACTTAAGCCACACGCCGGTGAGTTAGTAGTTGGGTGGGTGACCACCAGCGAATCCTCACTGTTGTATGTTTTTTTGTTCACCCATTTTTTTTTTATTCATTAGGGAATCCCCTCTTGCCGCCGTACTACTTAACTTACTCTTCAGCCCCTTCAGCTTATTTACCTGTATGCCCTGAACACCACTCACTATTCTACACTTGAATATCCTGCATGCCCCTAAACCCTGACGTGTCCTTCCCCTCCCATCTCCCATGCTGACTTTTACTTAGGCGTGCTGTTTTAATCACAACTCTCTGGTAATAGTTTCCACCGATTGGCACATGTCCTCCTAGTGTTCAAATGACAGTAGGAGAGAAAAAGAAGAAGGGCCGCCTTGGAGAATCAAATCTGTTATTAAATATAAATTCGCTGGAGGGCACTTACCCCACTACTAACTCACCGGCGTGAGGCTTATCTGCGGCCAGTAGTCGGGTGGGTGCCGCTCGTGCGAGTTTTAATTGAGCGCCGCTTTAGCGTTGCGCGACCAGGGTGAGTGTCGGCGAGAGGGGGTTGAGAACTATTCTTCGTCAGGCAACTGTCGCATTGACCCTCCCAGCTGGACTATGCTATATCATTAATGGGTCGCCTCAATGCATCTGAAACGCCGGTCTCTGGGCATCTGCACATAGCCACGATCTGGCTTTTGACAAATTAAAATTACAGCTTAGGTACTCAGATTTTGTGAGCCGTGCATGTTTTAACGCCCGCCCCGCACCTCTGAAATTCTGTTGAGAGGTGCTAGGCGCCCAGTCGTGCAAGCAGATCTCCCTCTTATCTCTATCTTTCCTTATTCTCATATGGATGGAAATTGACGACTTCAATCAAGTTCCCTTACTGTCTTCGTACTCCCAGGAACCTTTCTTTCAGGCAATAAGGTCGTCTCATTCACGAGGTGCCAGATGCTAGTATTATTGTGACCATATTGCTGGGGCTACCTATCCTACTCGAGACGATGAGAAGCCTTCTCAGACCGACAAAGTCATCTAAAGCTACACCCCAGAAGCTGCAAGAAACAAGCCTCGGCAGAGCAGGATTCTCCCAAGAGATAGATACCGGCGCGTCGAAATCTTCCACCGCCTCTTGCTTTCCAGATGGAACGAGGCTTCTGCACGACTGCTCGGATGCAATCGTAGATATCTGCTTTGTTCACGGATTGACCGGGGACCGCGATAGCACCTGGACGGCCGACGGAAAATCCACCCCGTGGCCGAAGACATTCCTCCCGTCGAAACTCCACCGGGCTCGCATTCTGACTTATGGCTATGATGCATATATAACTCGAAAAGTGGTTGCATCATCGAACCGGTTGATCGATCACGCTACCAACCTTCTCAATGATCTAGTAACCGATCGATTCGCATGTAATGCATCATCTCGCCCGCTCATCTTTGTCGTACATAGCCTAGGTGGTCTTGTCTGCAAAAAAGCTATCCTTCTTTCGCGGAATAACCCTGAGCCTCATCTTCGGGATATATTCGATAGTACCAAGGGCGTCATATTCATGGGCACTCCCCACAAAGGAGCCTGGATGGCGGACTGGGCCAAGATTCCCGCTTCTGTATTTGGCCTTGTGAAGTCAACCAATACAACGTTACTGGATGTTTTGAAGCGAGACAGTCAGCTTCTTCAATCGATTCAATTTGATTTCTTAGCTATGGTCCGCCAGTTAAGAGAAGATGGCAGGAGATTTGAAGTAACCTGCTTCTTTGAAGAACTTCCCATGCCTATTGTTGGACAGATTGTGTCTAAAGAGTCAGCCACCCTTGAAGGTTATACGCCCCTTAGTATCCATGCAAACCATCGAAATATGGTCAAGTTCAGGTCTACCGAAGAGAATGGGTTCAAGAGGTTACTGGGAGAGTTGAGTAGATGGATCGCACAGCCTTGTGAGGATGGTTAGCACTCGACTTCTATAAATATCTTATTCAAGCTAATAATGGCCTTAAGCCCGCCTTTCATCGAGAGTTTCGTCACCGAATGAGCGGCGTTTGTTTGATGCTGGAGACCGAGCCTGTCTGCGGGATCTATTTATAACCAACCCCTGCGATGACAAGAGTCGCATTGAAAGAACCAAGGGAGGGTTACTAAAAGATTCTTACCGCTGGATCCTTGATAACAACCAATTCAAAGATTGGTGCTACAATCAAGAGCAAAGGCTGCTCTGGATCAAGGGTCATCCTGGAAAGGGCAAAACAATGCTCCTATGCGGAATCATTGATGAGCTGATCAAAATGACGCCTGACACTACTCTCATTCTATTTTGTTTCTGCCAGTCGGCTGACGCACGAGTAAATAATGCCACAGCAATCCTACGGGGAATAATCTTTCAACTCGTTGACAAGCTACCGATGCTTATCCCCTATGTGCGACGACAATATGATCAGATCGGGAAACAATTATTTGAGGGTATTAATGCGTGGGACGCTTTATCCAAGATCTTTTCCGACATCTTAGAAGACCCGATATTATCTGGATCCTACATCATCATTGATGCGCTCGATGAATGCATAGAAGGCATGCCTCTACTTCTTGATTTGATTACTCAGAAGTCATATACGTGCTTGAATATCAAGTGGCTTATCTCAAGCCGTTATTGGCCAGCAATCGAAGAGCAGCTTTCCATGGTTAACCAGGAAGCAATGCTTTCGCTGGAGTTAGTTGATGAGGCTATTTCCGCAGCCGTCGCTACATACATCCACTTTAAAGTCCAAAAGCTGGCTGAGCGGAAGAAATATGAGGACGGAGTTCGTGAAACAATTTGTCGTCATTTACTGTCAAACGCACATGGCACCTTCCTCTGGGTAGCCTTGGTCTGCGACGAGCTAGCTAAAGCAAGAAAGTGGAACGCTCTTGAACTCCTCGACACCTTTCCCCCGGGACTTGAACCTCTCTATAGGCGGATGGTTGAACAGGTTCGCGGCTCACAAGAGATCGAAATTTATGAACGAATCCTACGCGTCGTCATAGCTGTGTACAGACCAATTACACTAGAAGAACTTCCAGCATTAGTCGACATACCCGATGGTGTCTCTAATGATAACGAATTCTTGACAGAAGTGATTGGAGGTTGCGGCTCATTTCTCATCCTTCGAGAACGTGATATCTTCTTCGTTCATCAGTCCGCAAAAGACTTTCTACTCGAAACCCCATTGAATGAGACGTTAGTAAGAGGAATAGAAGCCGAACACCACATGATCTTTTCCCGTTCGTTACAAGTCATTTCCAAGACACTTCACTGCAACATATATGACATCAGGTCTCCTGGCTTTCCAGTTGAGCAAGTCGCACGCCCTAACCCAGATCCGTTATGTGCCTTAGGTTATTCATGTATTTACTGGGTTGACCACCTCCAGGACAGTTATTCCGGTGAAAATCTCAGCTCTGAAATCTTTGATTGGGCCGCTGTGGATACGTTTTTACAACAAAGTTATCTTCACTGGCTCGAAGCTCTTAGCCTTCTCAGAAGCATTTCCAGAGGAATAGCTGCGATATTGAAGCTTGAAAAGATAATTCAGGTTAGTGGCCGTTATGACTGAATGAATTTCCATTCTAACAACTAAATGCATTATCAGACAATGGGTGTGTCACAAGAACTTTTGTGGCGAGTTCGAGATGCGTCCCGATTTATACAGTACCATAAGGTAGCAATTGAGAGCAGCCCTCTTCAAGTCTACAGTTCATCCCTCATATTCAGCCCAAACAAGAGTTTAACAAGAGCTTGCTATCAAAAGGAGAAGATAAGCTGGGTTCTAAATGAACCAGCAGTTGAAGATGATTGGAGTCCATGCCTTCAAACATTTGAGGGTCACAATGCTTCTGTTTTTTCTATCGTATGGTCGCAAAACGGAAGCAAACTTGCCACAAAGTCATGGGATGGGACGGTGAAGATCTGGGACTCGGTCACCGGACAGTGCACAACTACAATTCAACGAAATGATGGTTCAATCACGTCAGTCGTCTGGTGGCAAGATGAACCTCAAATTGCCATAGTACATGGCAAGACGGTGGAGATCTTGGATCCGATCACCAGAAAATTGATATTCGCCCTTGATGGACATGCCGATTTAGTCATATGTCTTGTCTGGTCGCAGGATAGAAGCCAGCTTGCAACAGGGTCTTTGGATAAGACAGTCAGAATTTGGAACTTAGCCACTGGAAAGTCTACATTGGTCTTGAAAAGCCATAACGATCGCTATTCGTCTATCTCTTGGTCCCAAGATGGAAGCCGGCTCGCAACGACGTCTGAAAACAAATCAGCTAGTGTCTGGGACCTAGCTAGCGGGCAATGTCTATTTACGCTTCAAGAACATACAATGCGAGTCTCGTCTATTACATGGTCTCAAGACACAAAATTGCTTGCCACAGCGTCTTGGGATAGTACGGTTAGAATCTGGGATTCAACCACAGGACAGTGCATATCCACCCTTGAGTTCCGTTGGGGCTCAAGCCTATCTGTTTCGTGGTCACAAAGCAAATTACTCCTCGCAATTACTCAGGGGAATATAGTGAGGATATGGGACCCAATCACCAAACAGTATACCGCTACTCTCAAGGGCCATAGTGAAAAAGTCCGCTCTATCGCGTGGTCCCAAGATGGAAGCCAGCTTGCATCAGCGTCAAACGATACAACGGTCAGGATATGGAACTCAGACACAGGCGATTGCGTGTCCACTCTCAGCGGACATGGTGATTCAGTAATATCTATTATCTGGTCGCAGAATGGAAGTCGACTCGCATCAGGTTCATTAGATAATACGGTCCGCATCTGGGCTGTTCCAGCCGTGCAGCCTATTTCAACAAGGCATGGTAGGCGGGTAATGTCTATCGCCTTATCGCAAGATGGAAGACGACTCGCAACAACCTCAGAAGATAATATAGCTGAGGTCTGGGATTCAACTACGGGAAAGCGTGTATTCAGTGTTGAGACGTACGCCCGACTAGTCGCCTCTCTTACCTGGTCGCAAGATGGGAACCGGCTCGCATTGGTACTAGACGATAATACAATCAGGGTAGAGGACATTGTCAACAAAGAGTGTATATCCACTCTTGAAGGGCATAGCGACTGGGTTAATTGCATCGCATGGTCGCAGGACGGAAGCAAGCTTGCATCAGCGTCACGCGATAAGACAGTTAGGATATGGAATCCTAGCAGGGGATATTGCGAGTCCACTCTCAGTGGGCATAGTGCTTCAGTTATATCCATGGCCTGGTCAAAGGATAGAACTCGTCTAGCTTCGGAGTCACGGGACAATACAGTGAGAATCTGGAACCTTACCACTGCCCAGAGTATCTGTAAGCTTGAGGGCTATACTGACTCAACTAAGCCTCCTGGATCATCGAAAGATGGCAGCAAACACGCAACAATGCCAGTCCCTGGCTTAGTTCAAATTTGGGACACAGCTACTGTACAGTGCATATCAATTTTCGATATTTGTTCGTCGCCTGATTTCGATATGGATGCATGCAAGGGTCTCCAGCTGGATGAGAACAGCTTGAGTCATCTCCATGCTAGTCTTGGTATATCCTATCAACAATATGCTGGCCCTGCCCCACCTTCCCTTGAGGATTCGGTTCCTTCATCACAATTGAGAGGATACGATCTGAGCATTGATCGTTCTTGGATAACCTACCGAGGGGAAAACGTCTTGTGGCTGCCCCCAGAGTATCGGCCATCCGCATTATGTTCATTCGCGTCGTTTGCGACAACAGTGGGAATTGGCTGTCCCTCAGGCAATGTCTTACTCTTGTCATTCCCCGAAAACATTTCAATGTCAAAAAGAAGAAAAGAGAGATATATATAGACTGGAGTAAATAGCAGCATCCATCAGACCCCAGATATCTCAACAAGACTGGGACATTCACTCCTTCCCCTTTTGCATACGATACAGCTATATTCGAAATTGGCTTCCATGCTTTGCATAAGAAGATTGTTTCTAGAACCCTAATCCAAAACACGCTAGCCCTAGCACTATACCCTATGCCCGCGCAAAGTCAGGGCAGACTCCTATTTCTCTTGCCGCTGATTGGGCTTAGCTAGACTCTAGCCCAATCGGTAGGGGTTCTACGATACTTATAGTGGTCTCGACACTATAACTAAGTCATCAAGATAGTTAAATCATTTAGGATACACCGCTATCTTTGTTCATTTACTTAGTTAAGAGAGGGATCTTGATCTTTAGTTCACCCACGATATACTATCTAGTATTAGCCCTGATTGCTTTAAAATGACGCTAGTATAGACCTTATTGATTGTAGTCCGAGTGGTAAGTGGGAATTCAAAGTTTCTTTTTCTCTTTATGCTAGTCGAGAATTTCCTAAAAAATCCCTAAATCGTCTCGACTTTAGGTCTTTCTTCGATCCGACCGTCTATTCCTCTTGCAACCCACTCGAGAGATGCAGAAATGCCCTATAAGCTCTAATGTCCGGCGGAATGACTGCCTATAGATATAATTTGATAAAACTAGGGATAGAGGCACAATTTAGCGATTTACTTCTCTACTCCTAGGGCTAAGACTTACTCGTCAAAAATAAGTAACGTGTGACTATAACTAGATTCTATTCGTAGTAGCACTGCCCGCTGGATTTCATTGTTACTATGCTCCCCGAAATCTACAATATTAGGCATATATTTCAACGTTAGGTCCTTGGTACGTATCTTATCGTGACAAAGCGAGGTTAAAGTGATAAAGTGAGACTAGAGATAGGGAAAAAAAAAGAGGGGGGGAACAGAAGGATACTTGTAGCTATTTTAGTCATGATAGGAATTGTACCTTTTGCTGTACGGGCTGAATATTTGGGTGAGGAATATTCAGGTGGGTGAATATCCGTCCTGAGTGCCCTGAATAAAGCGACGAGCCGCCCATGCCCGAACCGTGGGCGCTAGGTGACCACCAACTTAGACATGCTGTTGTATGTTTTTGCTATTTTTCTTTCGTTCAGAAACTCCCCTCTTGCCGCCGTACTCTCCAGTCCCTTCAACAAGAAGCTAGACTTGCGTGATTTGCAAAAGAAAGTTATCCAACCAAACGAGTTGTATCACTCGAAAACTGGATCTAGTTGGCACTTTATAGGTTCAAATTTTGTCCCAATTCCTTCAAGCTCTGTCGAGTTAGCCCACCTTGTCTCCCAGTCTAGCCGAGGTCCCATTGGTAAAGGTCGTTAATACCTCAAGACATCCATGCTATTCAAGTGAGTGTGGATGCGACGGGAGCGAAGTTGCACTGACCGACCCAGAAAGAATTTCCCGAGTTGGCGCTAAGCTCACGATAAAGACCTCATAGGATCCGAATATACACCAATGCAATAACATCCCTGTAGGGGGGGGGAAACTCGTCTCGAAGTATACATCTGCCTCAGGTTGGCTAGGGAAATATCCCCCATCAGGTGTGGGCCGAGGGAGTATTATTTCAAAGTAGCGCAGCTACGGGTGAGTGATAGTTAAATTGGTCTATAGTATCCCATCGCATAAACCATAAACGATAGCACGAGCTCTTGAGGTAGCTTTGTGGGAATTAAACCCTCCTATTTCCCACAATTAAATGATTTCTTGCCTTTCTCTCACGTCGCCAGTATCTCGAGGACTATGATAACAATGCAGTAGAAAACAGCATGTGGTAAATAGGACAGGACATGCCGTACAAATCTCGCGAGTTGGGGGCGAAACCTTCTGCTCAAGTGTAGCCTGAAAATCTACAACGACCTAAGTCTAGTCTAATTCGCGTTCCGTTCCGCCTTGGCGATGTTTTCTCAATGCAATATAAAGTCTACCTAGGCGATTACAGGAAGCAACCGCCCCTAACTTAGGGGTCTAGCTTTCTTAGCCTTGTTACTTTACTTGTTTTTTTGTCTTTTTTGCATGTGGAATTCGCGCAATATTCGGTACAATGGATTCAAGGGTCGTGTGTTTCCAGGTTGGATATAGTACCATTTCATATGCTCATAATTTGATATTCTTAATGTTAGAAGATCGAAAATGTAATCTAGACGGAAATCCGAGCTTGCATGAATTGCGGCTCGAGGTAATAAGGTGTCAGCATTACCTTACGAATACTGCATGAGACCGGGTCTATTTTGATTTGACCCATAAATAGCGAAAAAAAAGGGCAATGAAAGACAGAATTTTCGATATCGTCCAAGGTCGATAGAAACTGGTATTTGACAGCAGACAATGATCCGACGCTATTCGTAAGACGTGCTGATCCCCAACCTCCCTCTCACAAGAGATTCTGTATTAACCCCATGACCATGAGACTTCTGTTTATCACAAAGGCAAATATCTGATAGCATCTAGGACGGCCGTGGTGAATTATTACAATGGAACTGTTGTCGAGGTTGCCAAGATTTGGGGGAATCCGGAATACCTCGAGCTTATGGCACGCCTCGCTACATCTAAGCCAGTACTGCAATCAACTCGAAATTTTATGCACGAACTTCCATCCTGCTTAGTAGAATATCTCTTCCCGAGCGTCTCGTCGCCCTGGAGAGACTGGTGGCGTTGGCTGAACATGAAACTAGGCAGCCGATAAAAGCAGACAGTGTCGAAATTATTAATGATTTACTCCAAGAACTGAAAATCGCCACCGAAAAGGCAATTTCCCAGCCTCTGGATAGGGTTGCTGTTACAGAGCCGGGTTTCCAGGCGCTAACCCCGGCTATGGTCAACGCTGCACTCCGAGTCCTAGGTTTGCGCACGTGGCTACGCGACAGCGTTTATTACCCCTCTCGCTTAGTGGAAGGAGATGCTGTGTATGCAGCGAACGGTTATGGTTTATGTATCAACTACCTAGATCGTTTCCAATGCGCGGATGAATTTGCAAATTCGCCAGCTCCTACCGTTTTTGTGGTTTCCTACAACCACAATCTCTTATACAATAGTATCATGGACTATACTACTAGTGAAGCTTTCCCTTACGTTTCAAGTCCTGAGGCGCAACTCGTGGACTACGAGCTTGGCCTGGATAATCTTCTCGGGAATGATCAAGACCAAACCGTATTTTGGGATCGTCTTCGTTCACAACTCCAGATCCTTCCTCGGGAGTCTGAATATACTATCACGCATATCCTGCTAGCTGGCGAAAGCGTCACACACCCTCGCTTCCTAGCTTCCCTCAGAGAGTCTATGTCGGAACTCTCGCTTGGTACTACCACGGCCAAAATTCAACTCGCGATAGATCCAACTTTTATAGCAGCACGGGGTGCAGCACTTTACGCACGGAGGCGCCAAGAGGTGCCGAGTGACTGCTATGAAAAATTGGAATGCGAAGAAATGAGGTTACGAGAGCGTTTACACACTTCCACGCTAGAGGAACTTCGGTAAAAAAGGATTTAATAGCTATATTATCATAAGCCCTTTAGCTTCGCGTTATAAGTCAGCGAATGCATTCCTTTCGCAAAGCAGCCTCAATCTGAGCAGGCATTTTTTGGGCTGGCAACGGGACTATTTACGGGCGGCTATGTCGCGTTTTGATCTGGACATGTATTGTATATTGATATAGATTGGCAAGAGGCCCCGGGAACGAGGGTAATTTGCTAGGTACTCTAGTTGATCTCCTCATTTTCAAGTCCGAGGGCAATTTAGCGCAGTTGACTGGCTCGGTAGAAGAGGTTCTTCATAATGTGGCCGAGAAGCATTACACCAGGCGTTTTGGAGTTGAGGTCCAATACAACCAGCTTGTATAGCAACAAATATCCAGGTTGTACAAAACGTCAGTGCAATAATTCCGTTCCAGTCGAAGTAATTGAAAATTTTCAAGTCAACGTTATATGGATAATGTAAGTCAGAGTCAGATCCATGGATAGACTATGAAATTAGGTGGCAATCTGACGGAAATATTGAATATAGATAGAGAGTAATTTTATCATATAGGCCAGTGTGCATTAAAAGTCACAAGAAAATCTGTGCCAGGCAATCTTATTTATGTAAAGCTTTCACTGTGAGAGGTTTTTCACAGCATTTAAAAGATTGGGGAACGCAGTGACAAAATCGGATGACGCTTGACCCCTGGAGACAAATATCACCGCTGCAGTACGGCCATCGACGTCCTTCACACCAGCCTTTGATCCCCTCATTGTCGCAGCTGTGAGTAAACCAATGGTTTCGACGTCACCTCGCGCCGCTGCAATATGAAGAACAGTCCTGGATTTTCACTTAGATACAGGAATAGGAGATAAAGTGAGACATTGCTAAATCGTCGGGATTTCCAGCTCCTCAGCCACCCCGCAGAAGTCCAGTTATCAAAGAACTGATAAAATGCGGGACAAAAAATCTTGTCGACCTCGTACGACAATTACCAAAAGATCTAGATGGGGTCTATAGGAAGTTTTAAGAGAGACTATATGCATCCAATGACAGCTAAGAGTGCAAGAGAGTTCTTTAGGTTACAGCGCTCGCATATCGTCCTCTCAACATGTCTGAATTGGTAGAGCTATGTGAGTTAGAAGATAGGGATGCCCAGGAGGCAATTGTTAGGCACTGTGGTTACCTTATTATCCAGCCAGATGATATAGTTTACTTTGTGATCCACAAGCGTACGTTTTACGAAAACCGATCACTCCAAAATTTTTCATCGAATTGAATTTCAGAGCCGACGACAATCGGGTCGTGACGAAACCGAATAACCCCTCCTTTGCTCCTCGGGTGTGGGGCATGGACAGTGACGATTTAGAAGAAATGGAAATTCAAGATTTAGAATAATCACTCGGTGCACCAACAGCGGCTCATTGGTGGTATCATGGTCACGAAAATGAAAGCAAGACTTGAATTACCTGGAGGGGAGATAAAGTGCTCTAGTTACCATCAGGCTATCGTCCCGAATTGAAGACTTTAAAACCCTAAGCAAACTGTCCGGCTATTAGTTTGTCCAAGGGATGCAATGAATGGTCTAACTTAGTACTTTGCTCGTTAGTGCCTTGGAAGTTAAGGACCTCGGGAGCCCAAACTTGAATGCATAAGGAGTCGCCCACATATTTACTCCGTACATTTTGTATTTTGTATTTTGTATTTTGCACTTTGCACTTTGCACTTCATTTGGCCTTCCCAAAAGTTGACTGGAGACGGGATCTTTCCCTTCTGGAAGTGAAACGGGTTAGCCTCAAACGTGGAGCTTTCGGCCGAACCGGCTATATATCGGACCCGACCCATCGGCCCCGGCAGTTCGACAGACACATAACACCTATTCGGATAACGATCGGCAGCTTAGTGAACAGTGTTTTGCCGAAATCCTCTTGCAAATTGACATTCCTTTTTGTTTCCCGCGATACCTCTGAGCCCTGCAGTATTTCACAACACTACTTACTCACCCTTCAAGTTAGCATGTGCGAAACGCGGATCCAGATGCTGACTACCGAGCCTCTTTAAGGCAAACCATATACCTACCCTTCAACAGGAAACCCCGCAGGTTCTATGGATTGGATGCTCCGATAGTCATGCCAAAGATTGCACCGTTCTCAATATCCCCACCGGCTACCTGCTCGTGCTCAGGAACCTACGCAAATTCCCCGAAGTCACCGGTGCAATTACACTAGGGCGCTTACATATCCATGGGATAGTGTATGATTCAGAGACTGAGAAGGCCTATCGAGTATCGGAAGGGGAGCAGAACCACTAAGACAGGTGTTGAGGCCGCCTTCCTCTCTCTCTCTCTCTCTCTCTCTCTCAACGAACCACTCATTCATTCCATGGCTTTCTTTCCTATTCACATTTTCTACAACAGCATGGTGGATATGCGTGATGTCTATTACGCGCAGAGAGGAAGAAAGAAGAAATCAGAAGCAGAACTGATCGATGAACATGAAAACTGACTATGACAGATCACTGACTGCCACGAAGACATGTGTATAGCTCTATGGAGACAGGAGGGAACAAATCACAAGAGCAGTCTGAAAGATACAGGCTGAGCAACAACAAACCGGACACTTAAGTCGTGACTGGCAGTTGACAATTGTGACTGGGATCATTCAATGTCCCGAGCTGGAACCCGGAGACAGACAGTATATTTTCTGCACATCCGCCAACTCAGCTTCGAAATCAACCTTGAGGTCTTTCAGCAGTCCGTCGCCGAGATCGAAAACCCAACCGTGAACGATGGGGTACTGATTCTCTTGGTAGCTCTGCTGGACAGCCGCGGTCTTGATGATATTCCTACACGATTCCATCACGTTGAGTTCAATCAAACGATTGTATCTTGCGTGCTCCTCGGGGATATCGTCGAGTTCCTTCTCGTGCAAGCGATAAACATCGCGAATGTTTCGGAGCCATGGGTTAAGCAACCCTAGGTCAGCAGGTGTCAAGGCCGCCTTGACCCCTCCACAGTTGTAGTGGCCGCACACAATGATGTGTTTGACTTTCAAGTGTCGCACAGCATAGTTGATCACGGACATGACGTTGAGGTCGACATTGGGCACTAGGTTGGCGATATTACGGTGAACGAAGACCTCGCCCGCCTGCAGACCCATGATCTCGTTCGCGGGGACACGGCTATCGCTACAACCTATGTACCTGATTTGTTGTTAGACGTGTTCCGATACGAACAATTTTGACCAGCACAAGGTCATGTCTATGTTACTTACAGATAGTCGGGCGATTGTCCAGCAGAAAGCTTGTCAAAAAAGGAGGCATCTGTCTCTTTCTTGGACGAGACCCATTTCTTGTTGTTTTGGAAGATGTGGTCCAGTGACTGCTTGAGATAGCGATTGATATTGGATTTGGAGGCCATCTTGTCAGCTGTGCAAAGGTTTCGCAAAGGTGAATAGCGGTTCGAGGTTCTGGTCGTCTTACACAGAGCAGTAAGCAGATATTCCGAATCCGTTGGGACCTGTCGGCTTCGGAGGGGTTGGGCTTATATAAGCACATGCCAAGACCTGCCGCTTCAAGGTACTGCAAGTCTAATTAATGGTAGCTACTTTGTCCATCAAATAATTATTTACTTTCATCCAGATTTTTTATAATTTCTTAGTTCTTTTTCAATTGACTTTTCTGCAATCCCAAGGAAGACAAAGTCCAAAACTTCCGCTGGCTACTCGTGACTCTCCAGCCCCGCGGGAGGCTCCTCATCGTCAAGCACTTTTATACACTGTGACTCCGCCGTTGAACATTCCGATAGCCAGCGTCATGCCCGTGCTACCGCTGAAACTCGCCGCCCTTCCATATCGCACCGCTCCGATGGGGGTCTGTGAGCAGGTCGCACACCTCGATGCCGGTGTCGGAGCGGCACGCAAGCAGATAGCAGTCGGATAAAATAGCGAGCAGCAGCAGACCATCGAGCCAAAGTACTTCACGCTCTGACAGTGACAAAACTCGGTTGTTCCATCCAGCACAGGCGGTATGGGGATTAGCGCAAGGCTGCCAGCAATCCCAAAACACCGCCTGCAAACGGGAAAAACGAGCGAATGGTGTTGAGACTCGCCCATCTGTTCAGCAGGGGAGCCAATTGTGTTTCATCGTGGACGGGGGTTTCTGACGAGTCTTTCATATTTGCAACCTCGAATATGCTCGAGTTTGTTTGTAGCATGAAGAGAAGTGTCCATGGCACGATACCAATATTGAGGATTGCAGCCCCCCAGTACAACAAGGAATGCGACTTCATAGCCAGCCAAATAAAGCTCCCTGCTCCCAGGATAGCGAAAGGAGGGCCCAATGAATGTCCCTTGTGGTAAAATGCGGCCCACTGCGTTGCAGCTAAATGCTGGGAGGTTGGAGTGGCGACCAAGACTGCGGGGACTGCGCCCCATGAGTAGGTGAATATTTCACCTGTGTTATTGACATTTTTAGTATCCTGCACTTTCTTTATTCGAGATGGATAGATACATACCTGACAGCCAAAATGATGACGAAATTGCCACGACCTGTGTTAAGACGTAAGAGTTCATGTTGATGGTGTAAGAACTTCCCTTGTAAGTTGTCACAAAATATTTAGTTCGAGTCGGTTCAGATTTTATATCGTGGAATAAAAGGTTAAAAGCTCGAATTGAAAGTCATTGCATCAGAAACCGACAATACCGAATCTACAGCTCTCTACATTCCGGATATCGGGTTTAGCGGCTGCGCCAAAACCCGCTAATATGATATGGAAGAAGGTCCCCGCAAAGTCTCTAGGCTATGCATAAGGAATGCCCTCTCAGCCAATTTTCTTGCCACAGCCCCGGGGATGCGGTGTCCCGACGTGGACGAAGCCCGAAGCCTCGGCCCTGGAGCTGTACCACCGCTGAATCAGCAGGTGTCATCGAATTCAATCTATTCGCTTATATATCAATTCATATATGGAGCTTGAAGAGTTGAACTGATCCCCAGGATATATCCTTAAACACTAGCACAACTGGGCTTCCGGAGCCATCGATATATGACATGTAGGTTTGGTGATTCTTCTCACACTTGTAATGCTGTACTAAAGCAAGGCTAAGTATCAGAATGCCGTAGTCTTAACCAGCATTAGTTAGGTAGCAGCTAGTCTACCCTTTACGTGATAGTGATTCTAAGAGGACCTATGTAATTACCCAATCCACGATGCTCTCCAGGCATTCAATAAATTCCTACTGTTTGCTCTTTCAAGGTTGTTCCTTCCTTGATCCCTCGGCAAAGAGCCGTTTCCACATGGGTGCGAGATGCGTTTAGGAAACACACAGAACGGGAGGAAATCCACAGACTGAACTAGGATATTATCTACGGTGATGTGCGATCCGATGCTATGGTAGTCACTGAGCGCTACAAGAAAGGCAGTGCCGAATGGGAATGGTTCCGTACCCTATATAGCCTCAAAGACACATTGCTTTCATATCGTAAAACAGTTCAGTGACGCTCTGAAGAAAGAAGAAATGATTGTTCTAGTTGCCGAGGATGCTTTTAAATCCAATGAAGACGGGTGCATAGAAGCCATAATCTCATCCAAAAATGGCTGGACGCCTCCTGCCGATGGTACCAAGGTCATTATTGGGGCTGCGAGCATTAATCTGTAACCGCTGTCGAAGCGTCTTGGCTAATTTAAGTTGAGTGAAGGTACAGAAAACCCAACAATCAAGACTTGCTCAACTGGGAAACAAGATGTAATAAGTCCCCGGAGGTGAATACCCAGAGCTACCGCCAAACCTAGGCCGTGACCCCAATAAGAAGCATTCAATCCCCCGGTGTGATATCTCTGGTGGTATAAAAAAAGAGGTTGGTCTCAAAACTTGTTTTACCTTAAGGCCGATTAACCATGATTTAGATACTACGCCGACTTCTCGATAATGGACATTCTCGTTGTGAACCATACGTGCTAGAAGCGAGGCCATGGTACTCAGCTTGTTGAATGGGGTATTGGCCTTTCCAAGCTCGACAACGTTATCCAAGGGGTGAGCGCCGCGGAGATAGGATCTAAGCTATATAAAAATCTTGGATATACTTCCATCTACAATATTGAAGAGGAGGGTGACGAAGAGCATCCTAAGGAAATTTCTACTGAGCTCCTCAAGTTTGTCCCAATGCCTGCCTGGTCTTAATCAAATCAATTATGGACCCCAGACAAGATGCGTAGACTCTCAACACCTGGTGGGCCACCATCAATTGGTGACGGGTATTGGGTGCACGGCGTCTGTTCTACTTATGTATGCCTCTCCACACTCGTAATTGAGTATCTTGACGCTGTTTTTGGAAATCCTCGTCGATCGATTACCTCAAGCTTTGACCGCGAACCAATAGTCAGTTAGGTGTTGGGTCGAAAGTTAATTAACCAGTCTTTACCTGTTTATTCATCATACCGAGAGAGATCTGTCGAGAAAAGTGGAGATTTCTATTACAGTGACATGGGATTGGCCCAGACGGAAATCTCGAGCCCGCAGTCCTCCAAGACTTACGCCGCTCTCCATTTCTAGTCACCATTCTTTCCCGACATTCCCAGAGGGCTTAACTGTCATTCGGACCGACTATAACCTACACTCGCTTAAATCTACTATGCAAAGTCAGGACGTTATGATTAGTAGCGATGCAGCCGGGGACCAAAAAGATAAGGTTTTGACCAATCACATCAACTCTAGTTAATGATGCGCCACCTGGAAATATGAATAAACATTCCGAGCAAAGGTCTGTAGTAGTCAGTTAGTTAGTAGCGCAAATTAATAATCAAGCGGATAGGTTAGTTAATAACAACTTGGGATCAGGCAAAGAAATTCCTATAGAAGAAAGATGAGTATGATCATTGGGGACAAGTGGGTCCAGTCGGTCTTTATTGACGCACTGTATTGGTTCTAGTCGTTCGATCATCGTAGCTCGCAATGAATGTGATTGATTAGTCGGTCTAACTACCGATCTAGATCTACGGGGCCAGAGTTTATAAGGTTAGACCCGCCCAAATAGGGCAGGGGGCTCTAGCAATCAAGCCCCACTATTCATCGTATCTACTCCGTAATGAGTTGGTGAGTAAGTTAACTTTAACTAGAGCTAGGAATGTATAGTAATCAACCCGAGCGAATAAGTTATGCCTGATGATTCCACAAAGACGGTTGAACTTGTTAGGAAACCCTTAATACACGAGATGTTTACTAATCACCCCATCCGTCGAAAAGATGTCCCATGCTCTTCGTTTAGCACATCAATAAGGGATGAGACGGAGGGCTTCTTTGGGCTCCGGGCCTTGAATCGGATTATTAATCAGAAGCTAAGTTAACTATGGTCATATATCCCATTACTTTGTTGTTCTTATATCTTGTGCGTGATGTTGCTACTCTCCCACTAGCAACTCCAGTTGTCTGATCTCCAGCATTTTTTCCATCGAAGTTCTTCTGCTGTCAAAGTCTGGAAAATTAGCGAATCCGAACAACCACAACATGGAGGTCAATCGCGACCCCAAGAAAGCGATGTACCAGACGAGTTCGCTCGGAAAGCCCTCCGGACGAGCTCCCTCCCCAACGGCGGACCCTATCGTCAACTCCAGCGCGGAGCAGTCAGACGACGAATCTGGCCAAAAGACCGACCCCCAAGACATCTCACAATGGCCCATCACTCCAGATATACTACAAATACGACAACGTAACGAGACTAACGGTGGGAAATCGAAGAAGCTGGGTGTGACATGGCAGAACCTCACAGTAAAGGGCATCAGCAGTGATGCCCTTTACAACGAAAATGTTCTCTCTCAATTCAATCCATTCGGAAAGGGCAGTAAGAGCCCACCCCTGAGGACCATTATCGACAACTCTTCTGGATGTGTCAAACCCGGTGAGATGTTGCTTGTTCTTGGAAATCCAGGGGCCGGATGCACAACACTGCTTAGCGTTCTATCAAACCACAGAAATGGCTTCGCAGAAATTACTGGCGACGTCTCGTTCGGTTCAATGACCAGTCAAGAAGCCAAACAATATCGTGGTCAGATCATCATGAACTCAGAAGAGGAGATCTTCTTTCCAGCTCTTTCAGTTGGTGACACCATCGACTTCGCCACACGTTTGAAGGTGCCCTTCCACCTGCCACCGGACATTAAGAACGAGGAGGAGTACGCCCAAATATATAAAGAATTCCTCTTGAAGTCTCTCGGTATCACACATACAAAGGATACTAAGGTCGGAGATGAGTTCATTCGTGGCGTTTCGGGTGGCGAGCGTAAGCGAGTGTCCATTCTCGAATGCCTTGCGGCTAGAGGCAGCGTCTTCTCCTGGGATAACTCCACTCGTGGTCTCGATGCGAGCACTGCGCTAGATTGGACGAAAGCTATGCGCGCTATGACAGATATTTTTGGTCTCACTACAATTGCTAGTCTGTACCAAGCTGGTAATGGCATCTACGAGCAGTTCGACAAGATTCTGATTCTCGACAACGGCAAGCAAATCTTTTACGGACCTCGAGACGAAGCTGTGCCATATATGAAGGATCTTGGCTTCCTATACGACCCTACAGCCAACAAGTCGGATTTCCTCACGAGCGTATCAGCGCCTGCTGTGCGTACAATTGCCCCAGACTTTGAGGACCGATTTCCTCGATCAACAGAGGAGCTACTCGCTGCTTATAACAACTCGCCTATCAAGCCAAGGATGATAGCCGAGCTCGACTACCCCAATAGCCCCGAAGCTCAGCAGAATACGGCGGACTTCAAGGAACAGGAGGCTCAAGACAAGCACAAGAACCTCCCGAAGAAAGCTGCGGAGTCCGCAGGGTATTTCCATCAGGTACAGACGGCTACCATCCGCCAATTTCAGATCCTCTGGGGCGATAAGCAAACTCTGTTTATCAAGCAAGCCACAACTATCGTTCAGGCGCTGATCGGTGGCTCACTATTCTACAATGCTCCGGACAATACGGCAGGGTTATTTATCAAGGGAGGCTCACTCTTCTTCTCTCTACTATATCCTACCTTTATCGCTCTCGCCGAGGTTACAGATTCGTTCGTCGGCCGACCCGTCTTAGCCAAACACCGAGACTTCGCTCTCCACCATCCATCTGCCTTTGTCTTCGCCCAGGTCATTACCGACATCCCGATCATGCTCTTCCAAATCTCGCACTTTGGAATTGTGCTGTACTTTATGACTGGATTCCAGTACACCGCCCAGGCTTTCTTCATCTTCTGGCTTATCAACTTGATCTCGGCCCTAGCTATGACACAGCTGTTCCGGTTCATCGGTGCCGCTTTCCCGAATTTCGACGCAGCAACTAAAGCTTCTGGATTCACCATCGTCGCTGCCTTTACATATGCAGGATATATGATTCCTAAGCCCGACATGCACCCTTGGTTCGTTTGGTTCTTCTGGATCGACCCTATGGCCTACGCGTTCGAAGCATTGCTCGCGAACGAGTTCCACGACCAAGTGATTCCTTGTGTGGGCCCATTCCTGGTTCCAAATGGCGAAGGATACAGCCCCGAAACAGGAGGCGGACAAGCATGTACCGGCGTCCGTGGTGCGCCTCCTGGAGCAACCAGCGTTACTGGTGACCAATACCTGGCTTCCATGTCCTTCAGCCACAGCAATCTTTGGCGCAACTTTGGCATTCTCTGCGCCTGGTACGTTTTCTTCGTGGCAATGACCGTCTTCTTCACTTCTAGGTGGAAGCAAATAGGCGAAGGTGGTCGCGGCCTCCTTATCCCCCGTGAGAAGCAGAAAAAGGTACCTAAGGCCGTGGTTGCGGATGAGGAATCCCAGGCTGTCGAGAAGCCATCCGAGAACTCCGGCTCCGATTCCGAGAAGTCTGACGCAACCATCGACAACCAGCTCGTCCACAACACATCGGTATTTACCTGGAAGAATCTGACTTACACCGTCAAGACGCCGCATGGGGATCGTCTTCTTCTCGACAACGTTCAAGGATTTGTCAAGCCCGGTACGCTCGGTGCTCTTATGGGATCTTCGGGTGTAAGTGCACTAGCAATACGATTGACAGATGGATATATGCTAAAATTTTCACTCAGGCCGGAAAGACTACACTGCTCGACGTTCTAGCTCAACGCAAGACTGATGGTACCATTCATGGCTCCGTTCTAGTCGATGGTCGCCCGCTCCCTGTGTCCTTCCAACGATCTGCTGGCTACGTCGAACAGATGGATGTCCACGAGTCATTGTCCACGGTACGCGAGGCTTTGGAATTCTCTGCTCTTCTTCGTCAGAATCGTGAAATTCCCCGCGAGGAGAAGCTCCGCTATGTGGACACAATTGTCAAGCTTCTAGAGTTGGAAGATCTCGAGCACACCCTCATCGGTCGCCCTGGTGCCGGTCTTTCTGTCGAACAGCGCAAGCGTAAGTCTGAATCCATCGAACAGAGTCGAGACAGACACTAACAACTTATCAGGTCTCACGATTGGTATTGAGCTCGTAGCTAAGCCCAGTATTTTGATCTTCCTCGACGAACCTACTTCTGGTCTCGATGGCAAAGCTGCAAATAACACGGTACGCTTCTTGCGCAAACTCGCGGAAGTCGGACAAGCTGTCCTCGTCACGATTCATCAGCCATCGGCCGACCTCTTTGCCCAATTCGACACCCTCCTCCTACTGGCGAAGGGTGGCAAGACCGTATACTTTGGCGATATCGGCTATCATGCAAGGACCGTCAAGAAATACTTCGCTGATCATGGCGCACCGTGCCCCCGAGAGGCCAACCCTGCTGAGCACATGATTGAAGTCGTATCAGGGGGTCTTTCTAAGGGCAAGGACTGGAACCAAGTCTGGCTCAACTCGCCAGAACACGAGAAGATCACTCAAGAGCTTGACACTCTTGTCGCTGATGCTGCCGCCAAACCGCCTAGAACTATCGACGATGGCCATCAATTCGCAGCGCCCATTTGGGAGCAGGTAAAGCTTGTCACGCACCGCATGAACATCTCCTTGTTCCGCAACACCGAGTATATCAACAACAAGCTCATCTTACATATACTTCTGTCTCTTTACAACGGCTTTTCGTTCTGGTCGATTGGTAACAGCGTCAGCGATCTCCAGCAACGCCTCTTCACGGTCTTCAGTTTCCTGTTTGTGGCCCCCGGTCTCATCTCCCAGCTTCAGCCTATCTTCATCGATCGTCGCAACGTGTATGAGACGCGCGAGAAGAAGAGTAAGACCTACCACTGGGTGCCATTTGTCACTGGCTTGATCGTTTCTGAGCTGCCCTACCTGGTCGTCTGCGGTGTGTTGTACTTTGTGTGCTGGTATTGGACTGCTGGGTTGCCAAATGATACCAAGTGGGCAGGCAGCACATTCTTCGTCGCAGTAAGTTCTCTCTTCTTTGGTTGACTCCTCGCTCCAAACTAACAAACCATCTAGATGTTTTACGAGATGTTGTATACCGGTATTGGACAATCGATCGCCGCGTACGCTCCCAACGCAACCTTTGCATCTCTCGTCAACCCGCTGGTCATCACCACCCTCGTATCATTCTGCGGTGTCTTCGTTCCTTACTCCCAGATCACGGCGTTCTGGAGATACTGGTAAGCCTCATACGACTATCAACACCCACGAGATCAATGCTAACATCACATTTTAGGATCTACTACCTCGATCCCTTCAACTACCTCTTCGGCGCCTTCCTCACCTTCACCACCTTCTCTGTCGATATCACTTGCGAACGAGGCGAGCTTGCGGTCTTCAATCCTGCTGCGAACGAGACATGTGGCGACTATCTCTCCACCTATCAGCAAGGCATGGGACGTGGCACGAACCTTCTGAACCCAGGCGCTACGGAGAACTGCGAGGTGTGCCGATACACTACTGGACAAGACTACTTAAAGACACTCAACTTGAACGAAGAGTACTACGGCTGGAGGAATGCGGGACTGGTTGTATTGTGGGCTGGAGTGTTCTACGCCCTGGTGTTCTTGATGATGAAGTTGCGAACCAAGGCGACAAAGAGGGCGTCTGCGTAGACGCATGGTGTTGAAGAGTGAAAGATTGCCAAGATACCTTACTCGAAGAAGAGTAAAGACGGAGTGCGAAGTTGAACGCGTACGTGTTGGCTTCAGGTGTGGTATTGAAGCTGCACAAAGGATGGTTTAAATCCTAGATCATAAAATTGCGCACTTGCGCCAAGCCTAGACTGTTGTAATAGTTTCATTAGGTAATTAAGACCATATTGCATTCTCAAAGCTTCCTAGATGTGGTGACTGGTGATCTGTTGGGGCGCGAGCTGCCTGGGTTTGCCTCCTGTCCTTCCAGTATCTCGGTAGAGCGGAACATATTTGGTATTCTATCTATTGAAGACAATTATTGTTATTATACATAATTCATGGTATTTCGCACACAGCGTTAAACGCCCAAGGATGATCCATCAAGAGTTGCAAGGCGAATGGCTTTCTCAACATCGCGCTTTCGGAACGCTGGTCCGCGACCGAGACAGATAGGGCCGAGGGAAAGATCTACGACAAGGTCAGTAGATGCATGGAAAAGAAGACACAAAGAACCATTGATCTCGGCACTACTCACATTTAGCGAAGCTCGCGGCGTTGAGCTGCGGAGCCGAATTGAACCGGGGACTGGAGTCGGGCGAGCTCGGGTCCTGAATACGAATCCCTCGCTGCTGTAGCAGCCTTTGCACACCACTCGCATCCATCCACTCACCAGCACCCGATTCATTGACAATTTGCCACGTTCGAGAGGAAACGGTGAGTTGTTCAGGAGAGTAGCTGCTCCTCCTTGAACTGAGAACTTTTGCACTCAACTCGACCGTGTCTCCCATTTCGTCGTGCATGTTGGCGAAGAATCCGAAGATGAAGCAGTCGCGCTCGTCCATGGTCAATCGTTTGCCGAAGACTGCTTTGACCCTTGGATCGTCTGCAGATGATCTTGTTAATAGATAGTAACCAGTCTCGCAGCATTGTCGGACCAGACGGTGTGAGAGCGTCCAGCGCCCTTGCTTTAAGAGGCTGTCGGGCGGTACTATGGTCGGGAAATTCAAGGTGGGACTAGGGATGGATGAGAAGGGGATATTCGGAGACGATGAGACTATTCCGAACGGTAGCATTGCTTGTTCTTGGAAGGGTGGCGCGGGGGGTAGTTGTGACAGCCCAGGCCATTGAGTGGCGAGGTCCGACGAGGACTGGAAAGCGTCACCGATTATTGGCCATGAATCAAGTTGCGTTATGAGCGGATTGTGATTTGAGATTATATCTTGAGTATCGCTGAGCGTGGGAGACGTCGATTGCGATACTTCTGCCGGGGCTGCAGGTGCTTTTTCGGCCTCGTCGCAGCCACTTTTGGCAAGCGACACGCATTGCTGTGTAATTTTTTGCAGAGCAGCTGTGACACGAGGCTGATTTTGGAGAATCTTAGCCTCTAACAGAAGATCACTAAAGGAAAGGAACGACTCGCTGAGCTCTTCGATGCCCGACTCGAGTTCCTGTACGCGAGATTGCAGATTGACGATCGTGGTATCTTTTCTCTTGCGATATACTTGCTGCGCGACGCGAAGCTGCTTTCGACGTCTCTGGATTCCTTGAGTCAGTTCCAACTTGCTCTGTAGTTGTTTGGGATGTACCCACCTCGGGACCTTGCTGATTGTCCGTCCTAGCTCGAGGCCGGCCTCTCTTGCGAGGAGCGGGCGCGTCAGTCATTGCTTCGACCATCGTGTATTGCTTTTGAGGCCTTTTCCTTATCTTGAAGACATGCAGTGATGTAATGGATAATCCGAGAACGCGAAAAGGCCGTAACGGGGTTGCTTTACTGGGGCGTCGGGACAGTTGAATAATCGAAAAATCGGTGGGTCGCCACGATTGGCCTCCGTCCGAACGTCATCAACTCATCAAGACCGAGCGCGCCGCAACGAGGAATATAGATCAAATCATCAACCTCAGCTTACTCCATTATTCTCCATCTCCAATCCTTTGAAATACCTTCATCCGCAGCGCACAGCATACAGCTTACAGCTCTAGCAACATGTCTTCATTCACTCAGCCGATGCCAGTAGTTGCCTGCGGCAGAATACCCACGATGGGGAAATCAATCTCCCAGCACCTGCTGCCCGAATATGAAGGTTTTTGATATACATTCCTGAAAAAAACAAAGTATGGTGCTAATGCTCCTCAGTCATCCACTTCATCCTGTCATATGAGGCTGCAGAGGCTGAGCTCCCGCATCTGCTTGCAGGTCGCGATCCTCAGTCTCGGAGCCCCAATGAGATCGGAACCCACGATTACAGCCGGCCTCCTCGCGCGGTAATCTTCGGTCGCGGCTATGACCCTCAGCAGGTTGAAGAGCTTAAGAAGAAATTTGCGGGTGTTGCTAAAGAACCTGTTGCTTGGGTGAGGGGGAACCCAGCGGATTTGCCTGCCGGGGCCGCTGGGCCTGACTATGCTCAGAATATCGCGGCGGGTATGAAGAAGGTGGTTAAAAAATGGAGGGACGAGGGAGGAAAAGATGAGGAGATTTTGGTGTACTAGTTGCTTTTGTCGGGGAGAGATAATCTGATGCCTTGCTTTTTGCCAGTTCGAATCTCACAAACACAAATTCAAGGGCCGATATCAAGGATATTTGTAAGTAGTCTTGGACTTCGCTAGTTGGTTCCCTGGGTTTCGATCTTTTGGTGGTCGATGTACTTCTTCTGGTCGAGGCATAGAATGAGAATAGGAGATTGAGCATCCCAAATGTTTACAAAATCCATACATTAAAGCTGATGTTTCATCCGCGACATGGGAAGTACCATCGTTGTTCACTTTCTCCTTCGCTAGTTCAAGTGAATAATTCCACTTTCCGGAGTATCGTATTTATTCCTGAGCTATATCTGTGAATAGCTGGGGGAAGGAAGGATATAAATTAATAGATTTGTGCAGAATAGTGACGGCAACATCGAGACTGTATGCAAGTAAGATTCAAATCCCCAAGATATAACTGCGACATAGACTGGCTTCGCCTGAGCGATTGCCTTGATCTTCAACTAGAGGCCGGGGTACAGCAAATACAGTTTGAGATATATAATTATTGTTTCAGCGACCCTTCTTATACCCTGTCCCCTCTCAGTTCTGTCAAGCCCTTGGCCAACCCGAGACCCTTGTATGCACGATTTCCTTCACAAGGACACATAACACCTTTCATGAACCTGTATCTATGTTGCTGGGATAGTGAGACGGTCTGCCTTGGGAGCTAATCCCGAATGAGCGGAAGGAATAGTATAAGCTCTATAGGTGTCCTTTTCATATAGGGCTATGGGGCCCTGCGAAAAAAAAGCCTTGCCAACGTCAACAAAGTCGACTCCGATTGGCCTTTTTCTAGGCAAAGATATTGAATTAGCCATGTCTTAACCTAGGAAATGGTTCGTGTTAACTACGGGCCGGAAAATCCTAGTCCTAGACTCAAAGATTAGGCAACAACGACTTCGTCAGTAGATTGGCGTATGATAATTTCTTTCAGGGTGAGGTTTCGTTCTATGCCCATTTCGCATGTTGATACCTTGAGATGACGAGAAGGATACAAGGGTCATGGCAGGCGCGTATTTTTGCATCGAAAATTGAGCCAATGGCCTTTTCACCGAAAGGATATGACTTTGTCATTCACTAACTATATATTTTTGAAGTATGTCAGGTTAGAACGGAGCTGGACAACAAAGCCCGAAGCTTGGTGTGGTTACTCACTTAAATATTCTACTATCGTCAGCACTAAGATAGTGAGCCTTCTGGCTACTGAAATTACTTTCTAGGGTCCGGTTAACTACCACAACTCAATGGTTGGACTTGTTTATTTGTATTACTCGAGGCTGCGAGACTGCAATTTTCGAAGTATGGACCCCCCGTCTGCGTCTTTCCCTTCATTCTGGTTTCTTTATGAACAGCTAATGATGAAATCGAGTCTTGGTCATTTGATTTAGGCACCAAAATGAACGTATTGGGCCCACAGGTATGGCCTTCTCAAATTTTGTTCGCGGACAGTCATCACAGCCGTATGCAAAGCCGTTGCGACAGCCCGGTTGCCCTCCGCCAACCCACCCTCGGTGATGAGCTCACGATAGAAAATGGCAGCCACTTGTACACAAATTTCATCGTTCGATGACCACATTGACCCAACTGTGTGTGCAAAGCCCGCCACCTGAAAACCGCTCGCAAGATGAAGAGCTTCATCTGCCAATTCAGATATTTGGTTCTCCGCAGTGGAGCAGGCAGAAAGGTATGCAAGCCATGCTTGCTTCATATGGGACTCGGAGATCGTCTTGACTGTAAGAGGGTCGGCAGCTAAATCGGATTGCCCTTGAAGAGCCAGAAAACTGTTCGAGGGATCGCGCATGTCTGACGATCCGTGACAGGCAAAATGAGCGATACTGCAATCTTGGAGTCCCTGGATAACTACCTCTGCACTAGGCTGAATCAATGCTTTTACTGTATGAGGTGTGGTGACTGCTTCCTGGATTGCTTGGCTCTCCGCCATCACGCCAGGGAGATCATCTTCACCAGGAGTTTTCGGCATTGTGACTAGCAACACCGACTGTGCACCGACTGTGACATGTGTCTTTTCCCTTGCGAACTGTAGCATTTTGATTGATGGTGTATATGAGGAAAGGACGCAACTTAAGGAATTCTCGAGTGAGCCTGGTGAATGATCGCCCGCCGCATGGAAGGGAAGGGAGGCAGCAAGGCCCGTTCCAATCCACCAAATGCGAGGAAGTGCATTGTCGCTTGCAGGATATAGAAACCCTAGCTCATCTAGCACCAATCTAACACAGTCGGACCACAAATCACGTAGAAGCTGTTCAAAGGTATTCGGCCCTCCTGTCTCTTTCAGCTCAATCAATCTCGATGGGCTACGGGTCAATCCCCAGGATCGATATTGATTAGCCTTCGATATACCAAATTCGGGTAATGGAATGTGCTTGATGCCAGAAGGACGAACAATCAAGGCGTCGCTACTGATAGATGTGACATTCACAACCACAATCGGGCCGTCGGTGGCGTTTGCTTGTAAGGCCTCGGAAGAAGGGGGAAGTAGGAATCGATCAAACCCCTCTAGTTTCCGTATATCCGCTAGACAGTCCTCTAAGCGTCTCACAGCTTCTTCACGGTCTTCTAACAAACGTCGGCGAGTCTCAAGCGGGTCTTCTTTTCGAATAGGCATAAAAGCCTTATGACGAAGCCGATCGAACTCATCCGCTTCATTGGGATGCTTAATGGATAGATCTGAGATATCGCCCCGACTGTCAATGAGATATCCAATGATCAGGCCACGGCCATGCTCTAGGTATTCTAAAGCTTGGGCTGGATCATTGTCTGTTTGGAGGAGAAGAGAGGATGCTTCGGCAGCTAGGCCCGACATCTGCTGAATGGCATACTGCTGGTCCTCTCGGGAGAGGTAGCGGCTGCACACGAGAGGCAGGAGATCTAATGCTCTTCCAGCTAGCAATTGAGCTCGATCAAAGTCACCATCCGGAACAAGAAGGTCGATCGCTCGACGGGCAGCTTCGATTCGATGGCGCGGAGCTGCATTGTGGGAATCGAGTGATTGTGAGAAGTGCTTCAAAGCCGCGGCCTTATCGTTTTGCTGATGTGTATGTTCATATTGGATCGAAAGGTAGATCGCTAGATTATTCAACCAGGGTGCCAAATCGGGATGATCCTCTGGGGTATTGTCGACGGCCCTTTGAGCAACTGGAATTGCCTCCTGTAAATCAACCAAATTTCCAGTGCGATTGTATTTTTTTGACATATAAATAGATAGATTGTTCAACCAATGTGGTAAATCGGTGTGGACTTTAGGTGTAATATCGATGGCTCTTTGTGTAAGCTGAATCGCTTGTTGTATATCATCCAAGTGCGAGGTTCCAGATCGATCAAATCGGGTTGCGAGGTTGCTAGCCAGGTTCAGTAACCGATTTGCTAGATCAGAGTGGGTTTCTGTGGTAGCGGCGACAGCTGTTTCAGCCAGCTGGATTGCCTCCTGTAAATCTTTGAAGTCCCCAGTTCGATGATACCGGCTGGAGAGGAAAATTGATAAACTATTTAGCCAGTGTCCTAGGTCAGGATGGTTATCTGGGAGAGTATCGATAGCTGTTTTTGCTAGCCGGATTGCTTCTTGCAAATCATCTAGATCTCCTGTTCGGTCATACCGGATTGAGAGGTAGCCAGCCAAATTAATTGAGATAAGGGCTACATCAGGGTCGTCGTAGTCGTATGGGGTAGCAGAGACAGCTCTTTTAGCCAAGCGAACTGCTTGCTGTAAATCATTCAAGTCTCCTGTCCGATCATATCGCGTTGATAGATAGACCCCTAGAGTATTTAATCGCATGGCTAGGTTAGGGTGATCTTTCGGGATGATGTCGACTGCTTTTTGAGCAAGGCGGACTGCTTCTTGCAGATCATCAAAGTTCCCAGTTTGCTCATAACCGATGGAGCGAGTTCTCGCGAGAGTGCTCAACCGGAGAGCCAGATCCGGATGGTCATTCGGTGTAGTATTGATAGCTCTTTGGGCAGCCCGGATTGCCTGCTGCAAATCGTCTGAATTTCCCAATCCTTCGTATCGGGTTGAGAGATGGGTTGCTAGAGTATCCAACCGGGTCGCTAGATTGGGGTGACCTTCCGGGGTATTGTCGACAGCCGTCTTGGCCAGGTGAACTGCGCTGTGTAAATCGGCTAGATTTCCGGTTCGATCGTACCGGGTTGAGAGGTCGTTTACTAGATTGTTCAACCGGACCGGTAGATCGGAGTGACCTTTTGGGGTATCGTCGACGGCTGTTTCGTTCAGCCTGATTGCCTTGTGTAAATCCTCCAAGTTTCCAGTGCGATCGTATCTGCTTGACAGATGGATCGCGAGATTGGCCAACTGGGACGGTAGATCGTGGTGATCTTCTGGAGTAGCATCAACGGCTGTTTCGGTCAGGCGGATTGCCTCGTGCAAATCCTCCAAGTTTCTAGTTAGACCATATTGGGTTGAGAGGTTGCTCGCCAGATTAAATAGCCGAGTTGGCAGACCAAGGTCGCCTTCTTGGGTAGAGTCGATTGACTTTCGTAGAAAGCGCACTGCCTCCTCCAAGTCAACCCGATTTCTAGTTCGATCATATCTGGCTCTTAGAGACATCCCTAGTTCATTCAACCAGTGTGCTAGATCAGGGTCCTCTTCTGGGGTAACATCGACAGCCGTTTGTGCTAGCCGGATCGCCTCTTGCAAATCTTCCAAGTTGCCAGTTCGATCATATCGGGTTGAAAGGGCGCTCGCTAGATTGTTTAACCGTAACGCTACATAGTCATCATCTTTCGGGGTAGCATCCACAGATCTTTCGATGAGGCCCACTGCATCCTGTAAATCACTAAAGTCTCCGATACAATGATATCGATGTAATAGGTACGTCCCTAATTCATTTACCCAGTGTGGCAGATCGGGGTCGTCGTCTGGCGTAGCGTCAACGGCTATTTGTTCTAGCCGGATTGCCTCCTGCAAATCTTCCAAACTTCCAGTTCGCTCATATCGGGTCTCCAGGGCATTCGCCAGATAATGTAACCGCAACGGAAGATCAGGGTGGTTTTTTGGGGTAGCGTCCAAGGCTGTTTGAGCAAGGCTGACAGCCTCCTGCAAATCATCCATTCTTTCTAAGCGCTTGTTTTTATTTTATATGCTAGATTGTTTGACTGCGTCCATGATGTCAGTTTGTTCTTCCGGTGTTTTTCGGTTGCTATTTGTGCAGGCTACTTACAATTCGTGCTAGAAGTCTACGATAGTAGGGACCGGAAGAGGAGGGAGAGGGCTGAAGAGTACTCGCCTATGCTTAGGTCCTTTTTTTTTTTTTTTTTTTTTTTTCCCAAAGTACGGAGACAGTTGATGTGGCTGCTAGCGGAGTACATGTTCAGCTGTAATTTATATTTGGGTGGGAGCCTCGTATTCCGGAGATTCTCCGTAGTTGCCTGACACATCCCAGTGCCATCCCACAATATAATATAGCTAGTGATAATATAGCTAGATAATAAAACAACCCTCACTACCCTCATGAATGATTCTGGATAGTCACCGAAACCGGCTGGTACTTCACAATGCGCAAATCTGGCTTGTTCGCAAAATACACCGTCGCTCCAAGCGGTACCCTATCATTTTCAATATATAAGATCTTCTCGGGTCCTTTGAACACGCTGATTACACCAAATCCTTCTTTGCGGGTCCATAATGGGAATACCGCGGTACTACTCTCACGACCTTGGTCTTGAGCTGCGAGTGTTTTCCGTGAGGCTGGTCCTACAAAGGTCTTTGTGAAATGTCAGCCTAGTCACAAGAGTAAGGGGCTATAGCAGTGTACTATACCGTAGTCTCAAAGTTTAATCCTACTCCATTTGGTGAGGCACTTAATCCCATGCCCGTTAGGAGACGATTTGGTTTGTATTTCGAAACCACGACCGTGATTTCTTCTGAGTGTTGATTGATAACCCAAACACAAGCGGGGATATTTTTCAGTTTACGGACTGCTGCACCAAACATTCCCTTGCGATAAAAATTAGCGGCATTTTTGACAGAATGTTCTAGTTTCTTACTCTCGGAGTGGGCTCCCTCCGCGGAGGATAGCGGGGTAAGTCTGCCACTTCCATCATTTCCGCCTCTTTGAGATCAACAGCGGGAATCGGGTCTTGAGATACATAGTCGACATCATCATCTGTGCCTATACTATCATCCTGAAGGGATTGGTCCATGGCCTGGCCGTAATTCAGTTTAATAGTGTAGGAGAGAGAAGCGTATCTGCGTGAACAGTACAGATGTATAGTATAGTATTTTATTAGGGCGAACTAGCCCATTTATAACTGTCGCGGCCCCGTTATCACGAGTATAATATTTCAGGCTAAAGTTTCGGGTATAATTGGGCATATAGTGCGCCCTTCCTCTTCGCTCATTATTGGTTGGACTTCAAGCCAAGGAGTAAAATTCAGCTTCTAAGAATGCTCTAGTACCGAAAATGCAATTACAACCTCATTCTTTGTATATAACGTCATATATCGGCCATCCATACCATACATTATCATACGGCCGGATTTCTGTCATACAATAGAACTCCGTACCAATGCCACATGATACGAAAGGGGGGTTGTTTAGCTGATTCCACTCCGTGTTCGCTATCTGGTTTCGCTATCTGGCTTCTCTATTAAAGTATATCTGGACCCCTTTCCTGCCTACCACCTATTATAAATATCATATTCATTATGCCCCCAAACAAGCGCGCCCTACTTATCGCAAGTCCCTATGGCGATCTTGAGGGGCCCGAGAACGACGTTGAGATGATGTCTGAAGTCCTCCAAAAGCGGGGATTCCAAGTCTCTCAGTGTTGTGGTTCGGCAGCGACTCGCGATGGCATTCGTTCTGCTTGGCACACCCTCATATCCCAAATTTCACCCGATGATACAGTTGTCATCTACTATTCAGGGCATGGCGGAGAAGCGCTTTCGGCAAAGAGTGCAGACAAGCAAGATTCTGGTCAGCCACGGCGCCTACAATTCATTGTTCCAATAGACTATAAAGAGATCCCCGGAGAATTCCATGGGATTTCAGAAGAGGAGCTGTCTCAATGGCTGCTTGATACCACAGAGAAAACGCAGAATGTTACCATCATCATGGACTGCTGTCATTCTGGCCGCATGGTGCGCGATTCTCGCTATGTCAAGAATGCTAGACGGAGAAATCTCCCTACAACTATTTATCAAGATCTTGCTCATCATATCCAGTCACTTCAGGATAAGGGATTGGTTCGAGAACGCACACAGCCGGGAGACAATCCTCACGCAGTGCGAATTGCCGCCGCGGCACCTTGGGAAAGCGCGTATGAATACGAAAGTGATTCGGGGCTTCAACTCGGCGCGTTAACCGAGGCTCTTGTTCGCGTGATCCAGGAAACAGATGATGACTACATCTCTTGGAGGACCGTAATGCTTCGTGTACAGGAATTAGTCAATATGTCCTTTCCACAGCAGCATCCGCGAGTAGAAGGACCACACACTCGCTTTCTTTTTTCTCTGGATGGCCAAGACTCTACTTCCATTCTCATAAAGCAAGAGGGTGACAATGTAGCTACAATCAAAGCTGGCAGGATTTCAGGAGTCCGAGAGAAGAACACCTACGCGGTTATGCCACCTGGGTCAGAATTTGTTAATCCGCAAACTCAGATCGCCACTGCTATAGTCACAGATGCGAGTGGGTTCGATGCCGTCGCAACACTTACTTGGAGGAATGGGTTGTCTCAATTGCCTGATGGAGGCGCACTGGCCTTTCTTGTCGAAGAGGCTCTCTACAAATGGCCAGTCTCTCTTTCAGAAGATAATGCCGCGCTTCAGAAGCAGGTTGAGCAATCTAGGCTCGTAAGATGCAGCTACGATGGCGAGAGGGACTCTCTACTTGAAATTCGCCAGCAACAAGGCAAACTCACTGTGACCAACAAGTCCGGGGTTGAAATATTCTCGCAGCGGTTCTATGGCAAGGAACCTACACCTTCTACGTACAAAGCAGCTGTTGATATTGCAGATAGAGTGGCTCGTGCGCAACACTTTCTGGTTCAAACTTGTGACAGCCCGGATGAACATTTACAGCATGACCTTGAGATCAAACTTGGGTTAGTGGACGATAGCCGTGAGGGAAGAATCATCAACCCCACTGGCGAAGATTCCATCACTGAGAACTCCAATATCTTCATGTCTCTAAAAAATCATGACGACCTCAACAGTGTTTTCGTGTCTGTTTTTGAAGTGGAGGTGAATGGCCAGATAAATGCAGTAACTGAAAATCCAGATGGAATCGATCTGCCCCCAGGATGGTGTCACACAATCGGCAGTACCAAGGCCAAGCTTGAGGGGCTGAAGGTCAAATGGCCACTCAATATTTCCAAACGACAAGCTGTGGTAGATACCTTGATTGTGGTGATTTCAAATCGCCCTGTTAACTTGCAATTTTTGATAAGCTCGCAAATCGCCGCGCAACGGGCCATCACAAAACAGTCGTCTTTGGAGAGTCGCCTTCTACGACTTACACAAGACGTGGGCCGTCTTATTGTGACTGAAAAGAGCATATCAAAAACCCGATATGATATCGTTCAGTTGCCTTTTCTATTGAAGCCACTCAGTTCCTAGATTACCTCGTGAAAGGAATGTTCGCAACATTCAATCAAAATACCAGTTAATTGAGTGTCACCTGCCTCTTAATTGTCAATTAAAATAGAGAAATCCCCGCCACGTACTCTGTCTAGTTGTAAATAACTAGTGAAAGAGGCGTATTCGAGTTTGAGAAGTATCCAACTCTAAAAAGCCAATTATGACGGCAGGGGCATATTGAGTCTGAAAGCAATACCGAGAACGATCGGGAGTGAGCTGATCAAATTTGGGTCAAACACGTAGATCTTATCAGTCTCCAATATGATATCCGAGCTCATGCCTATGCCTGAATCGATACATTCGGGTGCAGAAACAACCGCGAAACCAGCCAGCTTCAAGAAAATGTACCCACGCTAGTCCCATCTAAATGTAATCCATCACCCAGCTGTCTTTCCCGGTGTCCTTTGAAAGAAGGACTGACATTATGAATGTGTCAATCACTCTTAGTTGTTTAGTCTGTACATAAACATTAACCGGGTCCGGCCAAACGGCCCGGCCCGGCGCAGTGGGACTAAACCTTGATACCTTTTGAGGCGTTAAGACTCTCTGAGCGGACCTATACCCTTCAGTGCCTAGGTAGATGGTATGATGACGTTAGAAATCAATTTTAGTAGCTGCATGAGACATAGACGACGGGATGGAACCAAAAATGGGATGAAAGTCTCTGTATCATGCATCGCACCAAGAACGTTTGCTGAGAAAATATTTTCAACGTTATCCCGTCTAGTAGAACCAAGTCAAAGTTGGGGCAGCATTGCTAATAAAGAAGTCAACTGGCCCTTGGCCGAAAGATGACTAGAAGGACTGGTCAAAGGACAACTTGAAGGAATGCCTTTGTATTTGTGTATTTATGTATTTGTATTGTAGGTGAGTGTACGAAGGAGAGCCCAGCGGTTTACGGCGGGTGGTCGCTGCAAAGTAGTGATGATCAACGCCCGCGCAAGCAAGTGAGAATAGCCTCCCAAAATCTTCAATATCTCAGTTACCTCAGTTCCTTCGGTTACCTGCTTTCATCTTATACATATCGCAGGGTTGCTTTTTTTTTCTTTGAGATTTGATCCTTTTCTACATTCAGTCATCCTATGTATATTTATATAATAGTTATAACCCTCACTTGAAAAGGGTAATGAGTGAGCACTAAGTCGTCGCTGCTGCGTTCACAAAGTGAGAACACCCTTTTCGAAAGCTTCAATTTAATAGTTCACTCATTTCCTTCGTTCGACTTCTCCAAACCTGAAATATCATATTATTAATCCCTCACTTCCTTTATTCAACTTCTCCAAACCTGAAATATCACATCATTTATCTCTTCAGCTTCAATCCTTATTGCAAATCCGAGGGTTATTGATATATCTATATCAGATAAAAACTCGAGAAACATGGATACAGACATATCAGGTACGGCAGCTCTACGCCGAGTGACTAGTGGATCTTTTGAAAGATACTAACAACGGATGCGAAGGGGCAGAGCGGCCAAAGGTCAAATGCCTGATTTTGTAGGAATGATGCCTTGATATGTCTGAATTATAGACTACTTTCGACACCGCTCTATACCATATACTGTAAATTGAAGCTATCCCTAGTTATACACACCATATATAGGAATAGTTGGTTGGTTATACGGCCTTGTCGTATCTTTTTAGGTGATATGTTTAGATATACTTTTTGTTAGTCTTTTTAGATGTTCTTTTTAGATGTCTTTTACGTATATATAAAGGCGGTAAAAAAAGCAAACGTATAAGAGACTTTGAAATCTCTATATTACTCAAAATTGAAGCTATTCCTACCCCATAAATCATCAGTTTCTTCGAATCCCCAACATCGAAAACGTCCAAACCGCGTAAAATGCCTCCTTATGTTATTCTCTCGAGATTTGGTCGGTCGAAATAGCTCCAACGCCTAGAAATAGGCGCATACGGTGATTTATATGGTAGGAATAGCTTCACTCTTACGAACTACTAGGCCGACGGGTGATCTGTTATAATTGAGTTAACTATTTTGATTTCTGCCAGTCTATGTAAGACAAGGCATAATTCAGGCATATTCAAGTACCAGGCCTACAAAATCAGGCATTTGACCTTTGGCCGCTCTGCCCCTTCGCAAACGGAAAAGCTCCTCAACCAACCGAAAGCAACGGGACAAACGCTCTTGACAGCGCCCCCAACCAGAACCCACCGCTATTTGACAAATTTGGTGCACTAGAATGAAAGCCAGGCTTCTGGGCTAAGCGAGCAATTGCATGCGAATGGAAAAGGGGGCTGAACGCGAGCCTGACACGAGGCACCCTTCTATACCGTCTCGTCAGATTGCCATTACAAAGGGAGCCGGTCCTTCAATTGAACGGCAAGAACTTCAAGAGGAGCCCCCCACACCGGTAGTCAGTGGGACCGACAAATTGGGTTCCACGGAACAAATATCGAAGCCCTAGTCGGGCAAGCCGTTGGGGAGCTCCTAGACGAGAACGCCTGCGACAATTGCGTTAGGTTAGATGGAAAGTTCGACAATTGTGTCAAAGTGCCTGGAATGGCATCGTGTCCAAATTGCCACTTTGACCGGCAGGGACAAAGATGCAGCTTTTTCAAAGAACGAAAGCCAACCAAAGCACCCATTCCTAAAAGGCGAGGGCTGAAGGCTATGCTTAAAGAAATGAGCAAGTTATACAAAAAGGAGCTTCAGGCCCGGAAAAGCAAAAACCGTCTTACATATCGTCAGTGAAAAGCGGAACCTCGCCAGGGCTATTATGGAGGAGGCTGAAAAGAGGGCCTATATCTGAATGTAAGATAGAAATATAATCAATATTTCAATTGGGATTTTTAAAACCTATTATATTTTATCCAAACAATGTAAAGATCACGGTAGCGAAGACCATATGACCTAGAAAGAGTGCTAGAGATATCTGTTCTATAAAGTCTACGGACCTAGATCCTACTAGTAAGGAGGAGACTGGGAGGATATTTGGAGGAGAATAGGGGAATAGTTAGAGAAGATTGTAGGTTATTCCGGATAAAGAAAAGAATAAGTGGAGAAGAGAGAATTTTTAATTGTTAACTTAGTTAGAATAAAACGAGTCTGTCCTCGGTTTTAAAGTGCCTTTACTTAAAGCTTTCTAGGAACTCCTGAAGCCGCTCCATTAGAGTTTCCACCGCAGGGACCCTTTCCTCCATCGTTGTCGCCGGGTTATCGAAGGTTCGTCGCACGGTTTCGAGTCTGGGCCCGGAGGGCACGGCGGACTGGGGGTTGACGGTGACGCTCCTACGCCTGGTGGGAGAGCTGTCGTTGCCTCTCCATCTGACCTTTTGTCAGGTTGGTGTCCATGGTGATGAGACTACTACTACCGAGAAGATAGAGAAAAAAATATTGATATTCAAAGTATGGGAAAGCAGGGTATTTGTACCCTGAATCTGACACATAAGCGCTCAGTCTGCAAGCACACAATGGGAGACGGGATCATCTCAACACATAGTATTGTCCACGCACTTGTAGATCCAGCCGATGGTAAGAAGCTATTAGGACAATATTATTGATTAGAAAACCCGATAGGGCAAGTATATTTGATACCATACTATAATATAGAGGTAAATACCTGGCAACTTGTCACTTTTCAATCCCAATTTCTCCACGAACATACGAAATTATGTATCTTTGGAAAGGATAATGGAGGATACAAAATAAAAGCGTCCATGTGCAGTGGCTTCTGGAAAATTAATTTCCTTGTGTGAAGACATTGGACCAATCCTGCTTCCTGAAGTACTCCACCACACTGTCCAGCTGCAGGAGCGAGTCCAACTAGGTTGAAATATCAGCAATTTGAAATAAAAAAACCACCTTGAGAATTCCTCTAACGAACTCACCTCTTTGGGGTGGATGAGCGTGGGGTCATCTCGGCCCTCGTATCCAAACTCGTTGCAATAAGCCCAATTGTCGTCCAATTCAAGTTGGAGTTCACTCGGAAGGGGGACTTTCGATTGTCCTTTTGGTGAAAGAATGCATTCTGCTTCGATCCCAGTAGCTTGAGAAAATGCCTTCGAAAGTTCGCGCAAGGAGCTCCATTCCCGATAGCCGATGATATTCTTCCCAGCGCTCTCTTGCACAAGGGCCTTGACAATTGGACCAGTATCTTCTTCCGCGGCGATGAAAGGCAGTTTAAGGTCTGGATCTAGACTGCTAACGAATTGGGCTGTACCATGCTCTGTCTGAATAGATTTAGTGATAATTTTGCGGGTCACAGCGATCAGTGAGCTTACCATCACGGGCCGGAATATAGGGTTCAAGACAAAATTGCTCAAGAAAAACCCAGCCTGGAAGACACTTGTCTTCTTCCACAGCTCAGGGTAGGTTTCTCTTCCGTACACCTCTGCCTTGGCTTTCGAGTCGAAGTGGTAGACGTGCGTGTATTTTCCCCGGGACCACTTCGTCGCGTCGGAAAGAGATGACAACACGAAGCGCTCCAGCGTAGGAATTCTCGCGGCAACATCGATGACTGCCTTTAGTTGCTCGGTCTCATGATTGGCAGCCCAGACATTGAGCGGCTGACCCTTTGCCTTGGCTTCGTTGGCAGGATCACCAAATAGACCCCAGAAGTCACTGACAGCGAAAATAGTATTCGCGTTCTCAAAGGCAGACGAGAGAGTCGATGGTGAATCCAAGTCCGCTTGGACCACTTCCGCACCGCGGGCAGCTAAAGCCTGGGCTTTTGTGCCGGTTGGATTCCTGGTCACTGCACGGACACGCCATTGCGGCTCCTGGAGGAAAACCTCTGCGACTGAGCCACCCTGATTTCCCGTAGCCCCGAGGATAACGATAAGTTTCTTAGATTCCATGATGAATGGCTTAAGAGCAGATCCTTAACCTTGATGGATGTAAGATACAGCTTGATGTCATGGAGAGAAAAAGAAAAAAAAAGCAGGTGCGACCTGCGAGCCTATCTATAGTTGCCATTCCTGCAGGACGGAGCAACGTCCTAGAAATGGAGTGAACGAACCATGGAAGAGGCTCGGAAGCTTCGGCGACTTTTTTGAGGTTTGCTTTGAGGATGATGTTATCGGCCCGTGTATGGTTTGAGGGCGAAGTTTAATCTCTGTGGATCGTCACCACCCTGAGGCCATATGATGTTCAACAGATAATCTTTAGTCATCGGGACATCCATAGCTTGGAGGCTTCTCTGTTCCCTGAAGAAGCTGATTGATGCTGATTGATGCTGATGTAAATTAATGATTACTGAACATTCCCAATGCAAACCAACCATGGAAGGTCCACTTAGCTCGAACGCAATCTGAGTTCCCCATTTTATGTTTGTTCCAAGCCATTCACTTCCCCACACGCTGCTCTTTAGTACACATAAAACGAGTCCGTATCACATTCATGAAACTCTTGGCGAGTTTGCATCACTACAGATGATTTTGATTTCTCATCAACCGAACGGTCTCCCTTCGAGAGCATCTCTAAACTCTCCGCAGTGACATAGATGTCCGGAAGCAGGTGTTAATTTATATGAAGTTCAAGATTCGTCAGTTACATGGCTTGGTTATCTAAAAAAACTCTTTAAGAATCAGCATTCAATTTTTCGCAGCCGGTGCACAATGGCTTTCCCTAATCGCCTCTTCACTCGTTCAACATGGCGCTTTATTGGCCTTGGTCTTACTACGACTGTCTTTTCTCTCGGAGCCTTGGCCATTCTATCTCCGTCCGTTGCTGCAGGGTCTCTCGGAGTCATCCCTACCACGCCAGAAGGCCGTGACATATCCGAAAAAGCAATGATATTCCTTGGAATACGTGATATTGCCGTGGCAGGTGCCCTGTTTTGGTTTTGGAGTGAAGGAAAATGGAAGGAAATGGGAGTTATTTTGACCGCGTGGACTGCTGTATGTGTGGTGGATACATGGGTTACGATACAGGGGCCAAGAGGATGGGACAACGGGGTTTGGGGACTGTGTGGAGGAGCAGCGGTGGTGGCCTTTGCGGGGTTAGGGCTGTTGCAATTGTAAGGCCTCGGGATTGCTGGGGTGCTAGGGAATGTCGCGGTATGAGCAGAGCAAGAGAGAAATCACCACTTCATGCCCACTTAGATAAATCCATCATCTTGGGAAATTCTGAGAGCGTTGACCGGTATTCCGTCAACATTACCCTTGGATACTCTGTGTCCTCGGAAATCATTGACCGCGTAATAAAGTACAAGCGAATGTGTCATTGCTTCAGCACTTTGGAAATTTCCAGGGAATATTGCAGTGTTTTATGTTAATTAGCCATAACAGTCAGGCAAGGTCAAAATGGAAAAGTGAGAGAAAGGATGGCGAGCAGCGACGAATATTTTAAGTCGGAGCATCAAAGGGAGGTTAGGTGACGTATAAGACGCTAAACCCAAACAGGAAGAACTAACCGGATGCAGTAATTCATAGGGCGAGGGCCAAAAGCCGCAGACGCCGGGCCGTGCTGAGGTTCGGGCCGCCAAAGACCGAAGAACTAGAATTCCATCACCAAACTACCGTTTTAGCTTATAGATTGTTCGTATTCGTTAGGTTAGAGTCATAATTCTATAGTCACTGGTTCTAGACCGTCGCGCTTTACGTTCTTTATTTAGGCTCCGATGCGGCTACATCTAGTCGCTTTATCTTCCCTATATCTATCTCTCGTCTAGCGCTTTTTTAAATCCCAACTTTTTGTTTTCTTTCCAATATCCAAGAGTACACTCTCCAAATACTATCACCGTTCTCTCTCGACCTTCATCACCCATCGATCTTCGCCCATTATGGCCGCGTCCCTCAAGTCAGCCCCCGCCATGACCGTTTTCCGGGGCTTCCCCGAAAAGGGCTGCTACACCTGGTCACCATTTGTCACTAAGCTCGAGGCCCGCTTGCGCTTTGGCAATATCAGCTACAACGTTGACGCAGGCTCACCCCCGAAAGGCCCTAGGGGCAAGGTGCCCTACATCACACTCGAGCACGAGGGGCAGTCTCAATCTGTCTCCGACTCCACCCTAATCGCAAAGTCATTCATTGAGTCTGGATACCTGGAGGATCTCAATCGTGGACTTTCCCCCGTGGAGAAAGCCCAGGATCTTTCCCTCAAGGCCCTACTAGAGGATAAGCTCTATTTCTACCAGGGCCACGAGCGGTGGGTGGTAAACTATTACGCCATGCGCTCCAAGATCCTGGCCAGCATCCCCTGGCCTGTACAGGTGATTGTCGGCAACATAATCTACAATAAGAACGTCCGTAACTTGCAGGGTCAAGGAACCGGCGTCTTTTCGGGCGAGGAGATCGCCGCATTCCGGCAGGAAATCTGGGAATCTGTTGACGGGTTGGTATCGGCTGCGTATGCTCAGCATCGGGATTGGGAGGGGCCGTTCTGGGTGTGGGGAGGTGATGCACCCACTGAGGCCGATGCAGTGCTGTTTGGCTTTGTGGTGTCGGGTTTGGTCTGTGGAGCGTAAGTACATACACTTTTCCATGCTATGCCTTAATATATCTGATGATGCTGACTTTTCCCAAGGGCTCCGGAAACCAAGCAGATTGTGAAAAGTTACCCAGCGCTGGTGGAGTATGCTCGGAGGATTCATGACAAGTATTTCCCGGATTATCAGCTTTGGGAGTAAATTTGGAAGTGTAACGGTACGAGAATAAAACAATATCATTGCATGTAGTCGCTTGAACAATAACTATCCCTGAAATTATTCACATAGATCGTTAGTCTGGTCTCAGCTGTATCGTTTCCTTCCCGAGCCATTCCTCTCCGAGCCATTTCTCTCCGAAGCCATTCTTCTCCGACGCCATTACTCCCCAGCCCCTATCCCATTTGTTCCGTCTATATAACATATAAAATATTTATATAAACCTACTAACATCAACTGCTAATCCCCAGCTTTGAAAGCCCATTTTACTTTTCATCCTAAAATATCCCGTACCCGAAACCCTCATTTTATTCTCATAATGCCAGCCGGCCCCGAGCTTGATAACGCTGCTGTGTTGGACTGGCTAGAAGCGGTAAGCCTATTTCTTTTGACAAAGCAGGACAACCGACTTATATCGATTAGTTCCACCGAGCGAGTGCTACCCTCAACGCCGATCAGTGGCTGGACGAATTCATGACCGACGATGTGGAGATGCAATATGCAAATAACCCCGTGATCAAGGGTAGCGAGGTGCGACAGATGTTCAAGACCGTCCTCGGCCAACTGGACATGATGGTTCACGATATCCGTTACTTCGACTATGTCGCCCCTCGCATATACCAAGCCGCGACCATCCGGTATCTTGTCAAAGGAGACAGTCTGGACACCGACGAAATCACCATTCCTGGGTTTGCTGTGTTCTCTGTCCGAAAGGATGACGCCGGGCGTGTGAAGTGCTATCGGGCAGAGACCTTCCTAGAGCCGTCCGCGGTATTTCAACGAATTGTTGAAAAGTCGAACCGACAATAAAAGCGATTGGTGGTAGGCATATATATTCATATTGGTTGAAGTGATGGACCAATTGACTGACAGCATAACAGAGGCTACAAGAATAGAGGAGTATGTTTCTCTGCATGGGTTTTGGGGGGGGGGGGGGGGGGGTTTGATGCGAGGGTTCGCTGCGCGGGTCCAAGAGAAGCGTATATAACCCTTCTATTGATACGAGCTAGAATATTAACTCTGATAACATATGATTTAGTCGGAATTTAAAGTATAAAAATAAAAAGAACAATATTCTAGAAAGTTAGAGTATGGAGAACGTAGGTCTCGAGAATCCAACTAAGAAGTATACGAGGTGGGCCACATTAATCCAGAGATATTGAGGCCTTATGTGCTCACTGGCCAATGTCACCGTGTCTATAGTACATAAAATAAAAGGAGAAAACAAGTGGATGATTCAAGATCTACGATCAGAGAGCCAAGAGAGCAAGATGCTGAAGCAGGATTTGGGAACATGAACAGGTTGTGGTATGGATAGGCGTCATACTGACGCGATCGAACGTTCTACAAAAAAAGGTATATAAATATCTTATATAAGTACTTTATTTGATCTTCTTATTTGATTCTCTTATTTAATTAAACTTCATAGTGTTTTATTTTTAATTTTATTACTAAAATACTCCAAAATTATCATGCAACAGGAAGTGGAAAAGCCCTCACGGGGACCCCAATCACAGTTTGAAAAGGGCAAGTTAATATCTTACTAAATGGTAATTGCGCTCTTTTTAATACGTACTGCAGGTCATCAAATTCCTGTCGAGCATCACAAAAAGCCCGGCTTACAAGCTGAAATGGAAGATCCCAAGCCCACCTCAAGCCAACTCCCAACTGAGGATAATGGGTACCAGACCTATAAAGCGGCGGGAAAACTTTCTGGGAAGAAGGCCATCATCACTGGTGGTGATTCAGGAATCGGTCGCGCAGTTGCTATTCTATTCGCCATGGAAGGGGCATCTAGCCTTATCACGTATCTGCCCGAAGAAGAAAAGGATGCGCAGGAGACCAAGCAACGAGTAGAAGAAACCGGACAAAGCTGTTATTGCTTTGCAACCGATATCCGGGATAAAAAGAACTGCCAAAAGGTGGTTGAAACAGCCCTCAAGAGCTTAGGTGGAATTGATATTCTCGTCAATAATGCCGGGACTCAAACGATGATTGACGACATCAAAGATTTGGAAGAGTATGTATCTTCTATGTCTTTTTCTGGTCTGCTGGAATCTTACATTAACGCGTTTCTATAGGTCCCAATGGGAGAGCACATTCGACACTAATATCCATCCCATCTTCTATCTCTCCAAGTACACGCTTCCTCACTTGAAGAACGGCTCCACGATAATCAACTGCGCTTCGGTCAACCACTATATTGGTCGTCCTGATCTGCTTGATTATACATCCACAAAGGGAGCCATCGTTGCCTTTACCAGGGGATTATCTAACCAGCAAGTCAAGAATGGAATCCGGGTGAACTGTGTGTGTCCTGGACCAAGTAAGTCCAACGGGCCGAAATTGAATACAAATGTATAAAAACTAATAATTATATGTCTAGTCTGGACCCCTCTAATTCCAGCAACCATGACGACCTCCGCAAAGGAGCAGTTTAGCGGTACACCAATGGGCCGCCCGGGACAACCCAGCGAGGTTGCAACATGTTTCGTCTTCCTTGCAAGTCAGGACAGTAGTTTTATCTCTGGCCAAAGCTTGCATCCGAATGGGGGAGTCGTAGTCAATGGGTAACTACGGACTCGCAGTGGATTATGCGAAAATGCTGTGATGCAATCCTTTCTTCCCAATGTGGTCCTGAACCCAGGCTTCAAAACCAGTAGCTCCTTGAAAGGATATGCGTGATAGTATATTGTACAAAAATATGTGGATATTTGACACGGTTAATTTCACCTAACTACATATGACCAGAAAGGCAAGAACGCCGATGATCCAATCTGCTATTGTACAAATTCCAATGCCTCAAACTTGCGCCTGAATCTCATCAACGACCCGTCCAAGAGTCCCATTACTCCAGCCATCAACTCGCTCACGATCACACTTCTCATATAAAGCACGTGCAAGTGCCGCAAGCTGAGCAGCCTCCTTGGGATCAGCCTCTGCAGCTTGGATCTGGATCCAACTGATGACACCAGAACGGGTGATCAGCGTAGTACTGCCACCGACCTGGGCGGCGCGGTACACAATGTGGAGGATCTTTCGTCGAGCTGCGGGACCAAGGGTTGGGGACTGGTAGAGGGAAAGGATGCGCTCGAAGACATTGGCTCGTCGGTAAACCTCCATATCCTAGATTCAATGTGTTAGCAATTGCGATTTTGGAGTGTAGAACTGAATAGAAACTTACAGCCTCGGTGCGGAGTGCCTTGATAAACAGGTTGAGGAGCCAGTCGATCTCCTCGAAATACCCATCATCCAACTCAGGCTCGTGTAGGAGGATTTTGTCAACCCAGTATGTTGGGATCTTCTCGACTTCCCAGGATGGTGCCTTCTGCAGGAACTTGTTGACTTTGCCGTAAACCTTGTGGAGGGGGTCTATGAGAACCGCCAGGCAGTTTGCAGCGCACTCGCCCACAATCCAAGGGACGGGCTTCTCCATGCCAATGTTGTTGACTGTCTCGAGGAGCTCACCGGCTAGAGTAAACACCGTGCGCCATTCTGCGTAGGTAGATTCCTTAAGCTTGGCCATGAAGCGAATAATGTTGGCAAAGGCCTGTCTTCGGACTTCTTCGTGCTGAGAACAGAGGCAGAGCATCAGCTCGGCGACATGACCTTGGTCCACTGCTTCTGCAATGTCCTCTCTTTCCCATTTGTTCAGGGCATTGTGGGTTGTGCCTTCAATGGGCAGGGATCCGAAGATCTCATCAAGGTCAACGGTAGAGGTTTTGTTGGATGAACTAGGCACATTAGAGCCAGAGTCAATGTCCATCTTGTCCTCATTATCGACATCATTTGCCTCCTTCAGGGACTTCTTAAGAAGAGACTTGATTTTCTTAGTCTCAGTTGCTTCAACCAACGCATCCCGAGCAGCTTTGAGCACCTTGGTGCTCTCGCCTGCCTGCTTCAGATTACCCAGAAGACTTGCGATCCAGGCTCCAACGGCAGCTTCCGCGGATACATCTCCGCTCTTGACGATAAATGGCCATTGCTCAACAATAGCAGCGACAAGCGCGCTAGTAGTTCTAGACGCATCCTCAGATAATGACTGTAGCAGATCCAAGTAGTGAACGGGCTTCTTGGCGACACGGGAGACACAGTTATCAAAGAAAACCAGCTGTTGATGCAAAGCATCAGCCTCGGAATTCTCAAGACTGGACAAGACAGAGGCAAATGCGTGTGGGGAGCTTTGCAGAACAGAGTTATCAACCAGAACAGTCCTGAGCAGGGTAGAGATACGGCGCGAAGAGTCCTTGTCTGAGGTATCCATGAGAACCTTCAGGATCGAGGTGAAGGGTGAGTATTGCATGGATGCTGGCTTTTGCCACCAACGCAATGAAGCAGACTGTTGTGCGATCTGGAGGATGCTCTGCAGTTGGCTCAAAAGGGATTCGGAATCATCTGCGCTAACGTCTGGGGCTTCCAGGCGCTTGAGAACGTCAACCAAGACTAGTGAGACGTCAAAGTTTTCCTCCAAAGCAATGTCCGGCATCACTTCATAGTAACAGGTCAAGAGCTCCGCAACAGCTTCCTGCTGGGTCAGGTCCTCCTTTTCTGTTCTCCGGAAGAGGACAACGACATCCTTGACAGCAGGGCACCGACGAGAGAACTCTGCCAGCAGCTTAGCAGAAGCCTGGTTCCAGAATAGCTGGCCTTGGCCGTGATCCGCCTGGAAGATTTTAAGGACAGCTCGCAGCTTAGTGAACGCGAGAGTCAGGATTCGCACGGCGAACAGAGTGATAATCTCCGCATTCTGGTTGAGGCAGCGGGTCATAATCTTCTGGCCAAGGGGACGAGGGAGAATATTTTCAATAACGATAGAAACCGGCGGGGGGAGGATGGGCTGCTTGTCCTTCCAGCCACAGTTTGCAGGGACAGGCAGCTGCACAGTTGAGAAAAGGAAAGCGGACTCGGCCATCCACGAGGGGGTGGCCTTGGGGTCTGAAATAAACATAGTTTTCCTCGAGAAGTAATCGGCAACGAGCTCTGGTGCCACTCTGAAGATTGACACCAGCAGTTCAATCTGAAGACTATCGACATCAGGCCGAAGGCACTGGATGAGGAATGAAAGAGAACCATTGCGCACGGGGACAGAATCTCGGTATTTGTCGACGTAGATGGGGGAATCCAGGCCCAATTCAATGCATGCATCATCATCAACAGCTAAGGTCTCTGGATCGGTTCCGGCCGGATACCAGCCGGTCTCGGGGAGGAGAACGCCGAGTCCGGCAGTTTTGCACACATTCATCATGACTCGGTGGATCTCATTGGCGATGATGACACCTCCAGCATTAGGTTCGTCTGACTCGCGATCATAGCCATAAAGTGTGACTAGTCGTTCGAGATTGTGTCTGTTGAAAAACTTGCTCTTTGATTTGCGAGACAGAGCGGAATCTTGTACCACGTCCCTCTCAATAGCCTTGATAATTTCTAGTACAGTGTCCCGCGGATCTTTCCGGATATATTCGAGGAAAGACCTGGTGATCTTGTGCTGTTCAATGATATCATTCTTCTCAGAGGCATGCTGAACTCTCAGGTTCGCTAGCAGGTATCGCTGAGCGTTACGTCTGAGGGTTGACTTGTTAGACTCATCCTCTGAGATCTCTTGTGCTTTGTTGGGGGTTAAAAAGACCTCCAGTCGCTTAAAGGTAATGTACCGGCGAAGGTACAGCTGTCGTGCCACTGCTCCTCCGTCAAAAGTCACGATCTCCGTAAGCAAACGGAGACATGGTGAAATCAAGTGCTCTTTAGACTTGGTTGCTGTCAAACCGCGGTTGAACAATCTCAGCTGGTCTTTCTGCAGCAGATGCTTGCACAGGGCGATTCCGAATTCCCGGAACTCTAGTTCCGACGAAATCGTCTTAAGAAAGATCGCGAGAACAGAAGGGACACTAGTCAATAAAGGCTCATTGTTATTGCTATCGCCAAATGACCAAGATTGGATGATGTCCGCAAAGCACACTGAGGTTTCATCCTCCTTCCCGGAGTTAGTGATTTGCTTATCGCAATACTCCTTGAGGACACGCAATTTCTCTGCTTTGTCGCTCTCTTTTTCTGTCTGTGAAATTGACAGTAGGAACTCTTTAAACTTGATTATACCTATATTCTAGTCAGTTTTCGTGTAGCTTTGGGTGGCTTGCGATCTGCCTCACCTTGCTTTGCCAACGGGGCATTTTGCTGGACAGCCAACAGGTCACGCAATGAAGCAGCAGACTTGATATTAGACGTGACAGTCAGTTTCTCCGGCTTAGGATCATCGAGCTTTCTTCTCTTCGCCCGAGAGGGATGCTCTGTGATGTGCGACATGATTTGATGGGTTGGTGTTGTAACTTATTTTTTTTTTATCGATGTTCCGATACCATCGACATTTCCAGCTCGTTGATTGGTTGGGGGCTCCCCGCCCAGTACAAAACTGTGGATACACCGCCTCCTTCTGCCCGATGAATATCAGGGCGGTGTGCTATTAGCCTCCGATAAGTGGAGACAACATCTTACTTTTGTACATTCTGGTTGTCGATTTTTCTCCGTCCTTTACACGATATCTTCGAAATGATGGCTTATACAGCCTGTTAGTAATGACCCTGTATGGGAATGGCACTTAATCCTCTGTTGGCGGCGATATGAATGGCCTGAATACATACAACGGGCTTATCGGAGTCCTGCTGCGGTGTTAGCAAGGCTAACAGGCTCTTTATTGCTGTTTCTTCATGCCGATCATTATCAGCTTTTACGGAGTATGCTACGCGACCTCGGACAATTAGCTTTTGGGGTGTGTACGGCGACTAAGTGTGCCACCCGGAACATAACTCTCTCATCAAATAATCCATGGATAATCCGTGGATATTGCCAGGCAGTAATTTATGCTTCCACCAAGGTTTCTGAGGCTCTAAGGTTAGCAGTCATCATTATCAAATATTATATATACGAGTGTGCTTTTTACGACATTCGTATATGTAGACATCTCAAAAGACATCTCAAAAGGAAAGACACTACAAGGCCATGCAAGCACCCAACCATTCTAATTAAATCCACTTACCTACCATAAATCGATAATTTACAAGTGCAGTAATTCAATCGATCCTTTATAATTGTATGCTCTATATCAATTCTATAGGGTCAACCCAGATCACAACTAATATAAAGAAATTGAAATTGAAATTGGCATATAGCTTTAAGGCGGTGATAACAACGGTCAGGTCATATCCAATGAGAGAGTTTATGTCCCGGGTAGCACACTTAGTCGCCATACACATCCCAAAAGCGGCTAGAGTGAGAAATAGGTTGTGGTATTTGACTGTTGCCTTAGTGTTCTTGTTCAAGATAAGCCTAGTGACCCCTGCCCATCACCCTCGGGACACTTGTTATGTGGCCTTCTGCCCCTCATGGTGTCACGACCTTGTATATAGTCAGATAGTTCCCTCTTGCCTCTTACCTCTTCTTCACTCTCCCTGTCTGCTCCTTTTGATAGTGAATGCCATCATATTCAGTAGCAATCTCTAGATCACGTCCTCTTTACACCCACCAGCCGATTCTCCTTGTCAGAGATTGAAGCCTTTCAAATCTTTTCTTCATTCTGCATCATGACATTTGTCATTCAACCCTGTTTCCCGGAAGATGCCCCGGGCCTTGCAGCAACCATGATGGGTGCTCGTCTCACCGATCCCCACTGGAGGTGTCTGTGGGATGATCCATCTGCCGAACGCATTATTCCTGGGGCTATCAAGCGCCTTCCTTGGAGCCTGGTGACCAGCACAGAAACCAAACGGCATCAGAAGGTTATTGATGTCGAGACCGGCCAAGTGGTGGGGTATTCGCGATGGATCCTCCCTCCAATTTTGGCAAAGAAGGGCGATGTTTGGCTTGAAGCACAGGTAGCCGAAGTGCCTCCCGCCAACCGCGCAGCGTATGAGAAGCAGTATCAAGAGAACAGCCGGAGTGGACAGCCTATAGGCCTAAAGGTTGGGGAGATGATGGATTATCGCAGTGGTCCTCTCGAGGAAGCGGATGCTCGAATTACGGCAGATGGGCCTTTTCTGAGTAAGATGCACACCGATATATCACTAGTAGGCGGATGACTGATAACACTCTCCAGCTCTTGATTATTTGACAACAGACCCTTCTTTCTGGCGTCGAGGTATCGGGAGTATGCTCGTGCAAAGTGGACTGCAGATTGCAGACCAACAAGGAATAAAAACCTATGTGATGTCGGAACCAGCTGCACTGAAGCTATACCTCAACCTTGGCTTTCAACTGGTGGATACGGTATCGGTGGACTACTCCCGTTATGGTGGAACGGAGCCCATGGTGGAGTACTTCCTTGTTCGCGAGCCATCTCAGGTGGAGTCTGTAGGTGTGTGATGATAACACAGAATATACGAATGCAGAGTAGTATTTTTGATCTAGCACCCCCGGGCGGACGTAAAGTCGCTTAGGAATGCTTAATGGTGGATGGAACAACCAATAATATTCCCATCTAGATATTATACAAGAATTAGATCCAAAACAAGTAACTCCCATATTTTAAGCTAAGTGATTCATGCAAAAGCACAATGGTAAAGAAATATAAGACGCAAGAAATAAAAAAACTCGCGATTGCAACCATGGCTGGTATATTGGAAAGACAAGAAAAATCAACCCCAAGTTCCACCACCACCACCTCTGCCCTGCCGCCGCTGGGCAGAAATACGCCAATCGTCTTCGCCAGCAAAGCGGTTGTGCAGGGGCTGGATGCGTTCTGCCTTCTTACGCTTCGACAATCGATCCGTAGGTGCAACCTTGAAGAAAGTGGGCGCCGCCTCCACGAGCCATTTCGGCTCAATAGCAGTGGTGCAGTGCATGTACTCCTTAGTCGTGAGGACGAGGGTGTGGTAGATGACGTGCTCAGCCGGTTTACCGAACATCGCAGAACTGGGATGCATGTAAACGGGCGTTCCTTCCACCAGGGTCTTGTATCCCTCCTGGGGGTCTTTGCGCGCTGCGTTGCGGAAGAAGCCGGTGCACAGGGACTGTCGCACTTTCATGGTATCCCGGCCGCAAGAGACGATGCGGTGCTTGTAGCGGTTCATGATGCCCATCAGCTGCTGGCGCACATCTTGGGCGCGCTTGATCTGTCGTGCTTGGATGAAGTTCTCGAAACACCAGGAGTTGTTGAAGCCTGCGTTCTTCCACCCATTGTAGACATTGAGGAGGGTCAGATGATCGCCGTGCGGATCGTGGAATTTGGACTTCTTCTGGTCTGCTTGTTGCTGTTTTTCTTTGGGGCGGTAGAAGACAGACTGGATGGACAGCATGGCGACAATGCTAAGCATTTCATCGGAGCAGCCTGAATCCACGGATGCAATGAGCACCTTGGCAAGCGCAGGCTCCATGGGGAAATCGGCCATCTTTCGTCCAAGGCGAGTCAAAAGACCCTCATCATCAAGTGCTGACAAGGCATACAGTTCTTCGAGTGCTGTCAACATGGTGTTGGTAGGCGGTGGGTCCATGAAATCGAAGTGGAGAAGGTCGTTGATACCCATTGCCTTGAGCATGAGAATGGTATGTGAGAGGTTCTGACGCTGAATTTCGGGGATGGTTGTTGGAAGCATTTCAGACTGATAAGCAGCCTCCGTATACAATCGGAAACACTTTCCAGGCCCTGTTCTTCCGGCACGGCCAGCTCTTTGTTTAGCTTGCGCTTGGGAAATAGGAGTCACCACAAGAGAATCCATGCCGAGCTTCGGATCGTAGGCGTTCTGCTTCACGAAACCGGGGTCAATAACGTAGTAAATCTGATCAATTGTGATCGAGGTCTCCGCAATATTAGTTGCAATGACGACTTTACGTCCACCCGGGGGTGCTGGGTCAAAAATCCTACTCTGCATCTCACTGGGCAATGCAGAATAGACAGGTAAAACGACCAGTTCAGGGACAGTAGGTCCCAAAGCTTTCATGCGCTCGAATAAAATCTCACATGCTGTATCAATCTCTTCTTGGCCCGTTAAGAAGACCAGAATGTCACCTTGCGGTTCTGTCAAGTGAATCTGCATGACAGTGATGAGTGCGGCATCCAGGTAATCAGATTCAGGTTCCTTGGAGTACATGACTTCGACAGGGAAAGTTCGGCCAGGAATGGAGAAAATGGGACAGCCGTGGAAGTATTCAGAGAACTTTTCAGCGTCCAGTGTGGCAGATGTGATAATCAATCTGAGATCGGGTCTTCGTTTGACTGTCTTTTTCAACAATCCGAAGAGGATATCAGTTGCGATTGTCCGCTCGTGCGCTTCGTCAAGCATGATAACGGAGTATCTCTTGAGATCTGGATCCAGAAGAATTTCTCTCTGAAGCATTCCATCGGTCATGTACTTGATCTTGGTGTCTGGGCTGGTACAATCCTCGAAACGGATGGTATATCCAACCTCGGCTCCGAGCTTGCAACCAACTTCTTCGGCCACACGTTTAGCCACTGACATGGCAGCAACACGGCGAGGCTGGGTGCAACCAATAATTCCATTGTTTCCATATCCGCCCTCGGCCAGGTACTGTGTCAACTGCGTGGTCTTTCCAGAACCCGTATCTCCGACGACAATCATCATTTGATTGTCCTTCACGGCATCCAGCAATTGCTTCCGGAACTTGTAGACGGGCAGACTCTCGCGCTGTTGTTTCATGGACATAGTCGTCCGCTTTCCAAAAGATGTGTTCTTGCCCATCGTTGCTCTCTTCCACTCCGGTACAGCCTCATCCTGCTTGGGCTGCTGCGCACTCCGAAGATCAGCAGCAAACTTTCGCTCTTCCGGTGCAACCATGGGATCCTGCCATTGAGCATTCAGATCAACATTGGCCGCCTTTTCGGCCGCCTTGTCCTGTGCTTCCTGCTGCTTCAATTCCCGTCTCTCCTTAGCAAGGTTAGTGCCTGCCATTGCAGAACGATTCATTGAACCATCGGGAGCCTTGACAACACGAATAGGAGAAAGTTCGAGGGACTGTTTCGTCTGGCCAGCCAAGAAAGGAGGCTCCTCATCTTTGACCTCAATGTCGATATCTTCCTCCTCTTCGAAAGTTCCTTCGCCAGTGAGCGTTGCGTTATATTCCTCGTCGATATCGGGATAGTCTGCTGCAGAGGCAACACCGGAGGCAATCAATTGTCTGATCTCCCACCGCTCTGGCGAAGTCATGCGTTTTCGGTTCCTCATTGGCCGGCTTCCGGATCCTTCAATAACGGGCACATCGGAGCCGAGGCTGCCGTACCTATCATCTGCGAATCCACCATCGAGACGTTCCATATTTGCACCAGAAGCAAGGCGCTTCTGGGGAACAAGATCCATGCCTGTCACTTGATCCACCTCCTTCATGGACAGTCCGATGCGAGTGCCTTCAATACTAGCGACTTTGACTTTGACTGGTTGTCCACGCGAGACCAAATCTGAGGGGTGATTGACCCGTGCTCCTTCTTGCATTGCTGAAACGTGAACAAGACCATCCACCTTCCCTTTGACGCCCTTTAGATTCACAAAAGCACCGAAATCTTTCACACCCGTGACAATCCCATCATATATTTTGAACACAACGGGGTGGTCATCCAGCTCGACAGGCGGAGGACGGCGGAAATCATCATCCTCGTCACGATCACGGTGTCTCCGACGGTCACTATGGCCATTGCGACGGCTGTCTTCCCGGTTGTTGTATTTTCCAATCGATCTACCGAACTCGTCGACGAGATCATCGTTTTTGTTGTAACGCCGGGCACTTCGAGACCTTGATCGCGAACGGTATTTTTCTCTGCGCCGTCCACGGTCGTAATCGTTGTGCTCCGGGCTGCGGCTCCGCTTCCTCGTTCCACGGCCGTTTCTCGATGCATGTGGTTTGTGCTCCTTCGCTTTTCCTGCTAGGCCCTCAAGCATGGCGAAAGTGTCGTCCATCGCACCTGCTTGTGCGTCGGCTTCGTCTGCCGCTTGGCGATCTGTGTAGTCCTCTTCCGCCCAGCGCTTCTCCGTATCGGGGACCGCAAGGCCCTTGAACACGCGAGACTTTTGCTCTAGAGCATCAAGCAAAGCCATGTCGTCGTTGGCATCAGAACTCCCCTTGTCGTTGTCTGCTTTCTTTCCCTTGTACTTGGGGTGCATCGTGAGCACCATGCGGTCGACACTCTCCAAGAGACTTTGGGGAAATTCGCCGCCCATGTCGTCGAAAAACTTCTTGAAATCGGAAAACTTGCCATTACATTTGAGGTGCTGATCGATCACGAACTCTGCGAGGGTCTTGTCGGCGATTCCCAGGTGATTCTCGAACTCGTTCGTCACGCGCGAGACGAGCGAGAACAGCTCCAGAGACTCAAGGTCATCCATGATGGGCGGTGGGACAAAAGAGATCCAACCGGATAAAAGATAGAGCCAGCAAAGCTGGAGAAGTGACGTTTAAATTGGCAAGCGCGCAAAACACTGCTACCCTGTAGCTCTTCCGTCGCAGTACGGGATCTTGAAGGCGGAAAATTAGTGCAGCCGACCTCAAGTTGCCACCGATAAGATAAGGCGGTATGCACTTTTTTTTAGCACTTGGGACTTCATCGATTTATGGTGACAATATAGTAGTAAATGTCGGGGATCTTCAAAGATGTTCAATCAAGATGTGAATGGAAGCTGAAAGAGACGCACAATAGAGCAAAAAGAAATAGTAAGTAAGTCTAAAGGTATTAGGTATTGAGTTTTGGAGATCGGTTTTATACATCTAATATACATATTTCTTGTTGTACATATTCATCATTCTTTGGGGACTTCTGTGTCATAGTAAGACTCTTTTGAGTCAGACTCCGAGTCGTTCGAGTCGGGGGGTGCACCCTCTGCCTCGCCCTCTGCCTCCGGTGATGGCTCATATAATGAGAGATCAGCGTCGGACGATTCACCCTCTGCAGCCTCCCCAACCTCCGAAGCAGCTTCTTCAGAGAGATTTATTTCCATCTGCTCTCCTTCACCAGATGGTTGCCTCCAGTCTCCAGCAACTCCCATGCGTTCCTGCTCCAACAGCTGTTTCTGCAGCGCAATCTGGCGCTTCAGAGAGGCACCCTTCCGCAACCTCTTATTAGCGGAGAATTCAGTCAATGCCCGAACCATCCGCTCCTCAACAAGTTCCTTGACATGACTTGCCAGAGTTCGGTCAGTGAAGACACCACCGAATCGGAAACTGAGCCACAGGTACAAGATAACTGCCCTATGAAGGCTCTCCAGATCATGCAAATAGTCATTGCTGCCAGAAACGGGCTGTTCGATGACTTCCAAGTTGAGATAGGCGATGTCCAACAGTCGCCCTTCATGATGTTCGGCTACACAGTCCGCCATAGCACCGGTAACATCACGCGCACCTGAACTTTTACGGTCCATTGGAGAAACCATGAACTTTAACTGATCCTCAAACGGCAGTCCTTTGACAGTGTCGATAATTTCGGCGTTTTCCAACTGACTGCTGGGGTCACACAAGAAGAACAAAGGATTGACCTTGGCAATGTCCAAGACCCGCTTGATCAGATATTCGAAAGGTACACCTGGTGGGAAGTAGGCGGCGAATTTCCGGAAAACAGATTCTGGAGGGAAGATGCCTGCCGCACTCAGCGGTGGGGGCTCCAACTTTAGAGCTTGCTGGATATATGGAAGGTCAACCTCTTCGAGACAGGAGATCAGGCCCACGTTAGGCTCGTCATTTGTGCTTTCCGTGGCATTGGCTGGGCGATATCGACCAGCACGTCCACCAATTTGTTTAATCTCGGGGACAGTAAGCCGTTGAAGTCCAGTCGGGACACGCTTGACGAGGGTGTCAAAGATAACGCGTTTGCAGCTCCTATTGTGAGTTAGCATGGAGCGTAAATATAAACAGGGAGCGTAGAACTCACAGGTTAAGACCCATGCCAATCGCATCACTTGCCACGAGGAAGTCATAGTCATTATCTGGGTCGTTGAACAGATTTGCCTGTTGGGTCCGAATCTCTGCTGGCAGACCGCCATAAACGATGGCTGCACGTCTCCCGGTGGTCTTCTCGATGTCTGCCTTCATGGCGTGTATACCTTTCCGGGAGAAGACGACTATACAGTCGCCCTTTTCAAGACTATTGAGATTACCCTTTAAACTGTGCGGCATCACTTCCAAGGCGTTCAGACGTTCGTAGCGGTGGACCTCCAAATTATCTCCCGTGAGTGCACATAGCTCCCGAATCAATGCTATGGCGCGGGTTTCACCACACAGGTGCAGTTCGGCTACCTGAGCACCAAGGAAAGCTCGAGTCCATGCCCATCCTCTTGACGAGTTAGCAATCATTTGGATCTCATCGATTACGCCAACATCGTATTCCTGCCCCAGGCTGACCATTTCCACGGTATTGCTGGTAATGCGCGGCACCTGATCATCATCGGGAAATTTGACATCGTCACCAGTGACGAGACTGCATGGAACCCCATCTGCTTTGAATCGATGATATACTTCTTGCGCGAGCAATCTCAGCGGACCTGCGTAGAACCCATTCTTGCTTTTCGCCAGCCGTTGTAGTGCATGGTAGGTTTTTCCGGAATTCGTCGGCCCGACATGGAGATGGATTGTTCGCTGCATCGATCGTGCGCGCGGATACCACTCGGCTGGCCATCGAAGGTCGGTCACTTCTTGCTGTGCTTCCAAGATGGGTGCTGAAAACCTGGCAGTGATGTTCTCCGAATACTGCATATATTCCACCTCCTCCCGCAGGCCCTGAAGTCCGGAGGAGAGGTAAGCCTTTTGCAGCGCTACCTTTGTATGCCGAAGGGGTCCCCATTGTGCAGATGCCTTCTTATCGTCTGATTTGCAGGCATTTTTAATTTGGCGCTCGAATTGGGACCATCCTTCTAGTGATTCGCCTGATTTCGTCAACTTGCTGTATAGATCGCGCAGGGTCGCATCCACCAGTTCGTTGAAATCTCGTGCGGCCGCAATATCCTGTCGGGCGGACCTTCCGGCCGAACCTCCTCCATGTGATTTGCCTTTTTTTGTGTCTTTCCTGTCTGTGGAGATCTCGGGTTTGACCTTTCTCGATCTCTGCAGAATCGAGGTTGTGGTGAAGGGTCGTACAGCGAAACGAGCCAAGGGTCGTAAGGTGAGGGAGCGACTAACGCCAGTCCATGGCTGCATTCCTAGACGACGGGGGCTCCAATCCCGTAGAGAGGAACAATCCTAAAACAAAGAAAGTCGAACGTAACAAAGAGAACGGGTAGACTAAAGGACAAGGGACATAAGACATAAGGAGAGAAACCAAAAAGTTCCCTTATCGACCTGATCCACTTTAAAGCTCCAATGGTGGGGAAAATCATCTTCCTTCATATACCTCAGACGGCCACCTCTCCTCCTCCTGGAACTAAACATCTACTCAATCTTCCTTACTATCTGCCTGCTTTTTTTTTGTGCTCTTTCTTTTCTGTTCCAGTCTTCACTCTGAAGCCCCAAGTTGTGGGCTGCCCGCCATCATGGGCTCCTCGATAATTAACATTCAACGCGACTGTGGGTGACTACTTCTACTACCTCTTGCAAGAACCCCTGGCTGACCTGATACTGTCTGGAATAGTTATACTGAACACAATCCGCAATACTGGTGGCCATGATGTGAGCCCGACCCCTCCGATCAACCCCTCTACCGCGGATACTGACGGCAACCCTCCCCCTAATAGTGGAAAGTTCTGGTGGTCGATGAGACCAGCAAGAAATTGGTCGACGGCGCTGTGAAGGAGGAGGAAATACTCAATCTCAATGTTTCCAGTGAGCTCGCTTTGTCCTTTGCGACTCAAGTAATCTCACTAATCACCACCACACCACAGACGTCGAGCAGATCGAACATCGACGACCGTCCAATCCCGATATGGACGCGTTGTACATATTGTCCCCGGAATCGTACGTGATCGACTGTCTGATGGCAGATTTCGAGGTGGGCCGATACAGAAAGGCATTCTTGGTGTGGACCTCATGTTAGTGGGCTAGCGAACCCGGAGCCATCACGACGTCATTTCGCTCACACAGCTTATAGCCCTCGACCCGCAGCTGCGATCTCGAATTGATCGGTCCCAAATGGCGCGCGAGCGCATTGCAGACTTTTACACTATGAACATCAATTTCTATCCCAGGGAATCACGCTTGATCACATTCCGGGACCCGTGGAGCTTCCCAGTGCTCTTCCACCCGGGTTGCAACAACTTAATTCGGCGTCATTTAGAAGAATTGGCCCAGAAGGTAAGGTGCACCCTCCGAGGATGCCAATTGGGCTTGCTGACGTTGAATCAAGGTCGTCTCTCTTTGCGCTTCCCTGGGCGAATACCCTGTGATTCGGTACTATCGGCCCCGGTCTCCGACTCATGAAGCCGGAGTTATGTGCTCTCACTTGGCGCGTTTCATTCAAAATGAATTGGATCAGTTTGCGCAGTATCAGCGCGACTTCCCGCCCCAAACAAACCGTCCCCGAGGCGTACTACTCGTAGTAGACCGTTCCATGGACTTGTTCGCACCCCTTCTTCACGAGTTTACATACCAGGCCATGGTCCATGATCTACTTCCTGTCACAGATGGAGACAAGGTCACCTACAAGACAGTTTTAAACCAGGGCAACAAAAATGAGGAGGTCAAGGAGATGGAGATTGGCGAGAATGACCGAGTCTGGGTGGACTACCGCCATATGCATATGAAGGATGTGCTTGGAAAACTGGGCGAGGACTTTGCCAAATTCCGAGCGGCAAACCCTCAGTTTTCAGACGAGTGAGTTTCAACGGGCCATCCCTATGCCAGAGTCGAAATACTAACTTGGGGGGTTCTTTTTCAGTAACGACAAATCCAACGTGAACACCATCAAGGATATGTTGGGCGGACTGACAGAATTCCAACAAGGTAAGGACGCCTACACGTTGCACCTCAACATGGCACAAGAGTGTATGAACTACTTCCAGTCCCGCAAACTCCTGGAAGTGAGCTCCACCGAGCAGTCATTCGCCACAGGTCTGGATGAGAACTACAAAAAGGCAAAGAACCTAGCAGCGCAACTCGTACAGCTCCTCGATGACGACTCAGTCGTACAACCAGATCGGCTTAGGCTCATACTTCTGTACATCATGTATCGTGGTGGATTGCTAGGTGGTGACATTCGCAAACTCATGGCGCACGCTGGACTCCCACCACAAGACGGCGGGGTGATTGCCAACCTCGAACTGCTTGGAGTTCGTGTCGAGAAACCTCTAAAGGATGAAAAGCCACCAGCGCAACCTCTTTTCAACCGACGAAACCCACCACCCGAATCAGAGGAGCTCAGCCTAAGCCGGTATGAGCTAGCTATCAAGCAGATGCTCGAAGACCAGCTTCAGGGAAATCTGGACCCGACTTCTTTCCCCTTCACACGCCCGCACACCGAGACGGATGGCGCCATAGCTGCCCAAGAAATGCAGTCACAGCAAGCCTCTTTGCGCAGCGCAAAACCGACTTGGGCACGTACAAGATCCGTCGACCAGCCTCGACAGCGCGTAATCGTCTTCATGGCCGGTGGTGCCACCTACGGCGAGTCACGAGCCTGTCACGAAATCTCAGCGACATACAACCGAGACGTCTACCTTGCCACAACTCACATGTTGACTCCGAGTCTCTTCCTCCGCCAGGTACGGGACCTTGGTGTTGACCGGCGTCGTCTAGACCTCCCATACGAGCGCCCCAAACCTACTGCCCCGGCCCATCTCTTCGAGCGGGAGGCCCCTCCAGCTCCCACTCCGCCACCACAGAAGAAGCCCGTCTCAACAGCACACCTCAACCCGCCAGCTCCGCCAGAGGCACTGATGGCTGGTATGTCGATAAACGGAAACGGAAGCGGAAGCATCCCTGCCTCATCTGGCAGCGGAAAGCACGACAAGAAGGACAAGAAAGATAAGGACAAGAAGGACAAGAAGGAGAAAAAATACCGTTTCTTCAAGTAGCACTCGCCATTTCTATTTCTCTTGATCCCACCCTGTTTTCTGTGTCCTGCTGTCCCCGTCCAGCGCTTTTGTGATACCATTCTTTTCCTTGTCTTTCTGTTGGTCTGGTCTGGTCCCTAGCATTCAAGGCGCTATTGTCAGCGGTTTTTTTATTATTTATTTCCCAAGATGAGTCCTATAAAGACTTAGGTCATGGGAATGTGCTCACTGTACTACAATTTATGTTTCAACTTACAGTACCTACGGTAAATATATCTTCAAGTTAAGCACCCAAACAGAAACAAATGCTGTATCTCCATTTGAAACTGATATCCACATAGAACCACACATAACAAATAAAAAAAACCAAATAGGGGTATCATCAAACACAAAAAAGACAAAAAAGAAGCATATCCATCCATTCACCGTCCATCCATCCATAGAACCCACCACCTAAGCCCCCTGCCCAAGATACTTCAAAACCTCATCATTCTGATAAAAAGCCTTCCTCATCCTCTCTGCCCTCTTCTTATCCTCCGCCGTCTTATTTCGCACCTGCTTAGCATTAAGCTTCTGCACCTTCACCGGCGCAGGTTTAGGCGGCAACGGATCTCCATCCGGATCAAGCCCAGTCCCCAGTCCAGCCGTACCATGCTTGGCACGGGGTTTGATAGGTTCACGGATCCCCTCACGGCCCGATACGCCGAGCCCAAGTCTGCTATCAGGATCCCAGCCGTAGGTAGAGAGGTATCGGAGACCTGGGCGTGTGCGGTCGAGGTGCGATGGCGGGTGGGAGTGAGTGAGACAGATCTGGTGAGCGAGAGAGGCTTCGTGGGGACGTGGTTTTTGGTCTGTTGCATTCGCTGTGGCTTTGAGGATAGGTAGTTTGCACACTTCGCAGTATTCTGAGGCCGCAGGGGCGGGCGCGGGGTCTGTGGGTGGAGGTGGGGGGATTATGTCTTGAGTGGGTGGCGCGGAGTGCGTACGGATTGGTGGCGAGGGTGCGCGCTGGGTTGGTGTGCTCGGTAATGTACTTGCGGCCGGTTGGGCCATCACAATAGAGAGGTATTTGTCGGCGATGCTGGTGCCGGAGGAAGAGGAGGGAGTTGGGGCTGTTGTTGTGTCTAGATTGGAGGAGCGCACGAACTGCACGCGTTTTCGGCGGATACCGGAGCTGAAGGGGCGTTGTTGCTCTGGTGGAAGGAAATAATCTTCGTCCTCGGAGGCCATGGTTGAGAATTGTAGAGCTGTGAAGGCAAGGAAAGAGAGAAGAGGGAAAGAAGATTGGGGGGCGGAGCGGAATTAAATGGTGGCGATAAGAGATAAGCGGAGATGTGGACGTGTACGTTGAAATCCCTTTGGACACATACCTGTCCTTCCTCTTCCCATCTTCGCATCTCAATTAAATATGCCCATCCCCATCATTGCCCAGGGTCTCCGGGATGGCGTCTCATCCATCCCGCATGCCTGGACAATCCTTCGTATAGCACCATGGGTGCTAGTCCTCGCGGCACTGAAATACTATTTCGAAGGAGCCCGCAACGGCTCCGAGCGGATGATGCGATCAAAAGTCATAATGGTGACGGTAAGACACCCCTATAGCACCGCCCAATCATCCAATTACCCAATCTCACAAATATCAAAATCATCAGGGCGGAACCTCCGGAATAGGCGCAGAAGTCGTCCGCGAGCTCGCAACTCGCGGCGCCCAAGTAATCCTCCTAACCCGCCAACCACCCTCAGACCTCTTCCTCTCCGAATACATCGACGATCTCCGCACAAGCACGAAAAACCCTCTAATCTACGCCGAACAAGTCGACCTCTCCTCCCTGCACTCAATCCGCACCTTCGCAACGAAATGGATCGACAACATCCCACCCCGTCGACTTGACGGTATAATCCTCGCCGGCGGCATAGCCGAGCCCTCCGCACCGCGCACCCTAACAATAGACGGCATCGACCAAGAATGGCAAACAAACTACCTGGCCAACTTCCATCTCCTCAGCATCCTCAGCCCAGCATTGCGCGCACAGCCCGCACACCGCGACGTCCGTGTCATCTTCGCAACATGCTCTAGCTACATTGGCGGCAACTTCAGCAATCTGGACTCCGTGGCGCGCGGGAAACAGAAGGTTGTCTCGAAGCGGACGAAGACTTCCCCGACTTTGTATGCGCAACCGAAGGGCGTGTACGCGCTCAGCAAGCTCGCATTGACTATCTTTGCGCACTCGTTCCAGCGGCATTTGAATTCCTACAAGCGGCCGGATAGTCTGCCGCCTTGTACGCGGGTTATCGTTGTTGATCCCGGTCTCACAAGAACTCCGGGGATGAGACGGTGGTTGACTGGTGGGTCGTTGTGGGGTCTTGCGTTGTACTTGATTACCTGGCCTATCTGGTGGTTGGTGTTTAAGTCGCCTACGCAGGGTGCGCAGAGTATTCTGTATGCGGCGATGGAGCAGCAATATGGACGGGGTGCGGGTGGGTGGTTGATTAAGGAATGTCGGGAGATGGATTATGCGCGGGCTGATGTGCGGAATGATGAGGTTGGGAAGAAGCTTTGGGAGTTTAGTGGGAAGATGGTTGAGGAGGCGGAGAAAGAGAGTGCTGTTATGAGGGCTTTGGAGAAGAAGGAGGTTAAGGTTGAGAAACAGAAGGCTGAGGATGAGCAGGTTAAAAAGGAGGCTGAGAAGAAGGGAAAGAAGACTGAGGGGTCGAGGAGGAGTCGAAAGGGTCAGAAATAAGTGAAGATATGTGCATGTGTATATCTATTTTATATGGAGGTATGGTATGATATGATTATATAGATGGAGTTGAGGGCTATAACTCTACTGTGATAGAAAGAAAAACAAACTCAAAATTATAGACCAAGCATCACAGAAAAAGGAAATTCGTTTCATGTATTCTACCAACTAAATCCAGGATTTCAGGACTTCCATATCAACAAAGGCAAGATCCATTACAAGCCACAAGCACAGTCACATCACCCCGAAGTAAATTTACTTCTTGAGCTGAGCGAGCAGCTCAGCAGGGGGCTCCTGGCGATAACCCTGGGGGTTGTTCTTAGTCCAGAGCCAGAGATCCTCGCAAGCCTGCTCGAGGGTACGCTCAGCCTTCCATCCGAGCTCGGTGTTAGCACGGGTGGGGTTGGCAGTGAGGTTGAGGACATCTCCAGCACGACGGGGAGCAACCTCGTAGGGTTGGTCCTTTCCGACGGCGGCAGAGAAGGCGCGGACCATCTCGTAGACGGTACTGCCCTTGCCGGTACCCAAGTTCCAGGCGCGGACACCGGGGTTGTTGGCGCGCAGGTAGTTCAGGGCCTTGAGGTGGCCGTCTGCGAGATCCAGGATGTGGATGTAATCGCGGATGGCGGTGCCGTCGTGGGAAGCGTAGTCTAGGGAAAATGTTAGATGAGGGGCTTTGCTAGTGGAGAGGATGCGGGTGAGGGGTTGGTTGCATACCATCACCGAAGACCATCAACTTCTCGCGCTTGCCAGTGGCAACCTGGGCAAGCAGGGGGAGAAGGTTGTAGGGGACACCCTGAGGGTCCTCGCCCATGATACCGCTGGGGTGGGCACCAGCGGGGTTGAAGTAGCGGAGCAGAGCACCGTTCCACTTCTTAGCCTCGGCCTCGTTGCCGGCCTTGGTGGCGTTGTTGCGCTGAGCATTGATCACGTCGGTGATGGCGTTCTCGACGGCGAACTTGGTGTTGCCGTAGGGGTTGGTGGGACCCAGAGGGCAGTCCTCGGGGATGGGGATCATGTTGGGGAAGCGGGTGGCATCACCGTAGACGGTGGCGGAGCTGGAGAAGACAATGTTGGTGACATTGTTCTTGACCATGGAGCGCAGGAGGTTGACGGTGCCGTAGACGTTGACCAGGTAGTAGTCCAGGGGCTTCTCGCCGGACTCGCCAACGGCCTAAATTAGGACAATTGGATTAGCCATTGGATTATACGATACAGGTTATTTTTTTGTTGTCTCGTAGGATAAATACCTTCAGGGCAGCGAAGTGGATAACGCTGTCAATGTCGGGGTGGGCCTCGAACACCTGGTCGAAGCTGTTCTCCTTGGTGACATCGAGCTCGTAGAACTCGGCCTTCTTGCCACAGATAAGCTCAACACGGTTGAGAGCCTCACGGGAAGAGTTGTACAGGTTGTCAGCAACGACGACCTTGTAACCAGCCTCGAGAAGGGCGAGAGTGGTGAACGAGCCAATGTAGCCCGTGCCACTAGCGGGGAGTTAGTTTCCAAGATCCCAAATAGGGAATTCGACCACTTACCCAGCAACAAGAACTGAACCAGAAGACATGATTTTAAATTCCGGGTAATAATTAACAGGAAAATGGAAAATACGGAGAGTCCGGAGTAAAAAGCGGACGAGGGGCAGCTTTTTAAGGGGAAATTGGAGGTGGGGGGGGGGAACCTGGGCCGTCTCCCCACGTGGATATGTGATGATGCGGCCAGGTGGTTTGATGGTTGTGTTTTTGGTTTGGGATTAATTTCCAAATATCCATTGATCTACACATTGGTACCTCCAATTTCCTTTTCCTCCCCTATTCGAGGTTATTAGACCATTGTTGATTGTTGATGCGAACATTATGTACAGGTATGTGTTCTGACCGGGGAGGTGAAAACAGCCCTCATCTCGAAACGGGAAAGGATATGCAAGGATGTGCAAGGATGTGCAATTGCAAAGATAAATCACTTGAATCCCTCGAATTCTCCGAAATCCCCTGAAAATCCTAAATTTCCTGCAAACGTCATTTCAATGCCGAATAGGAACATAGGTATGCAAGGGGGCAGTCCGTTCCCGGGGAATTTTCCGCCAAATAATATTTACTGTTTGAATATAGAACGTTGAAGTGAAATTGGTATTGGAAAAAAAAAAGGATAAAATAAACCGGGTTCAGGTACAACAGTATAACCTGATTTTGGGGGTCCCGTATACCCTGTAGATATGGTAGATAGCGTCGTTGCATTTCAGCATTGTCATGAGACCATTGAGTACTCAAGGCCTCGGGGCTCATTCTCATTCGTTCAAGTCTGGATGAACTCGGACAGAAGTGGTTAACATGCCAAGGATAGATACCCAAGGAGGCTCAAAATTAGAATATCCTTATTAACCGAGGTATTTAACCGAGGAGCTCAACGTCCAGACCAATGGCTCGCATGAAAAGATTGACGTTGTTCAGACGCTGACTGCCCATGTCGGCAGGAAGGGTCTTGCTATATCCCACGGTTTCCATGACTCGGTCCCTGTAAGAAATTAATTAGCACTGGTTCTCTGCGCTAGATCGAAACGGAAACACTTACTTAACGGCAATAACCAGACGCTGCTGCTGCTCAGGACTGGCGCCAATGCCCACGGCGGCAAGGAACTGCCACACATACATATCGTCACCGGAGCTGATCGATCCAGGGAAGATGTCATTCAAGCCAAGTTCCAAAGTATCAAACAACACGTTGAACTTCTCAACCCACTGCTGCCAATCATGCTCGGAAGCCTGACCGGCCTCCTTAACAATCTCGGCACGACTGAGCAACATGGTCAAAATGCCCAAGCCAACCTTGGTGCGAGCCACGGTCTGCACATGGGTTTGGTTGATGACCAATCCCAAAAGACCAATTATAATGTTGAATGGCGCCTCGTTCACATATCCCAAAAGGCAGGGCATGACGGCCAGCGAGAACAGATCAATGGCTTCGCGCACACCGAGCGATGGCTGGGCCTCACCGGGCACGGGCTGAGCAAGACGGACTACATCCAGGCTATCCAGGTGGACGACAATCATGGTGAGAATAGTGACACGCTGTTCCTGGTCAATGTGACGGAAGATGCGAGGAATGGCCTTCTTGCCCTTGGGGTATGACAAGAATGCGATAAAGGGGTGTGGTGTCGTCGAGTTGGGCACAATAGGTTCCATCACCTTCAATGACCGCCACAATTTCTGGTTCAGTGAGTGAAGTCTCTGTCTCCATTCCATGTGTTCTTGGATTGCCTCGGCATCGTCTTCTTCGGGGGGTGGCGGCATCGTGCGCTCCATGTCTTCCATTGCCATCAATGCACTGTAAACACCTTCGAGATTCGTAAGAATCGACTTGCGATCACTAAGACTCAGATCCGACTGCTTCTTGGGCTTAGGTCCTTCTGAGCTATCAGGGCGCTTAATGTTCAGCATCGGCTTGGGGGCCTTGGCATTGCTAAACGAGATCTTGCCCAAGCTGCCCTCGATGATGAGCTGCTTGTTCTTGGGCTTGGCCTTTGCTGCCTCTACGGCACGCTGGACCTGCTGCTGCATTCGCTGCATGTGGTTATCGGCACTCTGGAAATTGCCCCGACGATGCCCGCCGAGCCGGTTACCAGTCTGGAGCAGATAAGTCTGGGCGAAGTGACCAAGGGGTTGGTGGGGGTGTTGGCGTGGTGCGCCACGAATCTGGCTGTAGACCTGGTAGTAGAAGTCCTCTGCCAGCACGGCCTCAGGGTCCGAATCTGCGACATTTCCGGCAGCCGCGACCAGCTGTTGTAACTGAATACGGGTGATGAAATTCTTGTCCTGCGGGGTCATCAGACCATTACCGCGGGACAGGAGGAAAATCTTGTGATTGCGCTTTGCCCGCTTGGCATCCTCCACCAAATAAGAGTTACGCTGCTCTTCTGTGAGATGCATGAGTTGCTGCGGGTTAGTGATCACCGGCATTCCATTGTTGGAGCCCCGGCTAGGAGGCGGGCCTTGCTGATGTTGAAGAGGTTGCTGCGGCTGGGGTTGCTGAGGGCGCTGGGCCTGGAGCTGGGGTGGCCCACCATGGCGCGGGCCAGGAGGCGGCATGTTTTGCGGGGGGAGGTTGGCGTTTTGCATCATATGCAACGGCCCACCGGGTGGCATATGCGCAGGGCCACCGTAGAGCTCTGGCATACCAGGCGGTGGGTGTGGCATTTGCGGGGGTAGGTGGCCCTGTTTCATCTGTGCTTGAATAAACTCGGGAGGCACCGGAGGGAACCCATCAGGAAGTGTCTGAAGGTGCTGGAGCTGGGGTGGGTACTGAGGCTGCTCCACCATGGATCGCAGGAAGGCTTCCGCGGCTGGCGTCGCGGAAGTATGGCCATGATAACGCATCTGTGCTTCGACCTCTTCCAAGCTCATCATCTTCCGGCTCGGGGCAGCAGCGGCAGCGGGTTCAGCTTTCTTCTGCGACACACCCCATACACTAGATTTGGCTTGCAAGTCTGGAATATAGCCAGGATCCGAGTACTTCTCATAGCCTGAGCGCTTGGTGGTCTGCTGGGGGGCGGCCTGCTGAACAGGAATTTGGACAGGCTGAGGGGCGACTCGACCTGCATTGGGATTTTGTAGGCTAAAGCGAACCTGCTCCTCGCCAATGGCGTCGGAAACCTGAGCAGTCTTGCCAAAGAAATCAAAATCTCTGCCAACAGACGTATCGGGCCCGGCTCCGCCAAACGTGTCATCGTTGAACTCGTCCTGATCGTCGGGAAGCTGGTCTCCAAGACCATCGTAGGTATCCTCAAAATCAATCCTAAATGATGATAAGTATAACGGCCCATTCCAAGCCATTCAAAAAGATAAGCTCACACGTCGTCATCTCCCAGCGCATTAGCTCGAGCAATATCGGCGAAGGGATCTGGGTTCTCGAAGAACCCCTTGGCCCCGGAACCATCACGGTCCCTGGGTAGGGTTGTATCAAATCCAAAGAAAGCCATCCTCTGGATGAGAAAGGATGGAAAAGA